TTTTGGCCAAAATCATTTTTTTTGTTTGGTTTTTTTTTTAATTACGATAAAACACCCACAAAATTTTTTCATTTAATTTATAAAAATTTTTTTGTTTAATGTTCTGCCCCCCCCCCCCCCCCCCCCCCGCACAAAGACAGAATCTCTTTCGAACCATTGCTGTCTGTTGCTGGCGCCAAGTTCACGTCGCTGTATTGATGATACGAAGGAGCTCCTGTATGGACAACTGCGTTCCCTGTCAGTCGACTCTTCCCATCTGAATACAGTTCCCTTCATTCCTCTCCCTTGTCGAAGAATATGAATTTGTTCACTTCTCTAGGCCGTTTTAAGGCAGCCGAATGAGACTCAACGATGTTGTGCCGAATGGCCGCTAGTTGAGAAGCTCAGGATTTGCTAACAGCACAGCGTAAAAAGTAAAGGCGTGGATCTAGAGTCCTGGGCTTCCATGCTGGTTGTGCACAAATCTGGCTTTAGTGGTTAGATTTCAATGAGGCAAGTTTGAAATCGTGATTGTGCAAAGATTGGAATCTGAGCGTGAGTAGTATGATTGAAGCTACCGTGCTGAGTAATAAGGGAGACGAAACGGAGGTAGCTCGATACGAGTGGAATCAAGATATATATATAAGTTTGCGGACTTTTTTAAGTCTTGTATAAACTCGCGCCTATATGAACAGGCGAGCAGGGGAAGGTAGTAAGTAGCCGACGGTCCATATCATCTAGCCACGCAATGCTCGCTAAATGCAACAAATGGTATCATATCTGTGCCCATGATCTTGACAGTCGAAACCAAGAACGCCAAGAAATGCAAATTAGATCAGTTCCTCCTCGCCTCTTCCTCCTCCTCCTCCTCCTCCTCCTCCTCCTCACCATCTCCTTCAGAGGTTGTGCAGTCCACCTGACAGCCCATCCGGCCATCTCTCACCTGCGCATCCCGCACAGCCACATCAACCGCTTCCCACAGATCACCATGAAAGAATGGCCTATCCACGCCCCAGACACTCGCCATGCCCCTTCTGGCCACGCAAGAGTTTGGCGTCAACGTCTTGATGTCACCATCCTCAACCTCCACAGCGCACTTCTTCTTACTATCCGGCCGCAGCTCCTGATCTAGTACCGCCGCAACCGTGTACGTGGGCTGCCACGAGCCCAGTGCGTCGTCGTTCTGCGAGGAAGGGTACCCGAATCCAGACACTGCGAGCGCCCGACGCGTCCAGCGGTTGTGCACATTGGCAAAGTGCACTTCTGGCGCGTCGGGGGCGCAGTGTCGCTCCAGTGTGTTGCGAAAGTCAATGAGGCCCTGGATGCTCGTAATGTCCATGTTGTTCACGGCGGCAAAATCCAAGACCACGGCGCGTAGAAGGGGTAGGCTCGTCTGGTCCTGCTCCTTGGTTTCTCTGGGGCCTGGGTCGTTCCAGAGACGGTCAGAGGGTCTCTCGAAATGCTCTTTCGAGGTCCGCTTTGTGTTTTCCATGATGCACTGTGTGAGCACGTCCATGTGCAGCGCTTGATTGGTGTAGTTGTATCCTTCACTGAACCGGTAGATGAAGACACCGGGGTAGGGAGTGTCGACGACAATATCTGGGTTGGAGGCGTCGCGACGACTGAGCGGTAGGAAGTGGTCGCGCTCAGACGCTGTTTCGCAGCTATTGCTCGATGGACGAGGCGAGGCGCTTGGGCTGGCCTTGTCCTTTGTGTTCGCGTTGTCGTTGTCCATGGAGACGACGCGGCGTGTACGTACAATGCCCAGAAACTCACCCTTGGTACGAGCGAGACGCACGAGCAGCATGACAAAGGACAGCGCGATGCCCACATAGATCGATGTCTCGAGGGAGTCAAAGATGGCCAGCAATACCCCGACGACCCAAATGATGAGCTCGAGAGGTGCGAGCTGCCAATACTTGTGCAGGTTCTTGGGCGGAGTGATCAAGTTGCAGACGGCATGGATAATGAGACCGGCCAGCGCCGCGTTGGGAATGTACTGGAATACAGCCGTCAAGACGTACAGCGCCAGAACGAGAATACCCGCGCTGAAAAGACCAGCGAGGGGCGTGCGGCTGCCTGCCTTGGACAGGACAGCCGAGGCGCCAAACGATCCGGTACAGACGTAGCCACCGACAAATGGGCTGAACATGTTGGCCGCACCGAGGGCGACGATCTCCTGGGAGGGCGTGATGGTGTAGTTGAACATGCGGCCCATGGCCTTGGCAATGGCAATGTGCTCGATGATGAGGATGATGGAGATGGCGGGCAGCTCAGGCAGGATGAGCTTGAGGAGTTTGGCGTCTGGTTGTGGCAGACCAGCCCGCTGGAACCCAGGCTCAATGCGGCCCACAATGCGGAACGGCGAGTTGTCGAGGTCACGCGTGCGGTTGACGAGGTAACTCACCAGTGTGAACAGCAGCATAACAAACGTGAGACGCAGCGAGGAGATGAAGGACCACATGCGCTTGTTGGCGGGCCGTCTCTTCTCCATGAATGAGCAGAAGTCACGGATGGCGAAGAGGATGACAATGGAGCTGATACCAATGGCGGCGTCAATCTTGGTGTCGGGCAGTGCCTTGAGAGTGGCGATGATGACCTTGTACGGTGACTCGCGAGTGTTGATGCCTGACAAGCCTAGACAGGTAGGGACCTGCGTCGACATGATGGTGATGCTGGCGGCTGTGACAAAGGCCGAGATGGGGATGTACGGGATGAATTCAATGATCCAGCCGAGCCGCAAAAGACCAAAGAAAAGCATGACAGCGCCAGCTAGGAGGCTGAGGGCATGGGCGATATTCTCGTTGCTGTACTCCCCAGGTGCCTTTTCCTGAACACTACTGATGACCTGGCCCACCAGCAGGGAGCCGACGGCGGTTGTCTAGATGTCACGTCAGCGTCGATGGCAATCATGAGGGACTCGAGTTCAACCTACCCCAATCACAATGTCCTTGGAAGTTCCAAACAACCAGTAGAGCACAGCACCTGTGAAGGATGTGTACAGCCCATACGCAGGCGTCAGTTGCGCCAAGATTGCATAAGCCATGGCCTGTGGCACAACGACCAGTCCGATCGTCAGGCCAGCGATAAAGTCCCCCAACAGCCAACGCCCGCTGTAACGCCTGATCCACGACGAGCTGGGGAAGAGGCTCTGGATGTAGTTGACAGCCGCCGCGCGGGTTGGCGCCAGCTCCCGGAGGAACTCATTGACACTGGGCTCTTGCTCGAGGTAGATATCGGCGGGTTCGAGGATTTGGTAGGCTTTCGTGCCCAAGCTTTCGGGTTGACGGACGTATCGCTCGTTGGTGTCGATGCCGAGGACAGAGGACGTGATGAAATGACCAGCACGGGACAACTTGGTAGGCTGTTTCTGTTGTGGGTGTTCTGGCGCTTGATCGTCTGCCATGATGACGATGAAGGCGTCGTCGGAGAGGAACGACGACTCTAGATGCTACTCAAAGTACGAGAAAAGTAGCAGAAAGCGTGATGATATTTTCAAAGTCGTGGCATGCACAAGATTACATGAAATCTATCACAGACACGCTGAACGAAAATGGCAGAGGATGTATTCAGAGGAAACCAAGAATCCAAGAGGGAGAGACAGTAGACGCTCCTGGGGGTGCAAAAGATCTTTAAAGTAACCTTGGAACGGAAGCCGTCGTGGCTGTCGGACGGCAAGCCGCGCGCCTCCCGCTGGGAACCCAGCCAGAACCAAGCTGTTCCAAAGCAACGACAGCCTTCTTCCCCGGCCTAGTGCCCACTTCTTAGACACTTAGCCTCCCGTCGTGGCGGAGTTCGGCGAAGTATGCCCCATGTTTTATGCAATCAGACTTTTCGCCGTTGCTGATTGGCGTCCATTGAGTCATGGCGGTCTAGCAAGGTACCTGGCATTCCCCGACTGGCCGGCGGCAGTCGTCGGCCGTCGGTGGTAGATGCCGGAGAAAGATCCACCTTTCCCGGCTCACAGGCTCCGCTCTCGGCGCCGGACACGCCCCGCTTCCGGTGTCCGAGCCGATCCTACCTACAATAACCGTGTTCCCCTAACGTGAGTGGGATGGGGAAAGCACGGAAGATCGACACCAAGATCACTTTGCAGTAAGCTTAAATGAATCTCTCGTCAGAGAGGATGTTTGTCGATGACCCATCAGGCAAGCAAAGGGAGCCGTCGGCATGCGACAACGGGGTCGGCAGCGTCGCTTGGATCCACGTTACCTCCTCCAACACTTTCGATAGGGCCAGGACAAGCATTCGGGTTACGTAGTGAGATTGGCGGCCACTGCCCGATACTGCCCTGCCCTTGGCGGCCGCAAGCTACAGTACATTCAGAAACGAGTTCCCTCAGGCGCTGAACCGTTGACATCGGCAACAGATTCCCACGCGGCGCGCGGCAGCCTGAGACAAGTGCGTCGCGTACCATTCCGAATCTTCCTCTCTCCGCTGTGAGCTCTATACAGACCCGCACTTCTGTACTGTCCCTCATTGCGCCATTCTCAGGGGTTATGGCAAACATCGATCACTCACATTCCCCATGCTACCACGGCCGCACGTCATCTCGAGCGGCTTCGAGTGCCTGGTCTGGGAACCTTAGAGTAATTGTTTCAAAGCCGTTGTCAAAGCAGAGGCACATTTCAAAGCGTAGGAATTTCCTAAATAATTAAACTTAGGGACGCGACATGCGACACATGACAAAAGTTCAGAGACCCACCCAATGTATTGAGACTAGTATCCCCCAACGTAGATCCCCCATGTTGGTGCAGCTAGCCATCGGCTGCCCCAGCATCGCCGACTGCCTTTACAGCTTGGACTCCCTCGATTCCCGGCTCGCGTCGTCCTTGCCCTCCTCGCTGCCTCTCAACGTCGTACCCGACGTGCTGCCAGCCTCGCCGTTTGTCGGCACCCGCTCGCTCGTTTCCGCCTTGAGGCTGATGGGGTCGCCGAGCTGAGACGGGTTCTCGCCGTCCTCGCCATGGAGCTTGCGCGCGGCCTTCGTCCGGAGGGTGTCGCCTTGTTTGTCCTTGGAGCGCTGCACCGAAGGATTGGCCTCGGAGCCGGTGCGCATGTTTTCTTGCAGGTAGTGCTGCTGCACCTTCTTCTTCTCCTTTTCGTCTCTGCGGGACACCATGGTGGAATGTATACAGCCGAATAATGCCAGGAGTAATGATGCCATTCTCTCAAAGGGACGGTCTCGCGTTGCGCTATGGGTTTATAAGAGGGCTTGGAGTGCACATGTGACGACGCTGGGTTTGGACTGTGTGTTAAGTTCGAGGTGGTGATGGCCGCCAAGGCCTAGCACTTGCGGCGGTCATCGATGACCTCACGACTACCGCCAATCGCCGAGGGCCATCGATCGACCGTGTTACGCATCAAGCACAACGCACATATCGATTTTCTGTTCAGTCTCCCTTGGAGAACTCATTGATTTTGGTACCGGGCGCAAATGAATGGGACGTTCTGCTCTATTTTTTCCTCTCCAATAAGCAGTGACGTCCCCACTTTCGCTTGTACTTGTCGGGCACAATGGCCAGGTCTGGAACCCACAAGATCCGCGACAGAATGTGCGTGTTGGCGGCATCGAGGAAAGGCTCACAGCGGACAATGTCCCATGTGTCCACGTCGGCGACATAGTCCGGCTCGTTGGGCGGCAGGGACTCTGTCCGCTCCGGGTATTGGGTGTCGACAAGAAGAGAGCACATGGGCAGCTCGACGTATTTAGTCAGGTCTTCCTCGTTCCGGTCGTTGAAACCGCTCGTGGGAAGCCACGTGCCGCTCCAGAGCCCGAAGCCGGTACGCGCCTCCGAGAATTCTCCCGGGAGCAAGCCTCGGAACTCGGACCGCACGAATTTGGCGTGCATGTCGCGTGGAAGGAAATATGACGAGGGAAAACGATACCACTCCTTTCCCAGACATACCAGGTCTCCGTTACGACCGACACCTTGGCGCAGGGGATCGTAGATCTTCAGAGGTGCGGAAAATCCACTGTATTGCCCAAATGCTCGACCGGCGGACAACAAGGTCGATAGCCCGAGCACCGACCCGACGGCAAGGACTTTGAGGCGGGCTGGGATCTTGCCGACAAGCGTCGTGCGGTCGGAGGATCCGATGGCCGTCAAGATAATGTGGAGGGACAGGGATGCGTTGAGAGCCAAGAAGGGGTATGCCGGGTACATGAAACGTTCTTCCTTGTGCGGCTGAGACGTAAAGATGGCCAGCCACATGTAGAAGGGAGCGGTGAACACAATGGTGCGCAGACCGGACGATATACCCTGGTTGGATGGCGCCAACACCTTTGACAGCACAAACAGTGGCAAGGCGAGCATAGCCAAGATGAACCAGATGTTGAAGTTGAGGATGAGGTTCTTGAAGTAAAATGTCCACGGCTCAGTGCCGTACAGATCAGGGCCCCTGTCAGAGGAGAAAATATTGTACTTGACAATGTTCCAGGAGACAATGACCAGCTTCTTGTAGAAGAAGAGGTTCACAAGCGCATCGCCAATCTGTCTCTGTTAGCGCAGGGACTGCCAATTGACACAAACAACTCACCACGACAAGTACGCCAGCAATGACTCCCTTGCCTAGCCTGATGAAGGACTCGAATAGGGCGTTGGAATCGCCAAAGGCCATGAGTACAATCTCCTCCAACACGAAGGGCACACACAGGGCCGAGGCAAAGGGCCAGCCCAGGACGCCGGCGACGGCAAACCACGTGATTCCCTGTGTCGTTTTCAGCCCCCCACGCCAGTTCATGAACGCCGCTGCTCCTAGCATGCACATGTACATGGCGAAACTCGAGGGCAAATAGGCTGTGCTAGCGTGGAAGTTGCCAGGACTGGTGATGAGAGCAATGAGAAAGATGACACCGATCCGACCATTGATGGCCAAGGTCACAGACTGGTACATGAGTGTCTGGCAAAAGGCGCAGACGAATGCTAGACCGATGCGGACAGAGTAGAACTCGGCAACCTGGATACAGTCAGCCCCTTCTTTGCGATATCGTAAAGGCAATGTCTACCTTGTCGGGGTGAGGCAAGATGCGCCTAAAATTGCCCACCACCGCGTGCAGGGCAACGTACAGCCAGCTCCGGATGGCATAGTCAGGGGAATACTCCCAAGTCTGCAGCCCATAGCCATGGGAGAGGTAGTGTGTGGGCTCCCAGTAATTGAAGGTCTCGTCGCAGTCCTGGATCGGCGCGAAGAATGCAGAGACAAGTGCCGCGGCAAGAAAATATCCAAATGCCCGGATCGGCTTAATCACATAGATGCTTGGGATTCTGGGATCAGGTAGTTAGCGTTGAGAGTCCTCGAAGGTTTGGAGACGGCTGCCTCCACCAAACGCTCCAAACTCACTTTTTCCGAGCATGTGAGGCCTCGGGATGCACGAACTCGTGGCTCGCGTGGGCGGGCGGCATGTTTGCTACTGAGTCTGTGGGAGGGGCAGGGTCGTGAAGGTGAAGGTGATGGTAAAGGTGAGAAAGCAAAAGATTGTGAGAGGTTGAAGTGGCATGGAGCGCATATGTCATCTCCCAACTTTTGGGGAGATACCGAGTCCACTGTTCGCTCCTGCGCTGCCCAAACTACCCCTGCACTGAAGGCTCGGTGAGTCTCAGTGAAGAAGACGCTAATGCAGGTGTCGACGTTGCCCCACTTTCCGTAGCCAGTTCACCTAGATTTTTTTTCCAAGGGTCCATGTCCGGACTTCGACATCATCGCCCGCCTGGAATTTCTATTTTTCAATGTTCTGACTTTTCAACTGAGGGCCCTAATACCACTTTGCTCCTGCCCAGACTACCTTCTCAGGGCTCCGTCTCTCGTCTCTCTTTACTCAGGGCGCACGCCAATTCTTGCACATTGTCCAAGCGCAATGTCTGGCTTCCAGATTCCAGGCTTGGGTCAGGCCCAGCCAAGTCCGCTTCCCACAGACCAGCCGCAGTCTCGCTCGACAACCGATGCCCAAGTCGGTCAAAGCCAGAGCGACAATGTCGCTGTCCCTGATGCGACCACTGCGGAGCGGTCAGAAGGCAGTAAATCAGCCCTCCAGCCCAATCAAGAACAACCGACCGACAGTTCGAGCCATGCCATCGCGACAGATCCAGCGCCTTCAGCCGCGCAAAATGAAGTAGTAATGGGGGACTCGGCTGAGACGACCCGCTCAGAAGCAGCGAACAACACAAACGCTTTTGCGCAGCAACAGGATGCCGCTGCGACAGACGACGCGATGATGGTCGACCGCCCCGCGAGCCCACCATCTCTCACAAGCGCGTTGGAAGCAGCGCTAGGCGGCCTTCAAGGCGACGACGCCGAGGCTACACTCTCTGCACAGCAGGGCAACTCTACAAACGAGCAGCAATCCGCCCAACAAGAAAATGCCCCTGCCACGGCCAACGAGAACCCAGAATTCGAGGTCGACTCCTCGCCCTACGTCAGCTCCGACTCTAGCAGCGGTTCCTCCTCTGACGAAGATTCAGACAACGAGGGCTACGAGCTCCTCGGGGTGGAGGAAACAGCACGCATGCTCATGGAAGCGGAGGGCGGGTCAGACGACGAGGGCGACAAGGGCGGCAAGTCAGGTGCGGGCGCCCACCTTCGTACAAAGAATGAACTTCCCGAAGAGACGATACCACGACCCGACGTGACCATTACGCCTGAGATGAAGATTGAGGAGCTCGGTGCGGTCGAGCACGTTGTCGAAAACATGATTCTCATCAAGGCCTTCACGCCAGGCGAGTATCAGGTTCTCGACACGGGGTCGGTAGTCTGCAATGAGGAGCGCGTCGTCATAGGCGCCATCGCGGAAACCATCGGCAAGGTGCTGCAGCCCATGTACACGATGCACTTCAACTCAGCCGAGGAGATCAAGGAGTTGGGTGTCCAGGTGGGCACAAAGGTCTTCTACCCGACCGAGCACGCCAGCTTTGTCTTTACGGAGCCGCTCAAGAGTGCCAAGGGTACGGACGCCAGCAACATCCATGACGAGGAGGTTCCAGAGGACGAGATGGAGTTCTCAGATGACGAGAAGGAAGCGGAGTACAAGCGCGCACTCAAGGAGAAGAAGAGGAAGAAGCACGGCGCGACCCGAGGAGGGCGTGAGCAGCCCGCAACGGCTGGCCAGGGCATGGGACCGAGCGGCGAGTTGAACTACGACGACGATGATGGGCCGTACAAGCCTCTGTCTAGACCGCCTGGGTTTGGCAGTGGCCCTGTCTCGCAGGAGGAGCCAGGCAGGCCGAGTCACAGGGGCAGGGGACGAGGCGATGCGCGAGGAGGTGGGAGAGGCGGTCGTGGGAGAGGTGGACGCGGCGGCGGCGGCGGTGGTCACAGTGGGCCGAGGGACGGCTTCTCGGCTGCTCCTCAGGGGTATCAACAACAGCAACATCATCATCAACAGCAGCAGCAGTACCCACAGCCACCTCAACACCAACAGTCGTTCCAACCACCTCCTCCCCCCGGATGGAACGGCCAAGCGCCCGCACAACCACCCGCCGTGCCCAACTTCGGGTTCCAGTTCCCCGGATGGCCGCAGGCGCAGCCAGGCCAACAACACGCTGCGCCTCCTCCTCCCCCTGGCTGGCCGGGCGCGGTCCAGGGGCAGCAGCACCCGCAGCAGCAACAACAACAGGGTGGCAACAGTGCTTTCATGAACCCAGCGCTCATAGCTGCGTTGGTGAACCAGATGCAGGGACAGAATCAGCAGGGTGGACAGCAGCCGCAATGGCCACAGCAACCACCGGGGCAATGAGAGGCGGCATAGTAGGATGGGGAAAAGAAAAATGGCACATATCAGTGATACCCTGGCAAGGTCATAACATAGGATTCGAACGCTCAGTATCTACATAATGTCTCAGGTGAATCGCTCTACAGCTCGTCGCCGTCATCCTTCTTGCTGTCAAAGTCATGGTGCGCCAGCTCGTACACGAGCCCCAGCGTCATCCTCGCGTGCTCCACCATGTGCTGGAACGAGAGGTGCTTGATGGTGTCGTCGGTCGTGTGGATGTGGGGGTTCGAGTCCTCAAACGCAGACTCGATGGCGAATGCCGAGGGATACCCGTACTTGGAGGCCGACGCGTGGTCGGAGCAGGCGTAGCCGCACTTTGTCTCGACCCAGGGGATGTTGCAGTACTCCTCGATGACGCGCTTGATGAACTCTGTCAGACCGCTGTCGACAAAGTCCATGATGACACCGATGCTCTCGGGCTTGTTGGCGTCGAGAGTCTTCTTGACGTAGCCGGTCATGTCCTGCTGGAGCATGGCCTTGACGTCGCGGCCGTTCTTGTGGTAGTCGGAGAAGATGGCCTCGCTGCCGAGGAGACCGGCCTCTTCGGCACTGTACCAGTGGAACTCGATGGTGTTGCGAGCTTTGCCGCCGGTAATGTTTTCGTCCTGCAGGAGCGCCTTGAGGACCTCGAGGATGGTCACGGTGCCGCTGCCGTCGTCGTCGGCGCCGGGCGCCGCAAGGATAGTGGGCAGCCACAGGTTCGTCGAGTCGAGGTGGGCGCCGACCACGACGGTCGAATTGGTCTCGCCGGGGATGGTGACGATGACAGAGTGCTGCTTCCAGCTGTGGTCAAAGCCTACGGCGTCCGCGCTGTCCGCCTCGGCCGCGGAGAGCAGGCTCTTTGCCTTCTTGAGGACAAAGTCCGACGCCTGGAGGCCGGTATCAGACTTGTAGTAGCGTGTGTGGAAACCGCTCAGGGCCTCGAGGTTGGCCTGGATGTTGTCCTTGTCGAGATGGCGGAAGAGGGCGTTGACGTTCTTCTGCTGAGTGCACTTGCCGGGAAAGTCCACGGCAGCTGGGGCGACGGCATCGGCACGGAAGTCCTGGTACTCGGTGATGTCCATAAAGTTCTGGCCATTCTGCGCGGTGTTAGCGAGCACGCCAACATCATTGATGCATGCCTGCTTACCCTGCGCAGCTCCCACTTCTCCTCCTCGGTCACCCATCGTGTCTCGCCCGGCGAGAGCTCGATGAGGAACTTCTCGTCGCTGACAGCGGGGAAGACCTCGAGGGCGTTGGCCTCGTGCTTCTCGATGAAGCGGGCGGTGGCAGCAGACGCGCAAGCCGTCAAAAGCATAGCGCGCGAGAACCTCATGATGATGGATCGCGTTAGGAGCTCGGAGTAGGATAAAGGATGGAAGTGATGTTGGTTGTAGAAGCAATGAACACAACGAAGCGATGAAGGTGGTGATGATGTCAGGCCTCGCAGCCTGAGACGCGGCCGGCCTCGGCTGACCAGGCTGAAGTGGCAGTGTCAGCTGGTTGGCCCGACAGGACTGGAGTCAGGACTGCATGCGGCTGCCGCTGAATCCCAAGCGCCAGTGGTGTTTCAGCTACCCTACAGGTTAGCATCAGACTCTCCTTCAGCTTCACCACCATTAATCCATAAATCGTAGCTTTCGTAGCCTGAACAGTGGGAGAAATATCATTCTCTAGAATTTTCAATCCCTTGTTCTTGGTCGTTGATTAGGTGAAGAAGCTCCTCCCTGTACTTCTCCTCATCTTGTACCTTGGCTTTTATAACGTCCTCAACATCGTCCCGCCAAAGCACCGACATCTGCTTCAGGCTGACGACTAACTCTTTGTCATCAGAGAACCTAGGAAGAATGTGATCTTCGAAGATAAAAAGCCAGGCATTCGTACTCCTCAGACAGGCCCAGAACCACACTCTTTTGGAAGACCACGAGTGTCTCATTGTGTCTGTGACCTGAATGTCGTGCTCCTGTCGTATGCTCTGCGCCTCCTCATCCATGACATCTAGAAAGACCTTGCGTGCCTCGTTGAAGTGGTCGTAACGTTTCCCTATGATGTTATCAAGGCTACAATTCGCAAGCCAAGACGGTACTGATAGCATTTCCGACGGCAGAGCGCAGAGCCACTGGAGATCCATCAAACAGGTAATATTCCAATCCTTATCCACAAAGATATTACTCTGGTGGAAGTCGGTTAGCTGAAGAAGGAAGGGCCCGTTATTATAGCGTTCACGAAATGGTGAGACAGAGCCCGTAGCAGTGTCCTGATTGTTATTCGTTCACGCGCATCGTCCTCATCCCGAACAGCGTGGGGATCATGAAGCAGGTGATTGTCGTATAACGTTAGCGTTTCCGAGACAAAGCTGTCGGTGGTCTGATATGTCTGATGAGGTTGAATGGTCCGCGGAGTGCCACTTTTCTCGAAGAGCATTGTGCTACACATCAGGGGACGATTCGAGAGCGTGATGGTGGCATCGCGTGGATTAAATCGAAAGGAGCCGATATGTGCTTGCGGCAGCCGGGTTAATGAAAGCATAATACGCGACATGCCTCGGAATAGGGATGCACGCGCTGAGCGTCGTGCATATACTCGTTCCATGTTTCAGACAGCATCGTTCCCGTCTCAGGGCTAATATACTCGAGTAGCATATACGCAGTATCGACGGTCGGCAACGTGGTGTTCCGAGAGTAGTTTGAGAGGAGAGACAAGCCAAGAATGCGGTGCACCCACCGCTGAAAACTTCGGGAGATGCGCGTATAAAATGGTGCCTGCTCAACATGGCTGAACTAAGTAACCAGTTAGAAACAAAGCAGTGAAGAGGAGGCTAGCCAGCCCGAACCTGGAGTCCATCAGTAAAACCGAAAGCGTAAAGGCACGGGATCCGAATCTCGTGGCAGTGTTCCTGAATCCATGCATAAGCGGCTACCTCGCCCCGAACCTTTTCGTCAATCGTCCCTGGATACTGTCGTTCGGCTAGTTTATGAGACATTGGGCAACGGAAGACGAGCGTCAAGCGTCCGGCAACCGTGGCCTCGACAAGGACGCACAGATTGAACCCGCCAGATAACCAGGCATCGGGTGGAAGAACAGCGCACGTCTCATCCTTGCGGAGACCGAGGTGGCTTCTGACCAGCGCCGCGATAGAGCCTCTCTGGTCCCATATCAGGCGTGAGAACCTTACAGTGGCACGTTGATGTAGAATGTAGAGAACGAGGTTGCTTTCATGCCCAGCGGCCGACTCGAATGAAAGCAACTGACCGCGGTGCAACATTTATGGGGTCATGGCGGCGAGGATGCCAGAATCATGGAATAGAGGGACGAGGCTCAAACCACGCCGCGGTTCCACGTCGCTGAGGATTTGTGGGAGGAAGGACGCCTCACATCGCCTTCATTGCGGCCTGTGCGAGAAGGAAACGGGCCGCCGTATATACATGTACGACACAGGCGCCACGCGCTGCCAAATTCCAGACGTGATGAATGACAAGGCACAAATGGGTTCATGGCTCAGGAGTAACGCTGCAAAACGCGCTAGCCACGCGAGATCACGTGCATCTTCTAACGGTTGGTCGTCCTGATCGCGAGAAGATGGAACTACTTACCCTAGCTCTACATCTAGTTGTGAGCATCGTCACCATGCATGTACTGCGTAAGGTCGATCACATTCCCATAGAGCAATCTTTTCCATCTGGGCACAAGAGCAACATCGGGATTGCGGGGGGAGCACCAGTCTAGAATCCAGATCGCACTACTATAGGCGGCTTGCAACGGAGACGCGACACGGGACAAGATCGCCACTTTCGACTCGGGCATACTGTGGGGTTGCGGGATCGAATACCTGTAACTACGTAGCTCATTTGTAATGAAGCTCAAAGTTAGTATCATTGGAGCGTTTGTAGTCTCGTAGCTACTAGTCTTGGCGTCATTCTAGTCCACCTTCAACGCCGTCCTCCTTCATCGTTACAACTCAGCGGGGTATATAAGTACTCCCACGTCACCCCCGAGAATACGGGCATTTGCACTAATGCGATTGAGAGGAACAAGAAAATTATACCATACTCAAGATGTCTCAAGGCAAGAAAGTCACTCTGAACACCGGTCAGCAAATCCCGTAAGTGACCTATTGCATAATGTGTGCACGAGGACATGATGCTGACGATGGGTGAAAGTCAATTGGGATATGGCACCTGGCAAGCTGGCCCCGGTGAAGTAGGCCAGGGTGTGTACGAGGCCTTGAAAGTTGGCTACAGGCATTTGGTGAGCTACCCCTGACCTCAACTCCTAGTATCTGTGCAGAGTGTTAATGATCTTGCAGGATTTTGCCAAAGTGTATGCTCAACTCGCTGATGAGCTCATGTGCATCTGTGTTAACAGGTTTCAGATACGGCAATCAGCGTGAGATTGCCGATGCGCTTAAGAAAGCGTTTGCAGAGATCCAAGGTCTCAAGAGGGAGGATGTTTTCATTGTACGTTGCCAAGCCCCCTGACATCCCTACTTATTGCCAGATGACAGTGACTGACCGTTCTTATTATTAGACCTCCAAACTATGGAACTCGTAAGTTGCACGCCCATAGGTTCATTGTCTCGTTAACACTTTGCAGTCAGCATGATCCTAAAGTGGTCGAAGCTGCCCTCGATGACTGCCTCGAGGAGCTAGGTCTCGACTATCTTGATGTGAGTACCTTGGATTAACATGTGGTGAAGAGTGCGCAGACTGACTCGTGAAAGCTATATCTTGTTCATTTCCCTATCTCTTTCAAGGGAAGCTCCAAGCACGTCGGACAAGATCTCTTTCCCCTCACTGGCGGAAACCAGCCAGTTGGCGATTGTGACATTGATGACAGCATCTCAATCGTAGACACTTGGAAAGGTCAGCTGCCGATACCCCAGTCACGAAAATGTAGACTCGGTTGGATTCTTGACTAAATGCAAATGCAGCCATGACCAAGTTGCCCAAGTCGAAAACCAGAGCCGTCGGTGTGTCCAATCACACCATTGAGCATGTTTGTATTTCCCAGGCGACGGTGTGCTCAAAGTCCCAGTCAGCTAACAAGACATGTTCAGCTCGAGGCTCTGAACAAGGCCACATCTGTCGTCCCTGCGGCCAACCAGGTCGAGCGTCACCCCCGGATTAGGCAGGATGACCTTGTAGCGTATTGCAAGGAGAAGAACATTCACATCACCGCATACTCTGTAAGCCTCGCAATGGGTTTGTCTTACCATCTAGAAAAACAACTGACCCATTCCAGGCCTTTGGAAACAACATGCTGGACCAGCCACTGTTGTTCACGTACCCTGAGATCAAGGCCGTGGCCGAGAGACTCTCGAAGGAAAAGGGTGACCAAATCAGCCCTACCAATGTCTTGTGAGTACCGTCAGCATGTACTAGACAAATGGAAATGCATACTGATCTTTGAATTCTACAGGATTGCTTGGGCACAGAGCGGCGGCCACAGCGTCATCCCCAAATCGGTGTCGCCCAAGCGGATTGCCGAGAACTTCAAGGAGATTGACCTGACCGCCGACGACATTCGTGAGATTGAGCAGGTCGACAAGACGCAGCGCAGATACAACATCCCTTATGTTGCCAGTATGTATTCACACGACAGCATTACGTGTCTTTTCGCTAATCACAGAACTCAACAGACAAGCCTCGCTGGGATGTCAACATCTTTGGGGAGGAGGCGGAAACGCCTGCAACTCACAAGGTCATCATCTAGACAGACAACGGGGAGCTTGTAGAAGGAACACGACCATAGCCTGCGCGATATTGCCAAAGCTTATAGGGCGAAGTATACGCAATCGAACAAAATTTACTTTAAAATACTAGATCCCGTGTGTCGGCGGCGTTCATGTTTGTTTGGTGCCTTGCCGACCTTTTCTCTCCCTCCCTGACGCACAACTTATGCCGTATGGAATTCAAGGGCCAAGACTCTTCCCATCTGTAAAACTAGTGCGGCCTAGTGCTCGGTGCTCTCCCATAATTGTGCTACGCCTCCTCGACCTCCGCTACATCCTTCTTCGCGGCAACTTGGTCGCTCAGCGCCGCTCGAGCATTCCGCGCATCGACATAGTTTCGCCTCGCTTGCCAAGACAGAATCGGCACATTAGTACCAAACAGCAGGTCCATGTCCTCGAGCTGAACACCCTTGGTCTCGGGGACGAAGAGCCAGGCAAAGATGATGGCCAGGACCGTGCAACAGCCGAAGAATAGGAACGTCCCGTACGTGATGCTACACAAGGGTCAATTAGCTCGAGCTCCATCACATATGGTCGACCATAGTGCTTTGCGGGTCTGCAACGTACCTAAGAATCATATGAGGCAGACTGTATACGACGATGAACTGCGTCAGCCACTGCCAGCAGATGCAGAAAGCCACGCCAAGCGTCCTGACCCTCGTAGGCAGCACCTCGGACGTGAAGAGCCAGGGGATGCCGTTCCAGCTGAACCCGTAGAACAGGGCGTAGATGTACACCATGGCCACGGCACACTTGGCTCCGGCGTCCATGGCCGGCGTACCCTCAAACGACCCCGAGATCTTGGAGTAGCCGGCCAGGTAGAACATGGCGAATCCGGCACCGGCGCCGCCGATGAGCAACAGGGGCTGACGGCCGACCTTGTCCACGAGGAGGAAAGCGTACAGCAGTGTGGCCACCATCTTGACGATGCCAAAGATGCCCGTCGCAAGGAGACCAACGGACGTTCCCGTGAATCCAATCGAGCGGAAAATGGTGGGTGAGTAGTAGTTGATGGCGTTGATACTGCGAAGCCGTCAGCATCAAGTTTTCTCTTTACAGTGAGTACGCGCAAAGAGATTCACTTACCCCGTGAAGTTTTGGAACATGACTAGAAAGCAGCACAGAACAATCCTACCACGGATGCCTTTTTGGATCATCTCCTTGAATATCTGCGTCCAACCACCGTGTGCCTGCCCCGTCGACTCGACCTCGTGCGTGACAGCCGCTTCGATCATGGTCAGCTCTCGGACCAAGTAGGGGTGATCTTCTGGTAGATGGCGGATCCAGCCAAGACTCTTCCGAGCTTGCTGGAGCTTCCCCTTGGACACCAGCCACCTGGGAGACTCGGGGATCGGCAGCATGGAGATGATGAGAAGGCCAGCAGGCACAAATTGCACGGCGACAGGAATGTGCCACTGTGTGTCGCCATCCGGACTGACGTTCTCGTTGACGCCGTAGTTGACCCAGAAGCCAAACACCAGCGCCACCTGCAGCATAATCTCAAAGGTGCCGACCAGGCGTCCGCGGATGAGGGCGGGCGAGCACTCGGACACAAAGATGGGCAGGATCATGGCCGATGCCCCGACCCCCCAGCCCGTGAGCACCCGTCCTCCGTAGAGGGTGCCCAGGTGACCGACCATCTGCAGCGCCGCCCCCAAGGCGAACATGACGGCCGACAGGATCAGCATGGGCTTCCTGCCGAAGCGCTCGGCGAAGAAGAAGCCCATGGCGCAGCCAAAGAAGGCGCCGCCCTGAAAGGTTGAGACAATGTTGGAAGACAGATCGGCCTTTGCCGACGGGTCTGCGTCTGCGAGGCCGAACCTGCGCTGGAAGGAGGGAAGGTTGATGGTGCCGCCGATGAAAGCACTGTCATATCCGTACATGGCGGCTTTTGAGTCTCTTGTCAGCCTTGTGTCCGCTCCATGGCCAGGATGGCGGCTCCCTCGGGTCAACTTACAAGCCCATGATGCTGAGAAGGCCAACAGGTACGGCCTATAGCCGTAGATCTCGGGCGGTGCCTCATCGCCGGGACGTTCCTTGAGCGCGAATGGGTTTCGCATCTTGGTGAATCGGACTATCAGAGCCAACGTCGGAGTAGAAGATATTCAATCGTCGTGTATGGAGGAAGCAGAGGGTTGGAATCAGGGTACATCCGGGGAATCAAAGCGATAAAGCTTCCCCAGGGTTTCGGTCCCGATTTCTTGGATCAAGGGCGGCCACGCTATCTTCAGCTTCAACATCATCCTGGTCATGAAGATGGGAGCTTTCCAGAATCGCCAGCATCAGGAGAAGTGTTTAACCGCCCCTCAAGGATTCTAGGAACGTAGACTCGTAATAAGACACCAGAATGCCGAAGATCGGAGTCAAATTGCTCGCCTGGGGTAACGCTCACCCCCATGGGGGGTTCCGCATTTGGTGCTAACAGGGATCGCCAAGAGCAGGAAGAATGGTGTTTTGTGAAGGATTGGCGTGAGTAGTCGATACTGTCCTCTCATTTGTCCCTACAAGCCTAGAATCCCTGCCATACTCCACGATTCCAGCGCCATGGTTCTCGATGAGCCTTGTTTTCCCTCGGTTGCTGCTAATTATTTATCAAGTGCAGCGCTTGGCATGTCAGACGTGCCGGGTATCTGGTCTGGTGCAGAGCCGTATCGCCGGTTTCGGTACACGATTTCCGGATCCATGGCCCTTTTGGTAGTATAGCTTCATGTAGCATATCCACGGAAACTCCAATTCCTAGGCCATGATCTTGGTCTCGAACTGTTTGCCGGCCAGTTCTTCCAGCAACCATCATGTCACCACCAAGATTCCCCTCCTTTGATGAGCTGCCACTCGACACGTCCGGCCCGCCTGGCAACGCCTGGGGTCTCTGGGGGCCAGACGACGAGCTGGGCAGGCTCAATCTCCTGACGCCCGATGTCGTTGCCGCAGCTGCCTCGGAGATCCAGGAAGGCGTCCGGATCTCTCTTGACTGGCCTCTGAACAAACCATCCTTCCCCACGTTTGGGAGACAGCCGTTTCACCACGAGATCCTGAACAAGGCGCCCATGACGATGAATGATGATGCCATCAGCATCAATACGCAGAGTAGCACCCAGTGGGATGGCTTTCGTCACTACGGTACGAAGGCGCAAGCAAGGGCAGGCCTGGAGGGCTCATGAGTATCGTATCTGACGAAACAGGGTATCAACGCGCAAAGCAATTCTACCAAGGACATACTCAAGATGAGTTTTCAAATGACTCTGGCCCGATCGGGATTGACAGTAAGGCTACCATATTGTTCAAGGCGCGACGTCATATTGTCGCTGACGAGGGAAAGCCTTCTCCAACAGCGGAGGCATCATCGGTCGAGGCGTCCTCGTAGACTGGTACGGCTGGGCACAGAAGCATGAAATATCCCGCTCCGCCTTTGAGACGGGGGCCATCCATCTCTCAGAAATCAAAGCCATTGTGGAGGAGAATAGCATCCAGCTGCGTCACGGCGACATTTTGTTCATCCGCACTGGCTTCACGGCGCAGTACAACGCCCTCTCGCCCGCGGAGCAGGCAAACCTGCCGAATCGGCAACCGGGAGGTCTTCTCGGATTCGAAGCCACGCGGGATTCCATGCGCTGGCTGTGGGAGAACCGATTTGCGGCCGTGGCATCAGACGCGATGGGATTCGAGCGTGGCCCGGCCACAGGACCGTACAACGACCCCGACCTGAGCGTGCATCAGTGGGCGCTTGCTGGCTGGGGGATGCCCATTGGGGAGATGTTCGACCTCGAGACGTTGGCAGAGAAATGCGCTGCGAGAGGGCGATGGTCGTTTTTCCTGTGTAGTGTGCCGCTCAAGGTGAGGCGAAGCAGTCATTTTCCCCCCTTTTTTCGCACTTTGCTGATGGATGCAGATACCTGGAGGCGTGGCAAGTCCTGGAAACGCCGTAGCCATTCTGTAGGCCCTCGTGGTGACGAAAAATGGTCCATGTTATTATAAGATCAGGTAGCCTGGCTCTACTATTCCACCTCTAAGAATTTGTGCGAGCATAAAGCCCTGTTCCACCCCTTCCCATTAGATAGCCACGGCTGGTGAAGTAACAAGCCAGGTGCGCCCTTTGATGTGAAATGCGTCAGTCCCCTTGCTTATCCGGCGGTGTCGTATCATCCAAGAATCGAATCGAACGGTTGGGCAGCTCTGGCATCGATGCGAGTGGTCCCTGGTTCTGGTCGACTGGCTTGTTGCCGAACTGGTCTGCTGCCTTCGGTGGTTCAGGGATGACGGAACCACGCAGTCTGGGACCCATGCGAATGTACTCATCATCAGATTGAGTCTGTGCTTGCGACTCAGCGTCGCCGGTCCGTTGCTTCCGCGCAGCTCGATTGCCGGCCCGGCTGAGTGGAAATACGACTCTACCGCGGACTCGTACGGCCCTCTGGTTCGGGTCTCCCTCGTCGCCGCTCATGATGGAGAGATTGCGAGTTAGGGTACGAGGAGCATAATACCCAAGCTTTCCGAGGGGAATGCTCAGTCCATGAACGACCTGGAATAAAGTTAGCATAGACCTACAACGGCTGGCGTCGAAAAATACATACAATGCTGCACACGGCAAGGAACCATACGACAACGCGAACAGTCTCCTTGAATTGATCCAGATCCGCTGCAGGGTTAGGACCCTCCGCAAGGCCATCGATGAACTCGAGGGTAACGTAGAGATAGAACACGGCGGAGACTCCAATGGGGCCAAAGAATCCCACAAAGATGGCCTGCTTCGCCTGCTCAATCTGCGGGATCCAGCGATGAATGGCGAACACGAACGGCAGGCGTCGGAGCATGAGGACCAAGATACCCAGGGGGATCAGGCGATAGATGGGGATCACATTGTTGTGCACAAACTCGTGCCACGGAATCACGGCGCCATACCACATGAAGATTGTGACGTTGAGCAGCATGTCAATGGTCGGCTGGAACGAGTCGTCCTCGGTCTCCAGGCGGAACCAGTCATCCCACGTGAAGGCGTTGCCCGCAATGAAGCAGGCCAGGACGTCGTCGCTGCCAATCATGCCGCACGTTCCGACAATGAAGAGCGCGAGAGAAATCGCAAAGACGAGGAAGCTCTCTCGATCCACATACTTGCGATCCTCGGCCCACTTCAGCAGTACCTTTGCCAGCAAGCCGGTGGCAGCGCCATAGATGACGCTCAGGATAATGGTATAGCCCCAAGTCTCGCCGAACCAGAGACCTATTGCCGTGCCAGCGCCCGCCGCCGACCCTTGCTCTCCATGTGCACCGACGTGTTTGATGAGGTACAAGGCCAGGAAGAGGAAGGGATAGCCCAGGCCGTCGTTGGCGCCCGACTCGCTGATGATGAGGTCTTGGAGGTCCTTGGGGATGTTATGGTCGGCGAACCGGCCCTTGACGATGACGTTGGACAGAACCGGGTCGGTGGGCGTAACACAGGAACCGACGGCCAAGGCATAGAGGAACGGGAAGCTGGGAACCATGGCCCAGACGAGGAGGCTCGTGGAGAGCCACATGCAGGTCATGACGAGCCCGACGAGCAAAGTCATGGGCCTCCATTGGACGCGCAGGTATTTGCTCGGCAGCTGCACGCCGGCGAGCACGAGCTGGACGCCGAGGACGAGGCGGGAGAAGGCCAGGGTGACGGCCTCGACATTGGCCTGCGTGCCTGCATATTCGAGCGGTCTGATCAAATTCGCCGCGTGGGGCGAGAAGGCGACGCCAGCTAGGAGCGATATGACTGCGCGGGATCAAACGTTAATGTTAGTCAATGCTGAGCATTCTATTGGGATGAGGATGGAAGGGCGCGCGTGCTTACGGGCCTCGGAGAGGTAAAAGGTCTCTTTGCAAAGGAACGACACGAGACCAAAGAGTGAGATCCAGCCGCCCAGGAAGCCCACCAGAATGTTGAAGTTTGTGAGCGCCAGCGTAGGCATGATTGCGATCTTGGCGCGCGCAGGAAAGTGCCTGCAGGGTCCTCTGTTATGCGATTGTCCTGGGCTTGGCGATGCTCATGTTGGCGATGTGCTCGACCTGGTGGTGTTGAAGACGCGGCGTGTCGACAGAGGAACGTGAACGAAGCGATAATTCAAAATCTTAATAATAATCGCGCAGAGCCTGCTGCGTCATAGCTTTTTAGCATGGACAGTTCAACAACTTTAATACCCGGTGGTGATCCGCTCTCACGGCAAAGTCGGCAGCGAACGCGCGCCACTGTGGTGGCCGAGTCGCGGGCTTGCGGTCTGGTGCCTGTCATAGACTTGACTAGGACATGCCTGGAGCTCGCACTGGACAATGCCATGGCGTTTTGTCGTGCTAGTACGTAGGTACACTGAGTTTCCGTGGACGGGGGTGGGATTGGGCCAAGATCTTGATTGAAGTGGCCTACAGCCTTGTCGAGGTCGTGTCGAAGGCCGCCAGCTTCCAGCAAGGCAGCAAGCCAGATTACTTCACCCAGAATGCCGCGGTTTTCCCGTTAACGCACGTTGCATTAGGTTTAGTCCCCAACTTGTTCATCTTGGCTTCTCCCAAGAACTACAATCTTTGCAGATGAGTTTGTCAAGATATGTCAAGCGCTGAAACGATGGTTCATTGGAGTCATTGCGGTCTTCTTGGGGGGAACCTACCGTAAGATGGGTGACTCGACAAAGAAGAGGCTCGTCTCGCTACAGCGACGCGCGCCTTTGCTAGATCGTTTGGGAGGCCAGGAATGAAGTTGATGAAGAATAGAGCTAGTTTACATTTATTCAGATACCCCTTCTCGCGCCCTATCATGACGCATCCCCCTCCCGCGAAAGTACCAGGTCGGAACAGCAAGGACTGGAGAGACGAGCCTGATAGTGCCCGTTTGCATAGACCGATATCGATACGTCACCCCCACCTCTGATACATCTCGTCCTCGGGTCAATGTCGACAAGAACCGATCTATCTCATCGCCAGTTCCTACAGCACCATCCCAATTCCAATCCATCACTTGTCGCACGCATCTTCATCCGCCGCACAGATAACCAATGGCCCGCTGCCTCATTGCGATGCAAATCACCAGCTGAGCGCGGCGCAGCTGTCCTATCAGAAGCCCATCCACCCCATTTCAGCTCTCATCTTCCCGGCACCAGCCAACCGATTACGGTCAGCAATCCAGGAACCGCCTGCGAGTCCTCCCCAATGAACAGACTCGTATGACAGTGTGCCAGAAGACTGGTTCAGTGAATCCGTACATAGTCGATATAAATATCACCGCTCGGTGGTCTGTCTTGCCTGGGTTCGATCCTGACTTGGGCAACTCTCCGGGCCAATTTTGTTTTCCAAGGGCATTTGTGTTGTTATTCTTGCTTGTGTGCGATACCATAGGTACCATGTCGCTTCACCACGAGCGAGCGGCGTCTGTCGAGACGCTGCCCAACGAGGTGAGTTGGCCGTGCACCAGACAGTGGGCGGCAGGGCGTCCTAACAAGCCATCTCCAGATCATGGTCACCATCCTCGACCCCTTTGCCACAACTGAGCTTCTCCCACTGGCCGCCGTCAGCCATCGCTTCCATCTGGTCATCACGCGCCTCCTTCATCGCCGTCTCGTCAACGTCGCCTCCCTGTCTAGCAATGATCTCATCCTCGAGTGCTATCACCCAAGCGCCAAGATCACGACCCCTTATCTTGCCTGTCGTCATCTCGGCACCTCCACGCGAGGTGGTGAGATCAGCGATGCGGGACATGTTGAGGCGCATGATCTGAAAAGGATGTATTCGTCGTTCAAGCCCGTCATTGCAGAGGAGAACCGTCGTCGTCGGGTTGACGGTGAAATCGTCGACGACACGGCAACGGAGATGATCTCGCTCGACGAAGGCAGCCTCTTCTCACAGCTCTGCGCGCAGATCAACCTCGTCAAGGTGGGCCCCAGACCGGGTCTGTTCACCAGCTGCGTGCCCATGAGCGAGGGCGTGATCAGAACCTGGCGGGAGTGGCTTGCGCAAGAGGCAGACGGTCGTGGCGACGGTATCCTGTGGCTGGGAACCGACCAGGGCGTTGGTCTTCGATTCCGCGTCACGCATGGCGCCTCGGATCGGATGCCTGTCATCTCTGGGCCAGATGACTACCCGCCCATCACGTACAAGCTCGAGTACCAAGGTGCGTTTTTTTTGTTCAGTGGTGCAAGGGCAATGGATTGACCTCTGGCAGAACTCATCGTGCGCACGCGCAAGCTCCTCATCGCAGCTGAAGAAGCCGAGGTCCAGCATTTCTCGAATTCAGGTAAAGCCATAGTGATCGCTTCCATGTAGTCGGGTGAAACAGGATATGGGACAAGCCAACAAAAACAAGAGCTCGCAGGGATCCGGGAGGCTATTTTGCGTCTTGGGTGTGACAGTCCTTTTGCTTACCGCTTGCCTTAGTTCAAGAGCTGTACACGACGAGCCACAGCCTGGGACTACCAGCTTCGACGCTCTTCACGCTCGATGCAGCCACGGAATGGTTTCCAATGCGACCGCCACCAACGGGAAAATCCGTCGCGGTCTAGGGGACATGGACTTTATGCAACACAACGATGGCACAAGACTTCGATTTGATAGACAGCTTGCGCTTTGATGGCGGGCAACCGAGCCTGGTGGTCATGGACCAGAGTTCTATCGTGTGTGGAAAGTAGAAATGTGACGTGATATGTCTGTATGGACAGTCACATACAGGAGGTATAGCTAGAGAGGCATCGCTACATGAGGGCTCTGGTCTCGCCACAACATAGCTTCTCATCAAGGCAAATCCTCATAACCCCGTACAGGCATCCAAATGTACGTCCAAATACTCCAAAGATCCTAGATATAAAGCACACTATCATTCAGCTCAAAATCTATCGGAGCTCTTTCGCGTGGAGTCAGTCATCCCTCTCAGCTCCACATCGCTGCTCATCGTGCCCACCTCTCCGTCGTCGATGGTTTCCTCTTCATCCCGCTGTCGCCGAGCCATGTTGCTCGCAATCTGCTCCAGCCGCGCATCCATGTGCTGCGACACGCCGTTGCGTTCATCTCGCCAGCGGCGCCAAGCCTTGCGAAGCATCTTCTTGCTCGTGATGAAGAAGATGACGGCGTTCCAGAGTCCCTGCAAGGGCAGCACAGCGGCGGTAGCGACGTGATACCCATACGGTGACGAGGCCGTTCGCCAGCTGTGGATGCGGTTCATGCTGCTGGGGATCCAGGTCACCAGGACGCTGATCGCGAAGAGCACGCTCGTTCGGAGATAGGCGCGCTTGATGGGATCAGCGATGCCGAATTTGGCCAGAAGGCCCATGTACTTCTTCGCCTTGAGCGGTTCTTGCATCGACAGTGCAGGGGCAGCTGTGACAAAGGTTGAGTACTGACTCGGCATTGTCGGCACCTGTCTCTGCGTCGGAACTGCGTGTGTAATGGTCCTATCGCGTTCGGATGAAGAAAGGGCTGCCCTTTGCGGTTCAGAAGGTGGATTCGGCATCGTGGCCGCTGTGTGAAAGATCTGGACCTCGGTGATAACGGTGCCGTAGAAGCCATCGCACGGAACCTCTGGCAGCTTCAATGACCCTGAACCCTGTCTCGCAAGGCGGAACTGTCGCGAGGAGAGGAGATGAGGGGGGCAGCGAGGAGAGGCTTTGATCGAGTCGTCGGATGTGTGATGTAGTGAAGTGTTGGAAAAGGAGTGGACTTTGTTCCGCGTGCGCCAGACGAGATAGCCCACGGCCGCGTAGAGGCCTATGGAACCGACGATGCAGATCCAGATGAGCATGTAGTATGTGTAGATGCGGATATCGTCCCACTCGCGGTCTACCCAGCACCAAATCTACACATGTGTTAGTCCGATCCTGAGAATCAGGGATTGTAAGGGGGTCTTACAGTGGCCTCGCCATACACCAAGCCCCGCTCATCATTCCTGATGACCAGGAGAGTCAGAGCAATGCAAAATGGTCCCCCGTAGCAAATAATGCAGTAGAGCCACCACCACCGTTGGAACGAGTCTGGCTTGGCGCGGAAAAAGAAGACGAGGAAGACGTTGACGGCCATGGCGAGCGACCACCAGGGGTCGCTCTGCATGAACATTTCGAACAGAAACGCCTGCGTCTGACACAGCGAGGATTCCTTGCCAGCATTCAGCCCGTCCATGGCGATGATGCTGGCAATGCTGGCGCCAACGTTGGCGACGCTCGCGAAAGCAATGAAGCGATTCTGCACATTGCGCACTTCGGGAGCGAGGTAGTAGGTGAGGAATATGAGAAGTACGGCGACCAGAGAGATGCAGCCGCCGGTGCGTTCGAGTGAAATGAGTGTCGTCGTCTGCCAGTCGTCGAGTTGTTCGGATATGGGGATGTCGGGCGGGCCTGTGCTCGACATGGCGACGGCTCAGAACAGAAGCGCGTACTGCCAAGTACCTTACGCAAGAAACTATCAACTGACCATTGATTTGCGTTTAAAAGGGGGCGCCGTCATAGAGGACCGTGCTGACGGCGAAGACCGAAGTTTGCGTAGCAAGATGAGGCTGAGCGTGCTGCGCGGTAACACACAACGCAGCAACAGGATCGTAACAGGCCCCAACGATCAGGAGGCGTAAGTTGAAGAATCCAAAAAGAATGAGAGAAACGCAAAGACAAAGAGGTGAGGGAAACCGTCCGAAGGCAGGCAAGCCATCGCCACCTCAGACGAACTGAAGGGGGGTGGTTCACGCGTTACAGACGGGAGCAGAATTGTTGTACAACATGCGGCCATCCTGCTTGCTTGCCTGCTTGCTCTCTTCCCGAGCGTAGACCACCTCATCTTGCTCACGTATCCGTCACCTTCGAGGGTCACAGGGGGGGTGCATCCCCCTCCGATTCAACCCCAGATTCCGACCCAATGGACGACTGGAGTCTGGAGATGTGTATTGACGCACAGGCCTGGCAAGGCACACTCATCGCCACCAGCATCGAGATGGAGCCTGACGAGAGGTGATATAAGGAGACAGCAGCTTGTTTGTTTGACATTGCTGCACTGGGCAAACAGCGGCGGGCGGCATCTTGATTTCTGGACCTGCGCACTCGAGTAGGCACGTCCACTCCCGAGTCTTCAGGACTAGAGTGTCTTCAACACGAAGCCACAAAAATTGACTGTGAAAGAAGATGTACGTGGCTGGTCCGCGGTTCCACGCACAAGCCACCCGTGAAGTAGAAGCTCGGATCAGAGACATCCCCTTTCCACCTATTCAACCTCATCTGCAACCACCCAAAGGCGATGCAGCTTGAGGGGCAATCCCAACGTGCAGCACCAACAATGCGAGTATGTGCTTGGAAAGAGAACCAACTGCAATGATGTCTTAATAATACCAATACGTAGGTTTTAGCGTGCCTTTGCATCAATTTGCCCGCCGCGTCTGCAACCAGACTGCAGCTTGCCGGGTTGGCATGCAAGCTCCAGCCTGGTTGCGCGAGGTAACACTGAGCTGCCAACAAATTCCCTTCGCACAATTCGTCGTGTGACAGCGCCCCTATAATCGCGACACAAGAGCTGCATCTCCAGTCGGTCAACACCCAGCGCCACGCTCTTGTGTTCTGCTCGATGCGTGAGGCTCGTCCCCTCGTCCCAGCCAGTGCCGCCTACCCTGCATCAAGTGGAATCCACCACCAGCATCACGCGCCCAGGATCAACCGCGTAAAGAAGGAAAGCAGAGTAAATTGCATGCTCGCCCTCCGTATCTACCAAAAAGCATTCATACATCGAGCGCAGAGCCCCCGGCCACGCCAATCATACCGCGTAATTGTGCGTACATAGTCCGTATTGTGCAGTCCCGAAATCATCCAAACAACGCCATTTCGATGCGCTTTCCTCGCTCATTCGCCCGTTGTTCCGTGGTGCCAGTCTAGTTGGCCAGAATGGTCCTGACAAGGTCTAGGTGTTCTTGTCAGCTTGCGCACGTCCAGAAAACGCGGGCGGGGCGGAGCTTACCTGTGTAGTTCACCTGCCCTGAGCTCGTGTCCACCGCCTTGAGCAGCTCGTCCACCTCCTCGTCGGTCATCTTCTCGCCCAGGTTGGTCAGGATGTACTTGAGCTGTCCAACGCCAATGAAACCCGTCATGTCCTTGTCGAACACCTGGAAACCGCGGCAGTACTCCTCCGGCTCGCCAGGGTCGCGGAAGCCGCCGGGGCGGTTGAGCACGCGCTGAAAGGTCTCAAAGTCAACTGCAACGACGTCAGCACCCGTTCAAGTCGCCTTCTCTAGAGAATCAGATGGGGAGTGGCCAGGACGTACATTCTCCTCCCACGTTCTTCTCGAGGTCCTGGATCTCGGAGAGGGTGGGGTTCTGACCGCACGCGCGGAGCAGGTCACCAAGGCTGTCGAGGGTGACGCGACCGTTGCCGCGCTTGTCGAAGAGCGCAAACGCCTCCTTGTAGTTTGTGGAAGCCTGGGAATCAAAGTTGTTAGACATTGTGACTGAGTTGATTCTTGTGCAGTTGGAACGAGAGTGTGGATGTGCAAAACGAATGCGCGCGCGAGATTGTCGAGGAGAGTAGAGGCGGCGATTTCGTAGTGGGGTTGGTTCGGGTCCTCTAGTCCAGCCGTGTTTACAATTGCGCTGCGCTGGTCGTTCGGACGGATGGTTGATTGGTGGCCAGGGCAACACCGTCTGGCGTAAGGGGGGGTGTCAGTGGTGCGGGCGAGTACTTACCATGGTGTGCGTGTGTGCGTGTGCGACTGCAAATGCTGCTGGGGAAATCGTTGGAACGAGGGATACAGCGAGATGGAAGCAATTCGTGATGATCGAGGTCGGAATGTTTACAGGAGAGGAAAGAGGGACAATCAGGCGGCAGTCCAAGACTTTTGTTGCTCCACGTTGCAGCGGTCAACAGCATGCCCCTGCCTGCACAACTCGGAGCCCCCTGTCTAACTGCAACTTGTACATTTTGTGGATGTTTTGCCGCTAATGATCTGCTGTCCCAGCAACGAACGCCCGACTGTTCTCCAAGCCTTATCTTATGCATTGGTTACCGACGCATTATTTCGCGACTTTGCAATTTATTATGACACGGTTTTTCTCTGAGCCGGATTGGCCCTTGCGTTAGGTTGCGTTCATCAAAGACGATTTGCCTCGGGATATTCCAAGCTGGAGGGCCACGACACAAACGGAGGTCTCCCCCAGCACATTTGCACTCAACAGGCCAGTTGATATCACATGTCCTTGGTTCGTGTAGCGTGTAGCTAGAGCCATTGAGTGTTGTAGTCTGCTTAATTTCGAATCAGATGCGTCGTGATGCTTACGTTAGGTCCGTTACACTTGTCATCCCAGTGACTTGAGCCGACCCCGCAGGCGGGCTACAAACGTTGGCATGTGTCAAACATCTTTCTACCATCATTGACTACCTAGCACTCATCATATACTAATCACCATTCAACTCGACGATCCATTGAAATGGCTTCTGAAGCGACTGCGCGCAAGTTCTTCACTGCCTCGGCCTTTGCTGTCGTTGGTGCCAGCAGCAACACGGCCAAGTTTGGCCACAAGGGTACGTCTAGGGTATATCAATTAACTTCGTCGCATCGTCGTCTCTGACTGCACCCAACAGTGTTCGCCTGGTATTTGGCCTACAACCTGCCAGTCACACCGATCAATCCCTCAGCGGGCCATGTCACCGTGCAGGGCAAAGACTACCCAGCTGTCCCTAACCTCACCGCCCTCCCCAACCCCAAGGAAACCGCTGTGAGCATCATCACCCATCCAGCCATCACGATTGATGTGCTCAAGGAGGCAAACCGGGTGGGCGTACCTAGCATCTGGCTGCAGCCGGGAACTTGGGACGATGCTGTCCTGGCGTTTGCAAACGAAAAGGGCAACTTTGAGAATGTCGTCTATGGTGACGGAGGTCGGGGAGGCGAAGGGTGGTGCGTGCTTGTTGACGGTGAGAGAGTAGCCAAAGCCGCTGGAAAGCTGTAGTTAGCACACTCTTTTAGCGATGCTGGCAAATCACTCAAAGCATCTTCTGGTGAGCGAATGTCTTCCTGGTCAGTGCTTTGAACGTTCTCCAGACAATCTGTGAGAGGCCAGAGCGGTGCGAGCAGATCAAGGCAACGACATTGACAACATTCAACTTGAAAGCTTCTGACTCTACGAATGGAACCGGAGCGGAGAGCAGCAGAAACTTTGTTCAATGCATCTGCGACGTACTGTGCCTCAAGTTCTCAGTTCTCACCAGTCGATGGATCAAGGCGGTCGACATGACCCAGATGACCCCACTTATTCCAAGTAAACAAACGCGACTCCACCCATCAAATCCCCGGCCACCGCGACACCACCACCACTATAGCACCTCGTGTCTCCAACTTCGTTCGACATCCGGCACTTTTTGGACTTTTAACATTTGCATTTGTAGTAGTGGGATCGTGGCTCTTACTGTGCTTCTTTCTGGTTGAACTGTACTTTGTTATTACGCCCTACAGCTGGCGCACTTGCTTTCGCATCTCCATCTTCTTCGTCAAACGAACGCGCTTACTCCACGCGCGTCGCGCAATCACGACTTACGACATCACCTTTACGCGACACGAACCCAACACCTTACGCAAAACTTTGCGCAAACGGACAGGAACTGCCTGGGAGAGCTCAATATGGAGGTCGAACCGACGGACGACCTGTACTTCACCTTTGAAGGCCGTCTGGCCTCCTTTCAGAAGACCAAGAAGCGCGGCTCGACAGCCAAGGGCGCGCGGACGTTGAACTGGCCTCATAAGAAGATCGACCCAGAACAGGTAGGCCGCTACGCTGAATTGTCCTTTCCACTCGATGCGGTACTGACAATATCAGCTCGCTCGCGCTGGATTCTTCTTCCAACCATGGCCTGAAAACCCCGACAATGTCGCATGCTACCTCTGCCACAAGTCCATGGATGGCTGGGAGGAGGGCGATGATCCTCTCATTGAGCATCTGAAGCACTCCACGTCGTGCGGCTGGGCGATATGCGCAGCGGTAGAAAGCGAGGTGGAGGGATTCGCGCAAGTGCACCCTGCAGAGAAGGACATGGTAGAGGCTCGAAAAGCGACATTTGCTGGGCGGTGGCCACACGATGGGAAGAGGGGTTGGAAGTGCAAGACGAAGCAGGTGAGTTGTTCTTGCCTCGACTGACCGTGATAACGCTTGCTGACGGAGGTTGGCGCACAGCTTGTTGATGCTGGTTGGAAATACACACCCACGCCTGAAGCGAATGACAACACGACATGCACGTACTGTGGTCTCGGGCTTGACGGCTGGGAACAGAACGACAAACCATAGTAGGTTTCCCTCCATGCTGCTTAGACATGCGAATATGCTGACAATGGCAGTGACGAGCACTACAACCGATCCCCACACTGCCCCTTCTTTGCCTTGTCGGCACTGCCCAAGCCAAAGGCCTCTCGTGCAAAGACTGCCCGAGGATCCAAGGTGTCCCGGCTCTCGACGCAATCCATCGCGACCTTTACCTCTGAGGCGCCTTCACTGGCCGAAACGACATTTGCCACGGCAGTTGGTAACGACACTGTGCTATCGACGACGTCTACAATGGCTACAAAGAAAGGCCGTGCGCCCAAGGCGGCGGCAACGGCCAAGGGGAAGAAGAGCAAAGCCAAGAAGGAACCTACGCCGGAACCAGAAGAACAGGTGCAATTCGAAGAGGTGCAGCTCGAGGCGGATCGAGAAGTAACGCCAGAAGCTCCACCCCCCAAAAAGGCCACTCGCGGGAAGAAGCGTGGCAGTGAAGCTGTGAACGAGTCGGTCTTGACTGTAGTCTCGGAAGCGCCCGCGCGGAAGAAGAGAGCTACCACGACGAGTGGGAGCGTGGCCGTCGACAGCTCTGTTGCTGAAGCGACGGACGACTCGCAGATGACGGACGTACCGGCGCCAGCGCTCAAGAAAAAGTCTACGGCCAAGAAGGGACGCGCATCTGCAGCGAAGTCACGGAAGGCTTCACAGTCGAAACCCCAGCCGGTAGCGGAGCCTCCTGCCCAAGAGGCTCCGGCGATGTTTCCCGACGATGACGAAATTGAGAGGCAGCTTGAGGCCGACCTTGAGCGCCCTCTGACTGATGATGATGATATTACCGCCGACTCGGATTCGGAGAGGAGGAAGGCCAAGGCAAAGTCCAACAAGGCCAAGGCACCGGGGCAAGAAAAATCTGCCGACTATGCCATGTTTGATCCTTCACCACCAGAGGAGCTTCAAGAAGCAGAGGTCGACGCCGAGCTGGAAGCCCTGCGCAACGAGATGGAAGTCGAACCGGTCGAGTCTAATATCCCGCCCCGTGCCGAGCCTGATTTGGATCGGGAACCGGATGCGTCAGAGGAGCCGGAGCAGCTGACGGTTCCTAAGAAAGGTCGCAAGGCGGGCACCCGGAAGGCATCAAAACAGACCAAAGCGAAAAAGGCAAAGATTGCTGCAGTACCTGTTGCAGAAGAGCCCGAACCAGAACCCGAGCACGAACCTGAGCTTGAGCCTGAACTCGAACCACAAGAGGTCGAGGTTCCTGGCGGGAGAAACGAGAGTATTGGCAGCACAGACACCGTGGTCAAGAACACAGAGGTGGAGATTGAGGAAGAATCTTATGGGCGATCATCATTCCACTCCATCGCCTCTCGGAAATCGGTCACAGCCGAAGAGGTTGTAGAAGAGCCTGTGGTCAAGAAGAAGCCTCGTGGTCGGCCCTCAAAGGCATCGCTTGCATCACAAAAATCAGTGGAGTTTGTGGACGTGCCGATCGGAGATCCGGAGCCTGTTGCTGAACCCACTGCCAACATCAAGAAGAAGCTCTCGAAGAAGGCTGCAACAGCCCCCGAGCCTGCTCAGGAAGCAACCAGTGATGAGGCCGAATCTCTTGACCCCCCTTCGGCGGCACCGCAGCCAGCCAAGCGCCCCCGTGGTCGACCCTCGAAAGCCTCCCTCGGAGCTCAAGCCCTCGTCGAGAGCATTGAGCCGGCAGATGATTCGGTCGTGGTAGTCGAGCCAGTACAAAAGCCAGCCAAGAAGGGTCGTGGTCGACCATCGAAAGCGTCGACCGAGGCCCGAGAGGAGCCAATCGAGGCTGATGCGCACAAGGTCGAGCATGTTACGCCGGTGGAAGCCCCGGCGCCTGCGAAGCGCGGCCGAGGCCGTCCGTCCAAAGCAGTTCAGGAAGCATCTGCCGTTGCCAGCTCACAGCTTCAGCCTCAGCCGGCGGAGCAAGCACCCAAACGCGGGCGTGGAAGACCACCCAAGAAGTCATCCATTGAAAGCAAGCCTGAGGAGGCGGAGGCTCAACTCCAACAGGAGGCCATGGACGCTGAGACGAGGCAAGTTGATCAGTCACGAGACGACGATTTGGAGATACTGGAGGACGAGCCGGACCTGCCGCCTACTCAGGAGGCAGTCGCTATACCATCATCTCCGCCAGGCAGGCAGGCAGCCCATCCACCGTCGACGCCAGGCCTCAGTGCTACGTCGGCGCGTCAGGCCGGCCTATCTCCCTCCCAATCACTACAGTCGTCTGATGCAGAAAACCAGCCACCCAGCTCGAGACCTACGGGCAGCGTCACCACCCAGCGCGTTGCGCTGGCGCCCGTGGCAGCCACACCGACGCGTCTCTCCCCATCCAAGCGAAACATCTTGTCCAACCTGCAAAGCAAGACGCCCTGGAAGGCCGTCGATCTCGATGCTGTCCTCGAGTCGCCTCTCAAGGGCAGTGCTCGCCCAGACGAGAACACGGTCGATCGCCTCCTGCGCAAAGGCGGCGAGTTGACGGCGAAGGAGAAGGGCATGACGGTGGAGGAATGGGTCCACTACAATGCCAGCCTGGCGGAGGACATGCTCAAGGGCCAGTGTGAGAAGATGGTGAGCCGCTTTGAGAGCGAAGGTGGGCGCGCAATGAACGTGCTCGAGAACATTGAGGTGGAATAGAGTTGGTATAATGACCGTTTGGGCTAATGAGGCGTTACGGGTGTCTTTGTCAATGATACGATGGTTTTGATGAACGGAATTGCCATGTGCCTGTCTGTCTATGCTACTCCCTCTCAAGTGAAAGTACACGAACGATGTGTTAGAACATGAGGATGTACTTGTCAATCATTCTGCATTCAAGCGCTATCACAGCTCCCTCTCATTGTCCAAATTATTATGCTCGCCATCGAATCTATGTGTGTGAGATTGGCGCATCCCAAATCCAAACCCCCAAGCCAACCATGCGTGCCATTTCCCATAAAGAGCGTAAAGTTAAAAACCAGGGTATCATTTGTGTCCAAACAGAAAAAAAGGGGTTTCCGTATGCGCCCCTTTTCTTCCTTTCCCGCGCCGCTATGTGAAGAAGATCTTGTATCGTTTTTTCCACCGTAAAGATTGACGTGAATGTATAAATGGGTCTCGTATATACGTTAAAACCAGACATTCCCTTTCTAGAAAAGGAGAAGCTTAGACGAAGAAGAAGGTGAGGACAACGGCAGCCAGAGTCAACATGGGCGCGCCACGACCGGTTGTTGCAGCTGCGCCGGGGATCGGGGTGGGAGTCGGCTCGTCGCCGCCCGTGGGCTCGGGAACCACGGGGATGGAGTGGGTGCCCGACATGGTGTAGACGGGCGTGGAGACGTCGCCGTCGTCCGAGTCATCGCCGGGCACAGGCTCCCCATCGTTGCCGTCCTCGGGGGTATCGTCGTCCGTGGGGAGGGGCACGGGCATCACCGTCCCGTCAGTTGTGGTCAGGGACACGGGGACAGCGACTGGGGTGCCATGCTGGGTGGTGATCACGACAGGAATCGAGATGGGCGTTCCATCGACGGTGGTGATGGAAATGGGGGTTCCGCCCTCGATGGTGGTGATCCCCTCGGGCAGATCAGTGGGAGCGAGGATGACTGAGGTCTGGGTGTCGGCGGGCTCGTCGGTAGCGGTAGCAGTGACTTCCTCGTCGGTGCTCGAGACTCCGGGGTAGCTGCTTTCATCGGACGATGTCAAGCTGGTGTTGGGCGTGTCGGGCTCCTGGCTGGTCAACGTAGCCGATTCCTCGACAGTGGTGGTCTCCGTCACTTCATCGGGGATAGTGGTGGGAACTGGCTCGGTGGTCGTAGGTTCGACGATGATGGTGGTCGACGCAGGCTCTTCACTGGAGGACTCAGTCGTGGAAGTCTCCTCGGCGGTGGAGGTGGACGTAGACGTGGACGTGGAGATGATGGTGGTAATGACCGTCGTGGTAGGCTCAATGGGCGTAAAGGTACCCGAGCTTACCTCGTCCTGGCTGGTGGTGCTGACCTCTGGCTCGCTGGTGACAGCCGACTCGGGAGGTGGGACAAAGGTCTCCGTGGGCTCGGCATCGCCGCCCGCGCAGTGGTCAAGGAATTGCTTGAACTCGGGCACGATGTATTCACGAGCGGGGTCCTTGGTCTCGTCGCCATTCTCCACGACGCAGACCTGGCAGACGTTGTAGGCATTGAGGAAGGAAGAATCGTCCTCGCAGAGGTCATCAGACTTTCCGAGCGATAGGGCAATTTTCATAGCATTGTTGCAGAGGGCGAAGCAGACGGCCGGAGTGTCCACGTCACGCTTGTTGAGCGTGCGACGAACCAGACGGTAAGGCTCAGGGGTGGCGCTGGTGGTCGTCGTCGTGGTAGGGAGTGGCCATTCGCTCAAACTCGCCTGCGACTCCCAGTTGCCGGTGGTGACGGTAACCGTCGTGCTCTCCTTGACCTCTTCATACACCTCGTACTCGAAGATGTCAAACGACAACCCGAACGCCTCGGGGTTCAGATCAAAGTAGCCGTAGGTGGGAGGGTAGTAGCTGGTCTCGCCCTCTTCCCAGGTCACGTTGGGGAACGGGGGTGCGATTATACACTCCTCAGGTTTGCACAGGTAGTCGGGCGACGGCAGGCCGGGCCAGAAGTTGCAGCCAGCGGGCTTGGCAGGGTTACAGACGTAACCGGGCGCACAGCCAAAAGTATCCTCGCTGTCCGTGCTCAGGGGCGCCGACGCACCCGTCGGGGTGGGACAAAGCGTCACCTCGAAGATTGGTGTCACCGTAATGACCTCACCGGGTTGGGTGATGGTCTCAGGGGGTGTGACGATTGTGGTAGTGATGGTCTCGCCGTTCTCCGTGACAGTGACGGTCGTAGTTGTGCCGGGCAGAGTGATCACCTCGCCGGGGAGCGTAATAGTCTCCGGAGGGACCGTGACCGTTGGCCCAGGCTGAGTGATTGTCGCGCCAGGGCCGGTAATGGTCTCACCAGGCAGGGTTTCTGTGACAACATCGGTAATCACGTCGGTGATCCACGAAGTCACAGGGTAACTGCTAACTGTGCTAACCACTGTCTCATACTCGGTCGTGGTGGTCGTGGTGACGACGGTGTTGTCTTCGGTAATGGTGACAGGGATCTCTGTGGTGACGGTCGAGGTTGTTGTCGTCGTGACCTCCTCCCAGATGGTTGTAGGCGCGGTGCGAGTGATAAACTCGGTTCCAATGATGGTAGTGGGAATGGTTGTCGCGATCGTCGTTGGCACCGTCACAGTGGTCGCAGAACCGGAGATGACAGTCTCGATTGTGGTGAAGATGGTTGTCTGCCAATCCGTGACGGTGATATAGCCACAAGTGGGCGGCGGAGGCTCACAGTAGTCGCACTGGCGTTGCTCAAGTTCTCCGTCTGCTTCGCTGCCATATGTCGGCGTGGGCTCAGGCTCAGGCTCGGGGTAGCCATCGGTCGGATATCCAGTCCCTGGCTCGACGCACTCAACATAGGTGCTTGTGACGATCGGGTAGGAGACCGTGTAGGTCTGCGTTGCCGTCTCAACAACAGAGACAGTGGTCCATTCAAGACTCTGAGTGGTGCAGTCGGCGTTGGTGGCAGTGGTAGTGGAAGTGGAAGTGACAGTAACGGTGACTTCTTCAACTGTTGGCGTGGCAGTGGCAGTGACGGTGGAGGTGACGGTGACAGGGTCACCAGAGGTAGTGACCGTGGGGCCTGGGACGTCGATGTAGCTCTGCCAGCATTTCCATCAGTAAGTCTTCTCAAAGCCCATTCCCTCAGGTCATTTTACTTACAATGACGGTTATTTCGCTTGTTATAATTACAGTGCACATATACGTGCATGCCTGAATCGCCGGGTCACCGGCCTCGAGCTCACCGACGCCATTGATCGAATAAGCTCTGTATTCACCAGCACCTGTAGCCGCAGTGGCCTGCTCGGGCGCTGGTGTTACTGGTGATTGCGCGAGTGCGATCCCAGCGAAAGCGCCCAAGGCGCTGAGTATGTACGCAGCGCGCATTCTGGTTGAAGAAGCGAGTGTATTGCCAGGATCCGTGCCAAGTACACGAATGAGAAGGAGAGTCGGAGTCACCGGGCTAGAGATAACAGCAGGTTAATATCATGTGGACGAGACAGACGCTGGTCTGATATGTTGAAAGATAAAAGGGGGATGTTTGCGCGACGCAAACGAGGCTGCGAGCCTACGTACCTTTGTGGCCCTATGGAGAATCTGGCAGGCCCCGGCTGAGGGTTCTTCAATGTGTGATGTATGTGACCGTGCTCCTCTTCGTGCAATGTTTTAATGAAGGCGCAACTCGGTTGGATTGGAACCAACAGGCTGTGTTCACAGTTGGCGGTCCAAGCTCCAGAGGCTTGTTGCGGCCTATTGAGCAAGCCACCACCGCACACGACGACCCTTTGTACCGTAGTGACAGACGGCAAGGCTCTCGAGTAAAGGTGCTAATGCAGCTCCGGGCTCAGTCGATGTGCTGGCTATTGTCAATTGTGAGAGACAATGCGCTCGTCACGATTCGAGGTCAACTGCGGGAGACTTGTGGCTAGCAGCTCGGCAGCAAGCGAGGGAGGCAACGGGTTAGGAGGAACAGAGAAGAGCCGCTGCGTACTTAGGTATTGAGCCAAAGTCAGGCATACAAGGGACCGCGCATCTATTTAGGTGGAGGAGCAGCAGTAGCAAGGAAAGTGCGCAACATAAGCCCCCAGACGTAGGGCTCGGCATGGCAACGACAAGAAGGCTTCGCCTCTGCATCCCGGCACGACATGCAGGCAAGCATCGCCGCTCATTTGGACATGGATACGACGTGACCTCGACATGGGGTCCATTTTGGGTCGTAGACGGTAAGGACCGCGGCCAGACAAGTCGTCAGAAAAGGGCAAGCAGTCAGCAACCACGGCGAGATGAACGGAGCAAGGATCTTTTGGGTAATCAGGGCCCTCGTACAGCAAGTGGTAGACGTAGTAGTCTTACTCATCTGTTGTCTCGAATTGTCTGTCAGACCTCGAAGGACACAAGGCCAGGCTGTCAGCTCGAAGGAGGAGAGGTCCGGGACGGGCAAGTATCTGATGCCAAGGAACAGCGACGCAATGGTATGGGAGCAGCAGCCACCAAAGCAAGGTACTTCTCAGCCACGATCTGTAGCCGTCGCCCAGGGACAGGGGAGCGGAGAGGGGGCAGAGCAGGGGTATCAAAGTGGCCATGAGTACCTCGCTCTGGTAACAAACATGATGGAGCAGTCCCGCATTTGGCTTACCTCGGAGGAAGCATAAGGCTTTTCGCAAGCCAGAGTCTGGCAATGGCAAGGCATCGTGCCATAAGACGACCTGAACCCGTTCAAGAGTGAGTCCGGAGTTCTAGCCCAGAGCAGGTTTTCCCGGCACCGGATACGCAACGTAACACTCGGTACTACCGTGTCGCGTATTGAAGGACGGTTTAGAACTGTCCAACTGTAGACACTTCAGGATGGGGTAGCGATCACAATGGTCAGCCCTGCCGGGCAGGTGAGGTCTGGTCATAATAGCATGCTCTGCACGATTTTCGCCCAAGACTCAGGAGTGAGTCAAGAACTACGATGCTCGTTTTCGTCTCGATCGTGGGCGAGGCTGTCGGGCAAGGTGCGTGTACGGCGCAGCAGATTAAATGTATTGATGTGTGTGGCTCACGGACCCGGATGTCGGTTGTTGCGGTGGTGGAGGTGAGTGAAGAGATACTGTTGCCTGCAGCTCACTGGAGCTCAGGCACTGGCAAATATGCGAGTGGAGCCTGTGAGAATAGTATGGAGGATTCACTGATTGGACGGATCGCCCTCCAAGTTCCGCACGGCTCAGGGCCTCGGGCTGCACACGCACACTGGCAGGCACAGCAACACGGCCTGCGCTCTGGTGGAAGGAGCAGCCCGATCTTCCTTCATCGCGTTACTGACCAATTTGCGGACACCAGGGCAGCAAGAGAGCAGGCAATCCAACACCGAAAGATTGCTCGTAGGCGGACAGTGGCCTTCAACTACCAGTACTCAATCAGCTCTGCTTCTCAACTTCTCAACTCCCCCCTGCCTGCGGTCTGCCCTACGAGGCTACGGGACGCCCCCCGCCTCCGACCTCGTGAGGGGAAGGAAACAATGGAAACATGGCGGAAACAAAAACGCCATGCTGCCACGCCAAGACCAACCTTATGCTAACATGCTACGAGGACTTCGCGTTACGTGCCTATCCTTTCAGAGGCTCGACAAATACGTCTGTGAAGGGCTTGGAAGTTGGCTATGCGAAATGGCTAATAAGTGAGAAGAACAGGAGTATCCGTACGTCGACACAATTCCACATGCATGCCTGCGCCAGCGGGGGGAGCATGTCCCTCCAGCGTGACGACGGGTGAATCGGTGACCAACGCCGCATCTTACATAGGTGCACGAGTACACGCAATGCACAACGGCAAGCTAACTTAGCCTGTTCGTACTCACTCTCGGAGCATGGTACAGATAGGACATGGTGTACAGAACAACACCCCTGGCTATGGTTGGCATGACCGGCCCATCTACGCACGTACAAATAAATGCCAGCACAGTCATGCATCAAGACCGACGATCACTCGGGGTTGCATCTGCAAGCATGGAGAGAACCTGGCCGCCGGCCGCCTCGCTGCTCAAGCAAGTCCGAAAAGCAATCGAAACCAATTCCTCACTGGCGAATCGACGGCCTGCTGGTCGAGGATCATTCCGTCTCCTCCAAGATTGGGTCGCGGCGAGGCTCCGCCACGACACCCTCTTGTCTATTAAGCCTTCTTCTCGAACGCAACCACAATGGCTTTTGGCGACCACTTTCATGTCGAGCCAAAAGGCGGCCCGCGCGCCCCATCATTGCTGGTCTGGGTCTAGTGACCTAATTAATTCTTTCTGGATGTGAGCAACCATCCCTGTTCATGCATCGACCGACATATCTTTCGCGCTGAGGTCAGCACCATCGCTGCTTGGGGAGGCAAAAGACCCATCGAGGATGCTGGCAATTCCGAGGTTCCGTCTTTGAGAAATCAGTAGGCCCTTTTGCGGCAAAGGCGTTGCAATGTGCTTGCAGCTCCCAATGCGTCCCGACAGCTGCGTCTGGATTGCCAGTGCCCGAGCGCTGCGTGCAGTGTGCACGGGCTGCACACAAGTATTTCTGCCGAGATCCTGGCTGGGCTGCTGGATGTACGAGGTGCGTGCATGCGTGAGTTGAGGAAACCACAGCCTCATCTAATTATTGCATGTGGTGGTCGCATCCACCGCGGCTGTTCTCCTCCCGCCGGACCAGCTTTATGTACATCGGCCAACGCCGTAAAGCTTTTTGTCGCCCCTCTTGTGGCGAGTGTCACTCTGATATCGAGAGGTGTGAGTGAGTCTCGAACGGGTCGCATTGTGCACTCACTCATAAGTCGCTGCAAGACGACTTGGAGCCATCCGTCACACGGACGCTCTGGCGGCCATTGCACTAGTATTGCCCTCTGCTGGTGACTGTCAGCGGACGACACGCTGCTAACACATTGCCGTATCGTTTGACTGTCAGCATCAGCCGGCGTGGTTGCTAAGCCGCCAACCATCCGCAAAGTGTAGCCCAGACTCGCTGAGTATCACGGCTTTTGTTCCAGCAGCATGCACTGTTGCTGCCGTTGCGGATACTGATCTTTATATCCTGCCTCGGAGAATTTCTTTACTCTCTTTTTGAAAGCAATGCGCATCAAGACCTACACTTTTGCTGCGCTTGCGGCCGGCGCCAGCGCACAGTGGACTGGGTGGGCAGAGGACCAGGTCAACACCAGTATCTGCATATGGACGTTACCACGAGGTATGCTTTGACCCTTGTACCTCTTTTCGTCGCGAACTCATGTATTGCAGCTGCCCTTGTTCGTGACACCGTCTACCTGGACGGCGGAGAAATATGGTGGTCGCGCGGCCTGGCCGATGGCCGATATGATCCCGCATCCGATACGGGCAACTTCCAAGGCCAGATCTTGACGTACAATCTCAGCGATTCCTTCGAGGCAAAGGACAATACGACGGGCATCTTATTGAAAAATACCATCTCAAAGGCTCGAGGTGGATCTGGCAATGCCAACCGCGCACCGAACACCGTGGACGGCGGCATGTTGGCGAATGACTACCAGTTCTACATGTACGGAGGCGCTGTCCTTGTCATTCCTGAGCAATACGATGCGCCCGAGGAAGACGACATTCTCGGTTATCAGGTGTACCAATACGGGCCGGACAAGCCTGCGTGGCAGCGTGGCTTTGACGAGCCCAAGCTCAACAACAATGTCACCCGCTACGTTGCCTACGGCGCGGCCGTCAGTGCCCCCTCGGAGAACAAGGCGTGGTACTTCTCAGGCTTGACGACGGAGAACCACACCGATATCTGGGTCAACCCGAACATAGATGAAGCAGAACTCGCCAGAGAAACATCCGATAGACTGATTGAAGTTGATATGAAAGTCCAAACTTCCTTAGAGTGGTCCAACAGCTCCCTTTCTGGTGGTGTTAAAGGACGCTCAAACGCGGAAGCTGTCTGGGTGCCCGTTGGCGAGCAGGGTATCTTGGTCGTCCTTGGAGGTGCCACTCAACCATACTGGGCCAGCTTGACGCAAAAGTCGGATGACGAGGAGGCCAGTGTGAGTGTTTCGGTTTGAGAGGTGATGACTACCACTGACATTGATGATAACAGAAAGACGAAAGCCCCAAGTTCATGGAGACGATTGACATTTATGACGTTGCGGGCGGCGATTGGTACAAGCAGACCACAGAAAACGGCCCCGGCACACGTGCCCGGGGCTGCGCAGTGGTTGCTGTCGCGCAGGACTCTTCCAGTTACAACATCTACTACTATGGGGGCAACGACGGTCTGCATCCTCGGGAGCCCTTTTACGATGACGTTTGGGTCTTGTCTCTGCCCTCCTTCACCTGGACGCAGTTGAACAAGGGCGAGGATATCCATTCTCGAGCTGGGCACAAGTGCTTCAAACCATACGATGACCAGATGATGATTATCGGCGGTGAGACTGCCAAGGCTGGCACCTCCATCTCGTGCCTCAAAGATGGTCCCATTGTCATGTTCAACCTCACGAGCGGCGAATGGATGGATTCGTACCACCCAGATGAGTACGGTGCTTACGGCGTTCCTGAGAAGGTTCGGGACACAATCGGTGGCGATGCGACTGGCGGAGCCACGATAACTACCCCTGAGCCCTCGGGCTGGGACGATGATGGGCTCCAGAGTATCTTCTCCAAGACATACGACATGTCCAAGATCTCGACCTGGGGGCCGTATGCAGCTGAATCCGAACAGACCGGCCGGCCTGAACTACCAAATGACGGAGAGGATGACGGCGGAGGTGGTGGTAGTGGCGGCCTGCCTAGCTGGGTCGCCCCCGTGCTAGGTGTTGTTCTGGGCTTGATGGCTATCACGGGACTCCTCGTCGGGTGGTGCTTGTTGCGCCGTCGGGGGATGTTCACTAGCCCTTCCAGCGACTACGGCACAGAGGATCCTGGCAATCGCATCATGTCGTGGATCAAGGGCCAACCTACGGACAAGGCGCCGACGGCGACCACATCCGACTATACGCACCTAAGCCCCGACGTGATGGACGTCAAGGCTGTGCCTGCCGCGTCGCATCCAATGCACTCGCCGCCCCCGACGACCGTCGAGGCCGCGGGTACACCCATCGCCGAGCTGGACGACACTTCGCCGCCTGCCGAGCTCTCGGGCACAGGACTGTCCCACAGCGAGGTGATCACGAAGCACTCACGCGTCGCTGGGGCTGGCACGGCATCCCAACAGCGCACGCTGTCACAGTCCTCCTTCAACACGACCAACTTTAGCGGTGCCAGTTCCTTATCGCGGTCGTCCGCGGGCGACCTCGAGTCGCCGGCCATCCCAGTGTCGCCCGAGCCGGGACAACAAGCGAGCTTTGGCCAGCATCAGCACATGCGCTCCATGTCTGAAGCGATGGAAGGCTACGAGTCGCGGCCCAGTCCTGGCGAGAGGCGTGTCAGCGATCAACTGAGTCCCATATCACCTCCCACGGCTGGCGATGCACCCGGAGATGATTACATTGGCGCGAGGACGGCAATGGTCAGTCCTCTGCGAAAAAGCGTTTTCCGTGAAAACGAGGATGATCTAGGCAAGGACAAATAACTAATGCGGCTGGACGTCAAAATGAAGGAGTTTGGTGGAATCTTTTCCCAGATATTGTACTGGGTAGCGTTGGTCATGGATATGTTTTCTTTCTGGTCTTTGGCGTTGGGTCATATTCAGATCTATACCTCAACGATCTCGTCTTCCTCATCCACAACTTCTTGAATCTTCCTCTCCGTTTCTTCACCCTCGCCTTCCTCGTCACGCATCAAGACCTGTACCAGACGGTCACACGCCTCCTTCACATCGGCATCCTGCACACGGGCGTGAGTCTCCCTCACAATGGGGTACACCTTGACTTCGCGCATCAGTTCTCGCCCTTTTCTCGTCGTAGTCAGAAGCATGAGTGTATCGAGATGCGTGACAATGATGGTGTTGTCGGGTTCCCGCTTCTTGTCGGGCGGCAGCAGCTGCAGATCCGGCAGCATGTCCATCGACTCATCGACATCATACTCCTCGCTGCCCATGATGGGCAGCAAGACATATGTCAGGATACCAATCTCGCTGTCGGACATGAGCTCGGGATGCGCATGGACCTCAAAGGCCACGTTCTTGATGGTGCTGGCGACGCCCTTTCGTCGAATCTCGCTCTTGTGCTCTGTGAATACGAGGAGTTTGCTGAGCGGCACGACGTCGTCGTACTCTTGCTTGGTGAGAAAGTACTTGCGTATCGACTCGTGCTTGGCCAGGTCGGCGAAGCAGTAGGCCAGGTAGTCGTAGTCGGCGTGCTTGTTGTATGTCCCGTCCTGGCCCTTGACGAAGAGATCCATGAGCTGGTCCAGGATGAAGTGGCTCTTGGAGAGGTCTTCTGGCGAGGGCTGCTTCTTTGTGTCGATACTGGCGAGGGCTGCGCTCTTGGTGAGGTTGGCGAGGAGCATGGCCAAGAGATTGGCGTTGGGTTCCTCTGCGTTCTGGGGGAACGCTGCATCAGCATGTATATAGTACATCAGGGGCCAGGAGTTGTCACATACGACTATTTTTTGAAACAGAAGTTCAAGGAATTTCTCATCCGTGGCCAGCATCTCTTGCACGGCATCCTCGCCGGAAAGGTTGATCAGCATGGTCAAGGCATGTTCTGCGATTTTCTGTGATTCACCATCAGCGTCTCCTTGTTCTGTGTCTCATCCCCCCTTTTCATTCTCAAGGAACTGAACATACGGGATGGTCCCGGACAAGGACTCTCAGATTTCGTATCGGGATGTTGTCATTGGCTTTGAATATGCTTGGATCCGATGTTGAATATGGCACCAGGTTCTCAACAGCGAGTTTGCGGATCTGCGGGTTTGGACTGGCGATGAAGCCCACGAGCTTGAATGGTGTTAGTCGAGTTGACCAAGGTGGGACCCGCCGTGGGGTATGAGATGTCTTTGCTGTACCTCTTCGAGTTCTGTCGGCATTGTGAGACTGTATATGTGTTGTGAAATGTCTTGTAAGAAATTGAGTCTCAGTGAGACGAAATTCTTGGAGGGGCACTTTGACGTCGACGTGGGGTCGGAATTTTTCCAGGGGTCCTTGAGGTGGGCTACCCAGCGTCATAGGTAGCTTGACTGGAAGATTCGTAAATCAGGGGCAGCCCCAAAATTCAGTCGCATTTGTTTATTAAGATCATGTCGAAGTTTGGCATTGGTGTTCCTACAGCCTTATACAATGGAACACTTCTCTCAGCGCTCCAGTCGGTGAGCCCATCACTTCCAGGCCGATGAGTCAACCGCCGCCGGGATACTTGAGTAGCTTCATGAGTCCATCACCCCACGCGACAGTCACCCGGCTTGCTTTGTGCCAGCGGTACCTCCAAGAATCGAATGTGTAACTCCTTCTCGCGGTATCGCCAACATGCGCGGGTTTATTAAATTCAAGGCTGCCAAAACTTAGGCACTTGGAATCACGGCCCTCAAGGTCGTCTTCCCCATTCTAGCACTAGTCCTGATATGGAAAGAGGGGTCTAGTTCTATCGATAAGCCACAAAATTTTGAAATTCCCAGGCAACTCCAAGATGCTGCTCCAAGTTCGCCGTCGCTGAAATCATCATCTTGTCCAATTGCTCAATTCTGCACTCGTTCACGATGCCCAAGGCAACTACCCCAAAGGGCCGCGATGCCCGTCGCCACAACCCGCTCGAAGATGACATTGTTGCCACCGGCGTCCTGCGCACCAAGCCTGGCAAGCGCAAGTCTCGCGCCGACAACGAAGACGAGAGCTTTGTCGACTCGAAAGCATCCAAGAACATTCTGCGCATAGGCAGAGAGCTGGCGGAGGAAGAGGATGCTTCGCGACCGAAATCGCAAGCGCCAGCCGGTGCGGACAGCTTTGGATACGACTCTCGATTCGAAGAGGAGCAGGTCTATGGCGACGAGGACGACGATGCGGCATGGGCCGATCAGGATGATGAGGAAGTCGAGGAGATCGAGGTGGATCCCGAGGATCTGGCGACATACCGAAAGTTCATGCCCGATGAGGAGGCTGATGACTTGCTTAAACACGGATGGGACCAGAAACCCTCAGGGGAGGAAGAGCACGAGGAGCCTGTCAATCTGGCTGATCTGATTCTGGAAAAGATCGCGGCCCACGAGGCCACTGAGGCGAGGAAAGCAGCAGGCATCCCAGAGGAGGACTACGAGCTGCCGCCCAAGGTTGTCGAGGCGTACACCAAGTAAGGGCTCTCCCTCTTCAAACAGTAAGATCGAAACAGCTGACGAGAGCAGAATTGGTGAGATCCTCGCGCGCTACAAGTCAGGTCCTCTTCCGAAACCCTTTAAGATTCTCCCAACTGTGCCTCATTGGGAAGATATCATCTTCGTTACCCAACCCGAGAAATGGACACCGAATGCCACATTCCAAGCGACACGGATTTTCGCCTCGAGCAAGCCAGCCATTTGCCAAAGATTCCTCGAGATGATTGTCCTCGAAAAGGTGCGAGAGGACATTTACGAGAACAAGAAGCTCAACGTGCATCTCTTCAACTCTCTCAAAAAGGCGCTGTACAAGCCAGCTGCGTTCTTCAAAGGCTTCCTGTTCCCGCTTGTGAGCAGTGGGTCGTGCACACTGCGCGAAGCACACATCATTTCCGCTGTCCTTGCCAGGGTCTCGGTTCCCGTGCTCCAGTCCGCGGCGGCGCTGAAGGGTCTTTGCGAGATTGCCGCCCAGGAGGCTTCGCAGGGTACCGAGGGTGGTGGCGCGACCAACATTTTCATCAAGACCCTGCTGGAGAAGAAGTACGCCCTTCCATACCAGGTCATTGACGCCCTCGTCTTTCACTTTATGCGCTTCCGCAGCATCAATCCGGCGAGTGTACAGGCAGGCAGCGAACCAATGGCGGGAGTGGCAGAGAACACGAGGAGCAAGTTGCCCGTCATTTGGCATCAGAGCTTGCTGGCTTTCGCTCAACGGTACAAGGGGGACATCACCGAGGATCAGCGCGAGGCGCTCTTGGACCTGTTGTTGAGCCACGGACACTCCGCCATCGGACCTGAGGTCAGGCGGGAGTTGCTTGTTGGGCGTGGGCGAGGTGTCCCCTTGGAGGCGCCGACAGTGGGCTTGGACGGCGATGATACCATGATGATTGATTAGGCGTGCCGGCGGGGAGGCGGCTTTAGAAAGGACGACATGATGAACGGCGTTTGGCGCATGGAATCGGCTTGGGCTTGGCATCATAATCCACAGCGAAAAGTTGGACGACAATTATATCATCTTTTACTACATAAATGGTACCATAACTCGGACGTGATGCTTTCAGGCATTCCTGGCACACTGATGACACTGACGGTAGACCTCGCTCAACAGCAACCTTCCTTCCTTCCAGTTCAGTCCTTGGTTGACGCAGGATAGTGGCTGGGAAGGCAAGACCAGGCGTCTGTCCTGGCCCCCTTCCCACGTTCAAGGATTTCGAGTGCCTGAAGATATTGACAAATGTTTGAACTCGGGTGCCTGTACGACTCCTTTTCCCATGTTCACGAAACCCTATACAAGATCGCGAACCTCTGTTCCCGCCCCTTTTCTCTGTTTTTCTATATGTTGAGGTCCTCTGCTCGCATAGTCAGTATTTTCTTTCCACCCGACACGACGTTCCTTAACGCCGGTACTCGAAACTCCTTACGCGGCCTATGACATGCTTAGAGACAGGCCACTGTTCTCATCTTCTTGCTCCTCGCCGACCGTAGTCGGGCCTGGTCTCGAGCCGCCATTCCACCAAGTCCCGAAAGCGCCTACTCAGTCTGCCCTCGCCATTGGCGAGCAATCACAACGACCCGACGCCCAAGCCATCCAGCCGTTCTCAGCCACCTCTGCGATCAGCACCGCGCAGCTCACGTCACCTCTTCCGGTCCACGACGTCGATCCGCCTCGTCCCCCTCGCGATGGATATGAATGGGTCTGGTATCCTGACGGCTTCTAGGCGGAACGTCAAATTGGGACTTTGCCACGAAGCAGCGCCCCGTCTAGACTCTGGCGGTGTAACTCTCGCTCCGCCTTCTCCACTGGCGATATAGACAGCTCGTCCGTCCATCTACCTCTTGTCAGATCTTTTGGACCAACATCGCCTGCGCCCGCTTCTCGAAATGAACCCGCCTTTGCTGCTAACCCATTCTTGCAAGATGATACACATGTACGATCACTACAGCAACCACTTATCGAAGCTCCTCTAACTCATCTGAACCATCTGCACGATGACCGTGTGATCAGCTTCCCTAAGCTCAACACCCCTGAGGAAACAGTCTCAGAGGACATAAATAGTGCACTACACGGTGCTGCCAAAACCAAGGCCGTTCCCAGCCCCGGCGTAGCGCGAAGGCTTTTCCTCAAGACAAAGCAGAGCCTAGAGGCCAGAGTAAGAGGGCCAACGCAAAGAGAGTCGCCCAGCCTCCACAAATCGAGCGACAACGTGGCCCAGACAACCGCAGTGATTGATGGTGCGAGGCAGACTCACGGTGTAAGAGTAGGAACATGGCTGGAGGATGACAGCACGCCACCAAATGCCTCGAGAAGGATCTTTAGGAAGGCCCCTTGGCATCGTAAAGAATCGGGTGAAACTTTGAGCAGCGTGTCAAGTTCCGTCAGGGAATTGATACGCGCTGATACGCCTCCTTGTACCCCCGCGTCAGATCTGACACTGCAGCGTATGTTTATCGGCTGTGTATACCACCTCCATGAAGTTAATGCATGAGCAGGGACGACATCGAATTACTCTACATCATACCCTGGCAACGTACGTTGTCCTATCCATGAACACCGCGAAGCAAGCTAATGAGATTCAGGAGGCGGTCAGAATACCAACACCACCATTAGACGAACCTATACCCTATGGCAGGACTCGAGACTATTTCAACTCGTCCACACCTCCGCATATGGATGGGAGCGGCAACTCCAGAGCAAGACACCCATTTTGCTACACCGTCACAGAAGGTCGTCGAGGTGGTGACACATCTCGAAGCTGGACTAGTGGACCGCATGAAAGGTGGGAGTGGCTGCCCGAAAGGCCAGTCCGCCGTGCTCGACATGCTCAGGCTCTTTGGGATGTTCAACGTCGATCATTTTCTGAGAACGACCCAGCCAGGGCATTTGAGTTTCGCATACGGAGACATCTGCCTAACAGTCCTCTTTGCCCAGCCAACAGTAGCCTCCCAAGAACCTGCATGGGAGTGTGCGTTTATCACGGCCGACAGAAAGCCTCAACAGCTCTGCAGGACGAGTCCAACGGAGTCAGGCCTGCCTGAATGGTGGTCGTGGGGATGCTTCTATATCTAGTACTCCTAAAATATCGCCAAAATCCACCTCAGAACATTGAGTCTAGTGATTCATTCCATGTGGTCTTAGCAGTTGCTAATCAAACGCACGGGAACGCACAACTGACTAGACATATCCGGGACATTCAAATACATCGCGAGCAGATGCTCAACGACGCTGGTAAAGGCCGGGCGTCTCAGTGACATGGAGCTCAAGATCCTTGCTTGAGACGCGTCAGCCCCAACTTTACAAAGTCCTAGCAGAGCTTTGGGGAATCAGTCTGCACATTGGGTTAGGTATATACAGCACGCTCAGCATTCCAGCCCTATGGGAAATCCTTCCTCGCCATATTCACAGCGTCCACCATTTGCGCGCCCGACGCAAAACCCGAGTATCCCAGGCCCTCACCCCACGAGACGCCAATAGAGAGCGCGCCCCAAATCCAACGGTCCATATTGCCGTCCAACTCCCACAGCGGACCGCCTGACTGTCCGCCGGCGGTATCAGCATCAGTGTACACGGGCCCGGTGGCGTCGCAGTCGAGACTATTGCTCGAGTGCACCGTCACATCGATGATGCGCTGGGGGGTGCTGCCGCCGTCCTTGTCACCAGGATAGCCGAGATGGTAGAGGGCAGGTTTGTCGAAGAGGGAGGCGTCGGGCACCTTGGCACCAAAGTACCCCAGCTCGTCGCCGAGTTTTTGGTCCAGTACGAGGATAGCCCAGTCGGCCTTGGTCTCGCACGACCCAGGCTGCTGGCCCTCTGTCTTGAGAACATGCGTGATTGCCGCGTGACCGAAGCGCTCTCCATTGTCATACCCTGGTGCGAAGTTCCCGCTGACGGATTCTCCTTCTGGAATACAGTGACGCGCGGTGAGTACGTGACGAGGGCCGACGAGGGCGCCCGAGCAGAAGACGCCGTTCGCCCAGACGAGTCTCCCGACTGAGTGGAAGGGAAACTCGGAGACATCCCAGCGGTGACGGTCATCTGTGGCGCCAACGATAAAGCGCTTGAAAACCTCGATGAGCTGGCCCGCATCAGGTGTGTACGGCGTGGCGATGGGGTACTCGCTGCGCACCACGTTCCCGCCGGCAATGTGGTGAGTGCTGGGGATTATGGGCTCCTCGCGCCGGGTCCTTGTCTTGTCGGTAGTGACCACCAGCGCTTCGTCAAATCCAACAAGATCGTCTAGGATGGGGTTATAGACACTGGTCTTGTCGATAGGTTTGGCCAGTGCCCCCGTGTTGAAGGCGAGCGCAGCCACAGCTGCACATCTGATCAAGCTAACCATACTGAAGAAAATCGGAGGAGTCGGTGTCGCAGGCTGTCTCTTCATGGTGATTTCACAGGAAGGATCAAGACGTGGTAAGGACTGAACAATAGAAATGAATGAAAAAGAGACCAGCTCGACGTTGTCCAGGTGCAACTATGTAGAAAGGAATGTATGAAAGAGAAGGGAAAGCAACAGAGAGCAGAAGGCCGCGTTGTACAATGAATAACCCCTGGGTAGGTCCGTGGGCGCCAGCGCTTGTCGTCGTCTTTATACAACATGGTGGGCGTCAAAGGTGGTCGCCAAGGAGGTCACCTCTGACTGGGCACTTGTGCTGCTACACAGGATGCACAAGGCTGGGGTCACTGGCGGTAGGCACCTCATCATTTTCTCCAGGATCGCGGGATTGCTCATGCATGCATGTACTCTATCTAGATCAGCAGATTGCAAGCGAGGATTGATATCTTTCTGGGTTTGGCATAATGAAGAATCCAAGGTAGAACCTAGACGTGATGGGGATGATGAAACAAGTGACTTTGCCAGGCCGCCAATAAGGTTGAGGATGCCATCCGTCCTACGCAATGCCCAGTGAAACTGACACAAAGCATAAGGTAGAAACAAGGCAGGCCTAGTTCAACCTTTAAAATGCAAAGCCAGTTAGCCTTGAATCGAAGTCATTCCGGAACAAAGCGTGCAGTGATGCATGGATCTTTGAGCTTGTTTCGCGTTTGATCTGCGTCTGAGCACGCGGGGCCCGGGGGACTTCTATGTTTCGGTCCTAGAAACAGGCAATTCGGCTCTTCTGCATCTCATAGGTTAGCCAAGTAACCAATCCTTGTGCCTGCGTACTGCTCGTCAGCGGCCTACGCGATGGCAGGTCAACTAGGGTCGGTCAAGAGGCTGGCATGACTCGACCACGCCGTGCGACGCATCTTGGTTCTAGACTGTCAGACTGCCAGCTAACAATAGACCGGCTGGGGACGTTGCTGAGTCTGCGTCTGTCGTGTAGACTTGGCTGACACCTGGCGCTTAATCTCATGTAGACGATACGTTGTCTAGGCGCGTCGGCAGTATCCGCTAGGGCAATGCGCTGTGACTGGACCTCGGGTCTCTGCCATGAAACGGTGTTGCAAACGCTGGCTCGTCTCGAGTCAACGCATACCGGTGTCTCGGCTCGACAGAATGGGGGAGAAGTTTGTTTAGGCGACTTTTTCCCAGACTCCTATTTACAGCACTTCATAATCTCAGCTGCGCAGCACAATAGTGGCGTCACGTGACAGCGCGTTTGGATATGGCGCCTCCATGACCGAGACAAATAATAGGCGAACGAAGTGAATGAGAAAATCTAGGAATATTGTTTTTCATGTGATTCGTAATATTCATAGTTGACGTTCTTTTAATATACACATTGGGATAGCCTGAGCACGGCCCCTCGGCCGAAGAGCTGTCAAGGGGACTCCGTGCAGGGTAAGCAAGATACAGTCCTAGCGATCTGTGCCCAGAGCGCGCCTTGTCTCCCTCGACGCGTCTTGATCTAATTACCTGTTCCTGAACGCCAGCTTCCAATCTATATAATCAACAGCGCCGCACCAACGATCGTCTGAAGCAGACGCCGGAGGATTCGACCCAAGTTTTCAATGCACTTTTCACCGAAGCCCGATCGATGACGATTTCCAACAACGAAGCTGTGAACCCCAGCGGTTCGCAGCACCTCGACTCTGCTTCCAAGACCACCGCTTCAGCAAAGAAGCGGAAGCTAGAAGAGTTCAAGTCTGCGCTGAACGACTCCAATGCGTCACAAGCAGGTTCTCCCGCTCCCAGCAATGCCTCCGGGCCGTCCCCAGCCAAGCAACACCGGCCGCCACTGGATTTCATGACGGGGAAACCAGCGGGTGACAAACCTCGCCGACCACCACTCAATTTCAGGACTGGCAAGCCCGTAACCGAAGCGATCAAGGGACAGCCAAAATTCTCAACAGAAAAGGGCTCCTCGCCAGTCAAATCGCCAGCGAAACCGCCAGCCAAGTCGCCTGCGAAAGCTTTGCCTACGAAGGCAACGCCCACAAAGAGACCGGTGGGGAGGCCGAGGAAAACGCCAATCCCGATAAAAAGAGTGGAAGAGGGCGATGACGACGACGAAGATGTGCTATCGGCGACTGAGAACTTTGGGACGCCGTCTAAGAGTACTGGGAAGCGACTCTGGGGTCCAACAGCAGCTCCCGCAACGCCTCGAGGGATTCTGACACCTTCAAAGAACCGGGCAGCGACGCCCAAAAGCGTCAAATTTGACAAGCAAGTTGGCACAGAGCTGTTTTTTGCGGATCTGCCAAGCAAAGGAATGCCGGCCTCCGCCAAATTCCAGAATGAACCTGAACCAGTGGCTGACATCGTCTGCGGCGTGTGCCGCAGGCCGCACTCGAAACCACCGAACGAGATCATTCTGTGCGACAATTGTGACTATGCTGTCCACCAGCTCTGTTGCGGCGTTGAGGAGATACCCGAGGGCGACTGGCTGTGTAGAAGTTGTTCGCAAGAAGATGCTATCAACGCGACACCAAAAGCAAGTGCCCCATTGGCGTTGAAAGCCACGGCGACAACAGTGCCCACAGCTCCAGTTGATTTGCCAGATATCCCGAATCTGGACCAGCATGTGCGGTCATTGCAGCGCGTTCTCCTGGACCGGTGCTTGGGTCAACGGAGGATTGAAATGTTTGGCCTGCACGAGGTACGCGAAAAGTGCCATCAGATGATCGAGCAGACTGTGGTAGCTGGGGAGGGAAACTCCATGCTGCTCATCGGCGCCAGAGGCAGCGGGAAGACGACCATGTTGGAGAATGTGATTGACGACATCCACGAGGAGCACAGTAACGACTTTCACGTGGTACGACTAAGCGGCTTTATACACACCGACGACAAGCTGGCATTGAAGGAGATCTGGCGTCAATTGGGGAAGGAGATGGATGTGGAAGATGACCTGATGAACAGGACAAACTACGCCGATACCATGGCGTCGCTTCTAGCCCTGCTTTCTCATCCATCAGAGATCCTAGGCACCGACGAGGGCGTCACATCCCAGTCCATCATCTTTGTCATTGACGAGTTCGACATGTTCGCAGCGCATCCCCGACAGACGCTCCTATACAATCTCTTTGACGTGGCACAGTCTCGAAAAGCACCCATCGCAGTGTTGGGTTGCACAACACGGCTTAGTGTGGTTGAGATGCTCGAGAAGAGAGTCAAGAGTCGGTTCAGCCACCGCTACGTCTACCTCACCATGGCCCGGTCATTGCCAGCATACTGGCAGGTGTGCAAGCAAGGGCTGCTTGTCGAGGAGAAGGATGCGAGCAAAGAGGGCCTTGACGTGGACCTCGATGGCTATGCGCAATTCCACCAGTACTGGAACGCGAAGATCGAAGACATGTACAAGCTCCACACCTTTCAGGAGTTGCTGCAATATCACTACTACACCAACAAGTCGCCGTCAGCTTTCTTTAACGAATGGGTACTCCCTTTGGCATCACTGTCGGCGTCAAATCTGAACCTGGAGATCCCGTCCATCGCCTCGCAACTGACATCCCTGAGCTCGGCCGAATCGAAAATACATCTGCTTCCGGCTCTATCAGACCTTGACCTGGGCTTGCTCATCGCTGCCGCCCGTCTGGACATTGTTGCGCATACAGACACGGTCAACTTTGCAATGGCCTATGACGAATACACCTCACTCGTGGGCCGGCAGCGCATCCAGTCCGCCTCGTCGGGCATGCTGGCGGTGGGAGGCGGCGTCCGCGTGTGGAGCCGTGGTGTCGCGGGCATTGCGTGGGAGAGACTGATTAGTCTGGGCTTGCTGGTCCCTTCTGGAATCAACGGAGGCAAGGGCATGGCACATGGAAGCTTAGAGGGGCGGATGTGGAAGGTTGATGTAGCGTTGGAGGAGATACCCCTTGGTGTGAAGCTGAGCAATGTGCTGGGGAGGTGGTGCAAGGAGCTGTAGGTGCTCAGACAGGCTTGATACCACTGTACTTCTGGAAGACAGGCACATACACAGACAGACAGGTATGAATTGATGATCATGCTGGAGAAGCCATTCCGCCTTCTGGACTCAGTCTGGTCCCTGGCCGGGTCCTGGTCCTGGACCCTGAAGCTGGGGCGGGTGGGTCCCGCGTCACCGCCAGAGCTCTCCGAGTCGAGTCGTGCATCATGATCCACCCGCGCCTGCAGCTGCCGCTGCAGCATCGCCTCTCCCCAAGGAAAGCATCTTCGTGTCCTCGCATCATCCACCTTCTGAAACACTGTTGCCGTCCATTGGTTTCTATCTTCCTCGCACAACTGACCCCGCCTTCGCAGCCGCCATCGCACCAAGCATCATCGACCCTGGCGCGTGTCACTTGTAGTCCCCGCCGCCTCCTCCATCTCCTCACCCTCCTCGTCCTCCTCCTCGCCGTCACCCTGGCTTCACGCGCCTTTCCCCGTCTGTCATCTGTCGTCAATCACTTCAGACCACCCACTTTCCAGTCTTTCCTGCCCATTCGCTCCGTCACGACGAGTACCATGGCCAGCGCCAAGTTCAAGCAACCGCCGCAGGCGCCACCACTCTTCACCCACACGGCCGAGTCCATCATCAGCGAGACCGAGCGACTGAATGCTGAGTACAAGAAGGACCTCGACGAGATTGTAGCAAAGGTCAAGCCTGAGAATGCCACCTTCAAGAACACCATTGGCCCCATTCTCGTGGACGACGACGGCTCGGCTGTCCTCCGTCGGGTCCTCAACTTCTACCAGCACACCAGCCCCGATGCGAAGCTGCGCGATGCGTCGACCAAGGCGGACGACATTACGAGCGACTTTGATATCGAGTGCAAGATGCGTCAGGACGTCTTTGACGTAGTCGAGGCAGCCTTCAACCAGCGCGAGTCCGAGAAGCTGGACACCGAGTCCCTGCGCGTGCTGGAGAAGGAGCGCAAGAGGTATGTCCGCAATGGACTGCTGATTCCTGACGGCCCCAAGAGGGACCGCTTCAAGGAAGTGCAGAAGCGCCTGGCGCAACTCTGCATCCAGTGCCAGAAGAACCTGAACGAGGACAAGAGTGCTATCTGGTTCACCCCTGAAGAGCTGGATGGTGTACCAGAGGACGACATCAACATTGCCGATCTCGAAAAGGGCACAGGCGAGAATGAGGGCAAGGTCAAGTTGACCTTCAAATACACTCACTTCTTCCCTGTTGTCAAGTACGCCAAGAACGCGGAGACAAGGTCGCGCTACGTGATCGAAGATGCCAACAAGGCCAACCACAACGTGCCCCTCTTCCAAGAGATCCTCGAGCTTCGCGATGAGGCCGCCCGCCTGCTCGGGTACCCAAATCACGCGACCGTCAACATTGAGGAGAAGATGGCCAAGTCGCCGGCCAAGGTCAATGAGTTCTTGGGCGATCTCAGGACCAGACTAGCCGAGGGTGGCAAGAAGGATGTCGCTGCTCTGCTCGAGTACAAGAAGAAGGACTACGCTGAGCGTGGAGAGGATTTTGATGGCAACTTCTACATGTGGGACACATCCTTCTACTCTCGCATCATGAAGGAGAAGGAGTACAATGTCGATGAGATCAAGATCTCACAATACTTCCCGGTCGAATCGACCTTTAACGGTATGCTCAAAATCTTTGAGGAGATCTTTGGTCTGCTCTTTGTCGAGGTCACGGGAGACGACCGCAAACAAATCAGCAAGACGGGCAAGGCCGAGGACATTGTTTGGCATGATGAGGTCCGCCTGTACTCTGTCTGGAACGACGAGGCTGATGGTGGCGAGTTCGTTGGCTACCTCTACATCGACCTGCACCCCCGCGAGGGCAAGTACTCACACAACGCCAACTTCAACCTGGAGCCTGGCTACATTCGAACTGACGGATCGCGCAATTACCCTGCGACCGCATTGGTCTGCAACTTTAGCAAGCCATCGGGCAAGAAGCCCTCTTTGCTCAAGCATAATGAGGTGGTGACGCTCTTCCACGAGCTGGGCCACGGTATCCATGACCTGGTTGGCCGCACCCAGTACAGCTACTTCCACGGCACGAGCGTGGTGGGTGACTTTGTCGAGGCACCCTCCCAGATGCTGGAGAACTGGTGCTGGACACCGTCCGTGCTGAAGTCGCTGTCGCGCCACTGGGAGTCTGGCGAGACCATCCCCGACGACCTGGTGTCGAAGCTCATTGCGACAAAGAACCTCAATTCCGCTACATCGAACCTGGCGCAGGTGCTGATTGGCACCTTTGACATGACGATTCACAGCCCCGAGTCGCACGAGGCTATCAAGAAGATGGACGCTGGCAGGCTATGGAACCAGCTCCGTCACGACATTTCGGGCATCAAGGGCCCAGAGGACATTGGCAAGGGATAGTAAGTCTTCCTCGTGTACGCTGGAAATTTGAGTTGGGATTACGCTAACAACTGCAGTAACTGGGGTAATCGCCATGCTAATATTGGCCACTTCATTGGTGGCTACGACGCTGGCTACTACGGCTATCTCTGGTCCGAGGTCTTCTCTACCGACATGTTCCACACTCATTTCAAGGCGAATCCCATGGACAAGGAGCAAGGCCGCCGGTACCGCAAGGTCGTGCTGGAGAAGGGCGGTGCCCAGGACGAGATGGAGTTCTTGACAGAGTTCCTGGGTCGGGCACCAAGCACAGAATCCTTCTATCGCGAGCTGGGCTTGGCGTAAGGGATGGGGTTTATCAAATAGATCTTACTACGAGCCTAGGATCAATAGGCCTAGGACCTTGCGCCCTTGTGTCGTAGAAGGTAGTATGAATAGATGAACTACCCTAGACCTTGGGCTTGTTGACCGCCGCTGAGCGGTGAACAAACCCCCCGACTTCTAACCCTGCCTTACGCACTTTACACGAGATGAACGATGCTGGGACGCATTTTCGAATTGAGGCACTCGTTCTACTCCTATGGCACGCGTGCTGAAACAGCCCATGGCCTTGTGCACGGTCACGGGGTCAAGATGAGACAGACGGACAAGACGGCATTGGCGCTGGCATCGCTATTAGCTCGTGGGATTTGACGCCAATGCAGCATCCATGATCCTGGTTTGTTTTCGGCCATGGCGTCGACGGACCTCATCTCGCTCTCATCCATCTATCTAGTATCTTCTCAGACGCAACTGCCCTCACCCACTCACTCACTCACTCATCTCCCATTTCGTCCGTGCCCACAGTTGATGCTCATGTACAATCCGGCAGCATGACGATGCAGAAGCGCACAACCTTCACGAGCATAACGCCACTGCCACCCTCCATCAACCGCAAGCAGGCCGTGGCGTTCCTCCACGACCATGAGCAGATGATCGACCTCAACCCGCTGGTCATCAAGCACACTGTCATCCCGCCGCCCGACCACGCGCCGCCCGAGGAGATGCACTGCGAGTGGCACTCCATCACCGACAGGATCGAGTACGTCCCCGGCGTGACGGCGCTGTCGGGCCTGACGACGTACACGTGCTGCTTCCACGACATGGCCTGGGGTCTCCAGACGCACTGCTACGCCGGCTTTGGGCTCGAGATCCGCGACAAGTGGAGCGTCGGGGGCAACGAACCCGGCGAGGAGCCCGAGAGGCACGAGATTGGTATGGGCATCCCCGCCAAAGGCCTCTACCTGCGCGAGGAGGTGGACTTTACGTGCAACGTCCTCATGGCTGCCTTTGTGCGCAAGACAATGAAGAAGGCCCACGGACACCTCGTCGAGGCCCTGGCCAACAAGGCTGAACGCGATGCGCGCGAGGGAGGGCTGGTGGGCCCGCACAACGGAGGCGGCGCCTTTGTGTCGACGGGGGCAGGGCAGCAGCAGCAGCATCAAGGGCCGGTGGCAGAACTGCATGGACCGACGATTGGGCTTGTCGAGGCCCCGGGGAGTCAGCCTGAGCCGCGAAGCGCCATGTATCGGCAATGATACGAAATACATAGGCCACTGTCATCCCGATTCGAGCTGAGACGGGATGGTGTTCGACAATCATCACTACCAAAGAACAGATACCACGATTTCGGAAATTTCAATCATTTTTTGTGTTTTCTCGCTGCCCATCTGGACCATTAACTCCCCCAACCAACTAATAAGCACCATGAAACGAAATAAGATGTTCTGTTACTCTCCACAACTGTCTGCTCTGATCACCGGCGTCCTTCCCTTACAGGAAGAGACCAAGGGCGGCGAGACCAGCCATGGCAGCCACGCCGACCTGCTCAGCACCGGCCACGAGGGTAGGCTCGGCAGGGCCACCGGTGGTGACGACGGGGACAACGGGCTTGGTGGCCGCGGTGGGCTTGACGGGCGGGTGCGGGAGGGTGGCGGTGGGCTGGGCCTCGCACGTGTAGCAGGGCTATGGATCTTGTCAGCATGAGCTTCCTTCTGGTGCTCGCAGTCTTACCTCGACAATGGTGCAGGGGCAGTCGGTGATGGTCAGGGTGGTGGGCTCCGTGACAGTGTACTTCTTTTTGCCGAGCTCAAAGGTGGTGGGCTCGGGGCAGTAGGTGGTGTACACGTCCACGACCTTGGTGGTGGTCACGACGGTGCCGTTGGTGGCAGCCGAAACGGCGGTGGCGGCAGCGGCCAGGGTGAAGAGGGCAGTCTTGGAGAACATCTTGAAGTTTGGTTTGGGATGGTGGATTTGATTGAGTGATTTCCGAAATTGAACTGTTGAAAAGTGACCAGATAAAGAGTGACTGGAGTGAATGATGTGGTTTGCTTAGCGAATGGATGATGGGCTGTCGTGTGCTGAGGAGGCAAGAGAAGAATCGACTTGGACCGGTCCAAGAGACGTCCTTTTATGTCTTCATGAAGAGAGCTCTTCTCGCGTTCTCGACACAGCCATATCAACAATGTGATCCCGGAGATCCGTCCAGGCAAGACAATAACTTGGCGTTGGCATTCGCTATAGGCCGAGACGGTGTCGAAGCCCTCGCGTCGCCATTCCAGCTCGCGCCACGCCAGATTGCGAGACATGCCAGTCCACAGGCAATTCCCATGTCGACAATCATGCAACACCGCGGTAACGAGGCTTCCACATTCCCAGCTGATACAAGCGATTCTGTAGTGTGATCATTCATTGGGTTGATTGTACTGAATTGGGGGCCCGTCCTCGCCCTCTGTTTCTGCATGGTTCGCTCTATGTACGTACATGCAATGTATGTATGTATGTATTGTCAATCCACAACAAGCTTTCCAGCACATCCAACCTGGCCTGACCATGTCTCACCGGCCGCAGCTGTGCGCCCGGCAGCTCAACGCTGATCATTAGGGGTCCCCCATCTTCCGACAACGTCCTCCGCAGGCGAGCCATTCCACAAGTCGAGCCGCTCGGGCAAAAACAATTATTCTCGGGGGAAATCCGTGTCGATGACGATGGCCCTGTCCAGAGCGCATCGTTCTATGCCGGTTCTCAAACGCCTTCGTATTTCGTTTCCTCTGCCTCCTCCGTCCGTGCGCAAACAAAATTTCCGCCAAAGGGTACTTTGACGATCGCGAGCCGTCATCACCAAACAAACATCCAAACAGCATCACGACAGATACACCTCTCCTGGCCGCAGCCAGAGAGCCAATGCGATCGCAGATACAAGAGCCAGGCTGGCCATGAATCGAATAACAAATGGGAAGAGGAAGAAAAAAAATCAGAAAACAAATAGTAATAAAAAAATTCGACAAAACGCCACTGATGCATATGCGATATGCGACATAGGTGTGAGAAGAGTCTATACGCGTAGACGATCGTGAGTGCCTGCAGTCAGTAGAGGGCGGCCGTCGAGTTCGTTCGTGGAATCATCAGGCGCCACGAGGCTGGCTGCCTTGAAAATCAGACGCCCTGCCTGGCCCTGCCAACACAATGCGCCAGTTCAGGCGACTCCCGAGGCGAGACGGGAGCAAGCGACATACTCGTCGAAGCTGGGTCTCATGTCCAAAGAAAGCCCAGGTACAGCTGCAGCGCCAGCGCGGACGTCAAGCGGTGACTGACTGTACAGTGCGGCACGACGGCCAGCATTGCACTTTGTTGGTGTCCGCTAGGCCACGAGAGAAACCATAGATTGTAGCCAGCGATCAAGGAGAAGCAGCCCGCGACAAAAAATTTCATCAGGTTGGCCGATTACTTTCGGTTTGACCGGCTCTGGCTGCGCTCCGGACCGCGGCCCATATTATCGAATTCATAGTTGCGTAATTGCTGTTCGTACTTGGGGCTGCGCAGGAACTTGGGCACCGAATCCTATGATTGAGTTAGTACCACCATTGGTGCCGAACCGAAAGAAACTCAATTCGTTCCACTTACGCTAGCCATTAGCTTGAAGACGGCGTTCTGCGCATCCTCAAAGAGCGAGGTGACCTCTTGCAGCGTGTCGACCATGGCGACATCCTGCCCGACCGCCTTGGTCATCCGGGTGGCCAGGTTGTTCCTCAGCTGGTGATCAATGTTCAACTCGCAGGGCGAGCCGGGCGCCAAGAAGGCATTGTAGATACCGTAGGCCTGGGCCATAATCTCCTTGACGCTGTCGAGCGACGTGGCCGAGGGGTTCTTCTGCGCGAGCCGGATGGCGGCCTTGCATGACCGGACGAATTCGTCCACGTCCTTGTAGAAGGACAGATTCTCCTCGCAGTGGGTCTCGCGCAGGTTCTCGCGGAAGAGCAGACGCAGGGCGGGATCCGCCAGGATCTTGTCCAGCCGCTGGGTGTTGGAGTCCCTCGTGATGGCGTTGCGGGCAGAGCTGCCGCCGCCCTCGCTTTCCGACTGGCGGCCCCGGTTGTGGCCGGCAATCACGTCCTTGCCGCGCTGGGTGATCTGGTAGATGGCGTATTTCGTCGGTTGAAACATGTTGCTCCCCGCGTTTTGCGACATAAAGTTGCGGTCTTGCGCGACGGGCTCCATGAGGTCATACTCGACAAACAGCGTCGCAATCTCCATGGTCTCCCGGCGGTCGACAATGGTCGAGCAGTCCATGAGCCAGTCTGACGCGGCCTTACCCGTCAGGGTCTCGCGGTATGTCTTGCCGTTGATCTTGCGCTCGGCCGCCATCTTGACGCCCGTGAGGCCGTCCCGGTAGTCGTGCAGCGACTCGGAATCGGCGGCGTTGACGCTGGTCTTGACGTTGCGCCCCTCGGCGCCGGCGAAGCGGCGGAAGATGACCTCGATGGTGCTGCGGTCATGCATGAGCTTGTCCGTCTGCAGGTCGCGCTCGAGGATCACGAGCTGCGTCGAGTGCAGCGCCGTGAGCTCGGCCACCTGCTTTTGCTGAATGCCGTTCCGCGAGCAGAACCTGTCCAGTACCGTGACGCCCTTGGGGGTCAATTGCCACACGGAGCCCTTCATGTTGTACACCTGCTGGTACTTGCCGTCGGCGCTCTCAATGAAGCGAGCCTCGAGGAAGCGCTGGCAGATGGACCGCGCCATGTCCTTGGCCATGCTAAAGGTGGTCGTCGTCGTCGTGGTCACGATTCGCGACGGGTCTTTGGGGTCTGGCATGCGGTTGGACTGTGAGAATTTGAGCGAGCCGAGGTTGTTGATAGCATCCTCCGACAAGAAAGTGTAGTCCACCTTGGACAGGCGGACACGGTGCGAGGAGAGCGGCAAGAGGCTGACGATGAGGGTCGAGAAGAGGTCCTTGAAGTCCTGGGCTTGTCAGCGGCGGGTCACAAAAAAAAGGATATCACCACTCTGCCCAACACCGGTCTTTACCTTTGTAAATGGACGCTCATCGTCCGTCATGCGCAGCAAGCGCGAAGACGTCTGGTGCATCTTGCTGTCGCGTGGGGAGACCTTGACGGGTGGTGGCGTGTTGGGGTCTGTCTCGGAGTAGGGCTGGGACAGGAGTTCCGAGTCCGTGCCGGCGGCTGGTGCCTGAGTCTTGCCTTCAGCAATGGGACCGTGCGCGAGCGATTGATTTGACGGGATCCGAAAGATGGACTTTCTCGCCGGGCTCGTGGGCTCTGAGCTGGGGAGGTAACCAGGCGTGAGGGAGAGTCGGGCGAGCGAGTGGCGGGGTCGGACGGTGGTCTTGTCAAAGGCGGCGGCGGCAAAGGAGAAGATGCCGCTGGGGGAGCGCTGGGGTGTCTTGCCCGAGAGGGATGGCGAGCTGGAATGCCGCAGGAATTGAGGTGGTGGAGGCGCCGATGTGGAGTTGTCGCCGTCCTCCAGCTGCTGCCGGTCTTGAGGGGACTGAGGCTGGGATTGCGTAGCAGTGGCCGCCGTGGGAGGTTGAGGTTGAGGTTGAGGTTGAGGTTGAGGTTGAGGTTGAGGTTGAGGTTGAGGTTGAGGTTGAGGTTGAGGTTGAGGTTGAGGTTGAGGTTGATGATGATGCTGGGTGGAAGAAGAGGGGGGGGAGGAGGAGGAAGGAGAAGAGAAGTCCAGTTCCAACGTCAGTGAATCAGGTATCGAAGGTCGCGAAACAGCGGCCATCTAGGTGGGAAGAGGCTAGTAGGGGGCCTATTCGCTTTTGGGGAGGAAAGTAGGTAGCAAACAGGACTGGACTGGATGGATGGATGGGGAACTGGAAAGTAAGGCCAGGCAAGCAAGCAAGCAGGCCAGGAGGATGGACGAGATTTGAGAGCTGAGGAGTGAGCCCCGAAGAATGAGAATAGGCGTGTGTTTTAGTGTGGGTGGGTTCCCTTGGTTTGGGGACGATGGAACTGGACGACTGGAGGCGTGGACGACTGGACGGGACTGAACTGGAGACAGACAGACAGACTCCTAGGCACGGCGGTCACGTATTGCTTGCTGGTCCTGAGCAGCTCTAGGACTGGAGTTTGTAGGAGCAGAAAGGGCAGCAGGACGGACGGACAGAGAGGAAAAGGGATCGGCCGGCTCTACCTAGTAAGTTACCTACGACATGTCTCTACGCTCGAATGCACTCTTCACGATTAGGTTCATTTGTCGTAGCACTCTACGTACAGCCCAGTCCCCCCATCAGTCGCTGGACATGGAGCACTGCACGCGCGCTGCAGGAGGGGGTGCGGTGAGAATGTGGGTGGGTGCATGCAAGTACGTACAGTGTGCACCCACCACAATTATCACCACCCCCTCCGGTCCGGTCCCTTCAGTCCAGCATGAATATGATGTCTCGTCCACAAAGCCCCTCCACAGGCCGAGCTGTCAACGGCGGGGGGGTCAACAATTGATAATGATTACGGAGTACGTACGGAGTAGAACCTCAGGCCCAGCCATGCTGATCGGGTCTTTTTTTGATTGAGTAGCGGGGCGCCAACGATTCTCGCGGTCTGGCAAAGCCGCAGAGGCCCAAATGTCCACGTGGCAGGGTCCGACGTCTGCGACATGACTCTCTTTGGTTGTTTGTCCCTGCAGATTGATCAAGCCGAATTGCCCTATAAATAAATATGAAATATTGGCTCAAACACCGCGGCCCTGCTCCGCTCGAACAAACGAGTAGAGAAATCACAAACACTGGTGGTCGGAATTGCTTGTCGAATTCTGGAATAAGGCGGTCTACAAGTACCTGCTACTACTGTAAGTTCAGGCACTAGTATTGCTAGATCTGACTGCACGTGAAGTCGCATCAGAGGGAGGACCAAAGTCGGTCAGGTCAAAATTGTTGGCGAGCGCTGTCCAGCTGCCAGACTCGGGGTCATGCACCCCTCACTGTATAGTAGCGATACCAGGGTGACTGCGTACGTAGTCTTGCTAGAGGTCGGCTGTCGCCAGCAGCCATTGTAGCACCAATCCGTGGCTCGTACATTGCATCTTGAACGGGCATGTCTGCTGGTCGACAGACAGAGGCCAGCCACGGCGAGGCACAATCCGACCAGACCTGACGACTGGAGCCAGGAAGCATCAGCACGCTCACGATGAAACAAGCAGATGTTTTGGGATTCCACACTACGAAGCGTCTGTTTGACTTTTGTGATCGTCAGTAACAATTCCTCGTGATCCACCAGCGGACAAGACGGGGGTGACAAAAGATCCTGCAAAGCACGGGACAGCCAACCGCACGAGCGAAATGCCGCCATTAAAGAGTCCAGTCCAGTCCCGCTCTCGGCCTCCAGCACAGATCGGCGCGTGGCTTTTTCAGCAGGATGCGACACGGCGCACGCCGCACGCACCCACCCACTCACCCACTGACCACCCAAATTTTTCTCTGCGCCTCCGCCGCCTGCGACATCACGTTGCGGCCACGCAGCCATGTACATCAGCCCCTGATCCCTGTCGCCTTTTGCTTTGGTGGACCGCCATGGACCGGCACGCCCTCGCCTTCGTGCGTCCCAGGCTCGCAGCGACGTTGGCGGTGAACGATGCCACATCAAGACCGTTTCCAACAAGTGTACATACGGATACAACCCGGCCAAAGCTGCCATTTCTTACGGACAGAGTTAAGCTGATCGACGCCGTCGTTGATTCAGTTAATCCCCGGCATTTGCACTATCAGCGACTGGAGCTATGCCATACAGGCGATGGTACGCAGCACAGTAGGACTACCTCGTACTCTCCGTCTCTAAGTTAGGGAGCTAAAGTCTTCAGCAAATAGGGATCACCGATAACGAGATTTTTACTTTCCGACAAGCCCGCCTCATACCCGTGCCTGTTCTGGAACTTTGCTCGACCGCACGGCTCTCGTCATGGAAGCCTCGGTTCATCAATCAGCAACGCTTTGGGGCCGTGCTAAGTTATTAGGGTCTTCCCATTGAGTTTAGCCTTGCAGGTTCCAAGGGCGCCAACAAAACTTTACATTCGATCGCGCCGTGGCTTGTAGGACATGGAGACACGACGAAAGGACCGTCGAGTTCGGATTTTTAAAGCCACATATAGCTTGTTACCTGATGTGTAGATTGATGCAGAGAATCGTCACACGGATATAAGCAATTGTCTGCGAGGCTCAACTTGCAACACACCGTCTTGGACTGCACCATCTGTCGGCAGCTGTTAGCGCCGCAATGCGTGCCTCCGTACGGAGTAGCTCTGGACGACCAGACTCGCTATGTGCATACCGAGAGTCCGTACATTGATATTTGATCCATGGAGCATCAACGAGCCGATTATTAGCACAAGTAGCCCAGGCTAATAACGCTGACCGGCTGCAATGATTAATTTCATGAATCACGCGGTTTTTGATAGAAATCAGCAGCCACGCCGACCTTTTGATTGACGTTGGGGGTTGTGGCGCAGAATTGAGTCGGGCAGAGCGTGCTTAATTGTTTAGACGCAAGCGCTGCAGGGTCGGCGGACGGGATTGGCGAATGTGGACAAGCGCCCGGAGTACGTAACGCCAAAGCCGCCGGCCTAAGTTTTATAACCAATGCAACTTTGCGAGCTCTGAACAAAATGCAGTTCAATACATGTGTTAGTAGGTAGGTATCCAGTGCCTCCAAAATTGGACGTCGCTTTTCCATAAATTGCAAAGGCAGCTGGCATGATGGCATCGGACGCGATGTGAGCGACAGTGAAGCTTCGTCAAGTAGCCAAGTTCAAAGGTCGACCGCTCCGTGTCGGCTTTGTCTGTACCTTTGGTGATGCAATGAAGCTGTGGCCAAGGTATCATTACACGCGAGATGTCACGGAAAGTCCACTTCTCCTCCCACTGCAAGCAGCGATAGCACAGCGAGTCCACCAAGGGGCCTATCTGCACGACATGCTCCCTCTGCCGCCTGGGTAGTACTGCCGCCTGTCAAAGCGGAAGCAATCGGCGGAGGCCCGAGAGGAGGGCAAGCAGCCAACACGCCTTGTTGGTCAGACCGCATCTATTAGGAATCAGGATCATACTGCAGAATCAAGCTGAAACAACATACCACAAAAGATCTCCGTTCATAGCATCACCTGTCTTCAACGTCCATTGGGTGCAAGACATGCAGCCTGTCACTGAACGCCACCTACGCGCCATGAGAGCCAGAGAGCCAGAGAGCCAGAGAGTGCAAAATGACATTGATGTTTGTCGAACAGCGATGGCTCTCCCAGCCGACTTAGTGTTTTGCCAATAAGCAATGGCTAGTAGTACGTATTCACCAGGTATTACTACTGTAGCTAACGTTACCTTTGAAAGCATGTTCAGCTGCTTCCTGCCTACATGTACGCAAGTAGGTTGCTGCCCACAACGGGTGCGCACCGCCAGATCGACCGGCCCCAAGTCCCGTTACCGCCGACCAGGACCGCCGTTTACCCACCCCGTCCCGGCATTCTTCCGTAACACTGTCGATTGTACTTGGACTGCCTGTTCGGGAACCATGTGAGCCTATTACACGTGCGTGCACCGACATGGTCTCTCAAGTCTGCAACAGTGTGTCATCATGGCATGCCGCTGAGGGGATGGCGCGATGCACGTTGACTGCGACGCTGATATCATCCAGCTGAGATCGTCAAGACGAGGGCGGGTGGCTGGCTGTGATGCGGGGACGGCAGGTCCCCACCAGCACCCAAAGCCGTCCGTCATACTTGTCAGATTCGTGTAATTTATTCATTCTTTGATGAGTAACATGTTCTGGAGATGAGAGAGAACTATCCAACCAAATAGGCTTTGGTACGGGCGGCTCCGAGGATACATGTATCCAAACGAGATGCATGTACCCGGGCGAGGTGCATAGGCGCTGCCTCTGCCGCTGCCAGCGTCGTGAGGAATGGAATGCAACTGGTCCAACCGCATTCCCGCGCGTCTTCGATGACTGGAGCGCCCGCAGCTGAACAGATAGCTGCTGGGACTTTGCACTGGGGATCTCACAATTGAGCGGTCACTGTAGACTAATAATAATTGGCAGCATTATAAGAAGCGATAGAAAAAGACTTTATGTGATGTTTGCAAGTCACTCAGTCTCAGTTCTCCTCGATAATTGCATAATCTTCGGTCGCGGCATTCGTGAAAATCCCACGTGGCCGGCGGATTGTTAGGCGTCTGGACCTTTTTAATCATAATTACGTAGTAGTTTATCAAGTCGCTTAGATTACGGGCGGCAAGCCACCGAGTGTATTTGACGACACTGTGGCGTTTAACGTGATAGAAATTCCAATTGTTCTGACGCTGCATCTTAATCCCTTGCAATATTTCCGAGACGAAGCAAACTCAAAAGCCTGATAGCATCTCCGCGGCATTGTCAGCTCTCGCGGCATCTGATGCCTCATTGAAGCTCTGAAATAAGGCGACCGTAGGGTAACGCAGCCTCGTGGACAGACAGACAAACGGGCGGTGGATGGTGCAAGTTGGTGGAGGGAGGCGTGTCGGTAGCGGCCAGGACGAGAACAGTGCACACAGTAGTCTGCACTGTATGTATCACCGCAGACTGAAAACAACCCTTGCAAGGCTGCGATGGGTGGTGAGTCAGTTGAATCAGCAGCCCAGCCCCAGCGGCACTCACCAACGCCAGCGAGGGTGAGTGGAACCACAGCCACGTGGAAAGGACAAAGCCCTCGCGTGCTCACCGCCTACAGGGATGGAGTTCAGGGGCCGATTGGCGGTGACAGACATTGAAATCGGCCTGGCGGGAGGGGAAAGAGGCTCAACGAGCACAAGGAAAAGAGGAGATGGCATGACCAGCATGCGCAGTGGACCTTCATCAATAGCTCCGTCCCTTGACTCGAGAATTGCATGGACCCTGAAAGCGCGACTTGGCTCCGAATTGCGACGATGATCATCAACATCAACCAACCTCGGCGGCAGAGTGAGTATCTACAGTAATAAGTAGAGCCAGCGTCTTGGGTCGCTCGACACGGTGCATGCTCTCACAGATGCAGTACTGTAGACAGGACAGTGCGCACAGCACCAGTACGGGAATAGCTACAGATGGCCGCCACAAGCCACTTACTGGACCTTATGCAGTCAGCATCGTCCGAGTCTACCGCCATCTGAGACGACCGAGACGACAGTCCCAAGCGACCAACAACAAGACTGTGATCACGCGTACAATGTGTGTGTGATCTATGTCACCGAGCGCCACCAGTCCTTGTAAGCAGTACGTATAGGCGCCTGTAATTTGGGTGCTTGGGCATCACCAACCATGCGAACCAGTCTATACGTATGTCCTCTGCGTGTCCCTTGCTAAACTGTACAAGCATTGGACGCCGATCACCCATAATTCACAGCAAGAGTCAGTGACCGACATTCGGTACGCATGGTTCGTGGGATATTCATTACTCATTAGACAGGGGGAGGAGAAACAAGTTAACAACCGAGACCTTTGACGCAGAATTTCGAGAGGCTGAAAATGCAATCTCGCTGGACGGGGGCCAGCCTGCCGATTTTAGTGCGTCCCCTAACATGTGCCACATGGCAGCAGCCGATCAAACCAGAAGCCTCTTTTTCCCTGGAGAGTCTGGACTCTTTTCACATGATGAATCATGTCAGCCCCAGCATCATAGCTTGTCTTTGTCATATTGTCATAATACTCCGAAAGCCCGCCATTGGACGGCCGCACAGTAGATGCCGCCGCCGGGCCTGTTCACGATGATCAGCGGGCATGTGAATAGTTGCGGGCGCTTGGAGGCTTATGTTGTGATGAGAGTTGCACCTTGACCGGCACCAGAGCATCCATAAGACGGATGTATGTACGCGCTGATCACCATGGCGGTGCCTCAAGATTAGTAACGTATGTTGAGGGGAAATTATGGATCATCAAACCAGTGAGGCCACGCGCGATCGCATGCACCCTTGGCCGCAGATGCAGACATGAGACAGAACGGTGCAGTTTCTTGTTCGTACCTCTCAAACCGCACGAACATTCCAGAACTCTCACAGTGGAGGATGGCCCGCCAGCCAAGGAAGCCATTGACACGGGCAATGCCGCATCCGACAGGCAATCGCAGCTATCAAACGATATATCGGCCGACAGACGGGCTAGAACGCCGCAGATGGACAATGTCGCTGCTTGCCTGAGGGGTCTCACGAGCGAAGAAAAAGCGGCACTGGCGCTGTTCATTGGGCGGTGAGACGTCTATGGAGTAAAAAGACGTGAGATCTCTGCGCGATTATATACTGGACCACCTAGAGCTGCTCTGTGCTACCCCGAATGGGTACAAAGTACTTGGCCATGTGCGCGGGGGCGGTCAGGCGACTCAAGGTGGGTGTGCGATCCCGCCTGGCCAGACGGACAAATCGATAGTTGATGGCTGCGAGACCTGCATGCCCGTCTGTGCCGATTGAGATGCGTCTGTTGGGGATGCTGTCACCCATGTGGCCTACGTACCTACTCTACCTTACCCCTGGGCTTGCTGCCAATTAGCCGATGGAGGTTGTGCGAGAATGCCACGCGAGAAGTTGAGCATGGGCCGGCCGTGCCACGATTCGATCTCTTTGAAACGTCGACAAGCGGCAGCGATACCGAGCTTGATCGCTTGACGACATGAGCAGTATCACAATTCACACCGTACGGAGTAGCATCTACGGCGGTAACCATAGCGAGCACCGTGTCCGAACAGCGACCGATCTCGCCCGCATAACGCCGACCGCACAGTCCGACCCAGACCCCTTGTACGAGATCCGTATGACCCGCCGTGACGGAAGCTAAGCTTTTTACCTCGCGCAAGGATGGGCGTTCCTTCTTGACACGCCTGTTGCAGAAATGCTTTGAGCTAGCGTCGGACCGTCAAGCGGAGCCCGTTCAACAACAGTACGAGGATCAAGTTGGAGCTACTCAGCTTCAGTCGCTGTTGACGGACATTCAACCCGAGTGTACGGAGTGCAACACACCGAATGACCGCTCAACACGCTGTGGCACAGTCAGGACATGCGGTGATATTTCCAAGAAACGTCGTGTATCTGTTCCACAGCAGGGCCGGTGCATGGCTTTCCACGTTTTGGTGACACTCCAGAACGTGCTCGCGTTCGGTCAACCCCGAGAAGCGCCGTGAGCGAGAGGAAGGTTTGCATATAAAGTACGTACAAGTATAAGCAAAGTGTCTGCACGTATCCGTACATGGAGCCTGAACATCTGAGCCATACAGAAAGATAATACCCAAGGCCTACATACCTTGGTGGTCGACTGACCTTGACATGGAAATGACCTGTCTCGCCTCGCCTCGGGGTCCTCTGCCTGGCGCCAGCTTCAGATCAGCGTCTTGAATCCTTGATGCGCCAAGACTGGTTTCAACAAGAGCTTCTCGGTGTCTCGAAACGGACGACGATACCCAGATCTCGGCCGAAAAGTGACAGGGCACAGCACTCAAGGCACATGACTGCCTGCTCAAGACCATAGACTCCAGCTTCGTCAGAATAATCATGTTCACCAAAGGCCAGGCTCATTCACTGCACTCGCAATGGTGTATCGTGTTGGGCTTCACCGGACGAAAAGCAACATGTTGATGCCTGACCACTCTCTACCGTGCAGCCCTCCTGCAGCCAATGTAGGCAATAGATGTATGAATCGAACGAATCCTAACGCCGTCGCTATTCGACTCGCCAAACCGACGAGGTCTCATTTTTCCAAATGTTGTACAGCAGCCGCCCGTTTCAAATGGAGGACGGCGCGGCATCCTTCCTCCACCCCTTGTGCACCATGGAGACTTCGATCGCCTTCCAAATCTGCTCGGTGATCTCCTTGTCTCTGAAGCGCGATGCGTCATGGCCATCGCCCCTCCATCGGTCGACAGCCGTCGAGACAACACGGTGGCCCCAGTCCTTGACATTATCAGGCGGAGCGTCCCCTCGCCAGCCCACGTACACGCCCAGCACGTGCTTGAACAGCTCGTTCGGACTGCTCCACTTATAGTTCTTGAACTGCCACGTCTGCCCAGTGGTGAAGACGGCCACGACGCGGTTCCAGTACTCGGGCTTGAACTGCTCCGGTCCCTCCACGAGGATGAACCTCAGGGGCCGGTTCGGGTCGATGCTCGGCATGCTGCGCTGCACGTGGAGCATGGAAGCCGTAGAGGCGGCCGTGTCCGCGGGTGTGAACCTTCCATCCTGGAGGAAGGAGCGGATATTGTTCAGGCGCAAGAGAGCAGAAGCAGAGGGCGAGAGGAGGATAATGGGGTCGGGACGACGCCCGGACACCTTGGAGGATACAGACGTGGTCGGGTTGGCCGTGGTTGATGTGGGCGCAGACTGCGACTTCTTCGTCAAGAATGGCGCGGCGAGCTTGCGTACGTGCGAAAAGTCCTGGTTTGGGGTGTTAGCCAAGCAACAATTCCACCAAACTCGCATAGCCTCTGGGGTAGTATAGTGTCATAGCATACCGTAGGTTTGATTCCCCGCAGGACGGTGTTGCGATCACCCATCTTCCTCTCGCCGTTGTACACGCTTGCCAGCCTTGGATCCAATGTCCCTTTGCCAGCTCTGGCCGTCGACGCCGCCGCACCAGCCTTGGCCGCCGCGGCTTCTCCTCCAGCTGCCGCCGCCTCGCCTCCCGCGAGCGGGATAATGTATTCACTCTCCGCACCCTCGAGCCATGTGATGAGATCTAGCTTCTCAATGTACCCCAGGTTCTGGACTTTGCCCTTGTCGCCCAAGGATTCGTTGAGCGCTGTCGCTTCAGCATTGTACTGAGGGATGAGCTGGTCGCGGTTCAGCCACGCAAAGTAGATGGAGCGCAGGTCAAAGGGCTTGTCATTGGAGATGAAACGCGTCGGCGTCGCGATGGGCAGGGCGATTCCGCGCGTCGGGAAGGCGAGATGCGTCGCTTGGGCGAGCTCGACCCGTGGCGAGGCTGGGTCCGAGGACGCTGTAGGGTGGTATGGCGCTTGGGTCTTGATCGCTTCGCGGAGCAGAATGAGGGGGTCGGAATCAGCCATGATGGCGACGTTCTCGGGAGGACTGCGGTGAGGAGAGAGGCGCGCGTCTTCAACGTTGGAGATGGATGAGGTTGGAGCTTTTCTCAAGGTCGAGCTTTCCATGCAGCGATTTCAGCCAATCAGGCTCCGGCGTACGACAGCCTTACGCCTTCACACAATTCTACTATGCTCAATGGGCAGAATATGATTAGCCGCAGTTATCTCGCAGCAAGTTCAATGGCTCAGTTAGAGTAATGAAAATAACTTTGAATACCACTCATTTCTGTGGTGAAATTTGACCCCAACGTCCATGGGACTCGAGCGCGATTCAAGTTCAGCCTCAAATTTTGCCAATACTCCCCTACCCTAGAGCGAAGACATGATTGAATGCCATTGAGGGCTGATGGACTTTTTCGACTGATTGGAAAACGAGATGAGTAACATGACTGATGAATGATTATATCTACACTTGAAACACCCCAGTTCAACACCAAGGTCGCCTTGTTGTTGCCCAATTGTTGGTACGACATGCTCAAATTGACAGAGACATCTACCTCGTCTGTTGCCTTTATATATACTTTCTAGAATCTACATAACTCTTCCCATGCATGCTCTACGCGAACCAAACCCAGATGACACCAATGTTCCCCCGTCAAACGCCGAAACACCCTCCAGCCGTACGCGCCCTCTTTAAATCCCCATCAGAAGCTTCGCCCGCTCGTAGGTATAGAAAGCCACGGCAGCCATGGGCATCACCTTGACGTATCCAATCGTCAAGCCCACGAAGTAACCCCTGAAACCTCTCTCCCTGAATATCATGCGGGCTGTTTCGCCAAGCCCAAGCCTGCGCCCATCGCCCACCGCGCCGCCAACCTGCATTCGTCGACGGATCACCTCGAGAGGGTACGACGCCGTCTGCGAGACAATACCTGCTATGCCTCCCGAGGTGAGCTCGGCCCACGACCGCAAGGCAGCGGGTTTGTCATGTGGGTGGTTCTTTTTCCGGGGTAGAGTCGTATGCTGCGCTATCGAGGGGTGACGCAGGAGGTCGCTCACGGTATCGTGCGTCAAGAAGGACATGCCGGCATAGGGGAGCATGCCGAGCACGGTAGGGAAGAAACCACGGTAGAAGTTGCCAATGCCAATGCGGGGTGCCACCTTTTGTATCGTCTCCGCGGCGGCCTGGACCGGCTGCGGCGCATGAGGTAGTTTCGCCGTGGTTGAGTGGTTGATTGGGGACTCGTTGTAGATCTGGCGACATGTGGATGCCAGTGATGACCGCCCCTCGCGCTTGGTCTCAAACGCCATGCGCACGCGTATGACTTCGAGGGGATATGTGAAAAAGACGGAAGTCACACCGGCCAAGCTGCCGCTCACTAATCGTCGCCACGGCGTCTCGTGATGCCTCGAGGGGATGATGATCGATCGGATTTGCTCATAGGCGAGGAACTTGATGCCGGCGTAGGGGAAGATTCGAAGTAGAGTAGCCGAGTGGCCGCGAAACAGGCCCCGACTTCCGTCCTGTCCATATATATCTTTCATAGCGGTCGCGACACCGAACCATGAGCCTGTATATTTCGCAAATTGGGGACTGCTGGCCTGAAAGAGAATCTTGACGCGGTCGAGAGGCGCAACGACGGTTTTACCCTGTACTGGTCAGTATGCCTCTTTGCACCGCGTCATGCGAACCGTATCGACCTACCGCACATCCTGCCAGACCACCCGCGACTCCGGTTCTCCAGACATAGTCCCAGGTTCGCGTGCTTGCCCGGCTGTTGGTGTCTGCGCTGGCTGGTCGTGTCTGCTGCGACGGCGTCGCTACTGGTCGCCCAGCCGTGTCGTTGCTTGTCACCTCGGACATGGAGGAGGCATGGCTCATGACCAGAGAGTAGGTGCTGGCTGGCTGGTGTGGTGATTCTCCACGTGCGGTGGGAGTGGAGGAGGACTTGGTCGTGCTATGAGGCTACCATGCCTGGTATGTAGTGCGCAAAAGAACAAACAGGCCCCAAAGGTGCGAAATTGTCAGAAAGTGTGTGAGGCAAGGAAAGTTAGAATGTGTCGAGGGTTTCGTCGGCCATGAGCAACTGGCCTCGAGATTGAAGATTACTGTACAAGACTGGCGGCGGGCCGGCCAGGGACTTTACTGACCTACTGGACGTCATGCGGGCGACTTTCCTGGTTGTATAGACGCCACACGATTCGCTGCGGAGCGCGGGACCCCCACAAAATATCGCGCACTCGCTGCCAGCGAGGGGGCATCCAACCACTAGCCGAGGGTTGCCGAGTTCCAGTCCCTTCATACGCTTACTGGCACTTTTCCGGATGAGAAGACACAAGCCATACGAGAGGGTCATGGAAAGATCCTCAATTCTGTATCAGAGCGATGACGGGTCAATACTTGTTCTCGACATCCCACGCTCACTGGAGGAGAGCCAGACGCTGCCTGGACAAATCCCTCTCTCACGACGCCTCATATCGGCTCAACCCGTCACCGAGCCATATGTGACGCCTGAGCCGAAAAGGGCTCGTGGCGGTCACGCGACGCTGGCCGGAGCCCAGAACAAGTCGCCAGCCGCGCAGATAGCCGACCTCATGACGGCAGCCGTGGCTCAGGATGCCCTGGATCACTGCAGTCACCATTTCCACGCAGACTACTGCTTGCCTCGACTGTTAGAGGGACCGCCTGTAGCCGGTGAAACCTTCACGCCTGCTGGCGCACGAAGCCTCCATGGCTCGTTGCAAGAGCTGAGCAACCAAGTCCGAGAAGAGGCACCAGTATTTGATCTTATCATGATGGACCCGCCGTGGCCAAATAGATCTGTCCGGCGCAAGACTGACAACTACTCGACCGTCTACCGGCTTGAAGACATGCAGCGCCTCCTACACCATATCCCAGTGCCATCGCACTTGTCACATAGTGGCCTTGTGGCCTTGTGGATCACTAACAAGTCCAGCATTCTCGACTTTGTCAAGGAGCTGCTCGCGTCGTGGCGGCTGGAGCAAGTAGCGGAGTGGACATGGCTCAAGGTGACCGCCTCGGGCGAGCCAATCTATCCTATCGATTCAGAATGGCGTAAGCCCTGGGAGAAGCTCATCATTGCCAAGCGCGCAGGTGCGGCGACGCCCGCTGGACTACAATCCAAAACGATCATCGCCGTCCCCGATCTTCATTCAAGGAAGCCCAGCCTGCAGCGACTCTTTGCAGACATCTTGCCTCCCCAGTATTCGGGGCTCGAGGTCTTTGCGCGGAATCTGACGGCCGGCTGGTGGAGTTGGGGCGACGACGTGCTCAAGTTCCAGCAAAATGTACATTGGTCTTCGCCGGATGATGCAGACCGCCCATAAGTAGCCCAATTACAGTAATATACATCTCGTCATGGTACAACAACGCTTGCGGCAACCTGCGAACCTACTCCCTCACCGAAGGCAACCATTGTCCCTTTTGCGCCTTGGCCCATCGCTTCTGCACCACCGTAGAGCTCTTCTTGTCAGGACGGCCGGCTGCTGCACGGGCCGGGTTCTTTGCAGACTTTGCTTGGCCAGCCTCCATTTTCGCCGTGACCCGGTCGTCGGCCGCCCGCTTGTGCACAATCTCCTTGGAACCATCCTTCTTGTTCGACGTCGTCGCGATGCTGTTGAATTTGGGATCCAAATCGACGCCATTCTGCCACTTCGTCTTGCCCATAAGTATGTCTTGGGCAGACTTCCTCAACTCCGCCCTGTCCTTATCATCCGGCTTGGGCTTTCCATTTTCCACAACGGCCTTGGACGGAATCTCGCCTATGCCAATGCTCCGGCTCAATTGGCGATTCTTGTAAGCAGCTTCATCTCGCCGATCGAATAGCTCCTTCATGAACGCATCGGGGTTGTTCGGTAGCTCGGGCCATTGGAAAGGTTTGGCCAGTTGGACGGTCATGAATTTGTACGGTTGGGGACGGTAGACTGATTGCAGGCCAGTGCGGTGGATCAGAGATTGTTGCTTAACCATGACGCCGACCCTGGTGACCTCGACATTGTAGAGATTCCACAGGTAATCGCGCAGATCGAACTTTGTGAACGTCAAGGGAACTTGGAAGAAGGCCTCGTTGGGGTGCATCTTCTTTCTCCGGAGCAGGGTGACGAGATGGGAGGGCCTGGACAAGTAATGAGCGGTTGACTGCGGACGGCGCGTGCTTGGCTACTCACATATAGACCTCTTTCTTTCCCAGGCGGAAGCCCGGCGCTGAGAGGCTTGCCGCCGCCTTCGTCGCTGGAACGGCCATGGTCGCGGCTGTGATGTGTTGATAGATAGGGCGTTCTGGTGATGTCGCGACGTTGAAGAATTTCGAGATGCGTCGCTCAGCCTGGCGCGTCTGATTGGCCTGACCTTGTGAAGTGGGGCATCCCGTCGGGATTGGTCCCCTGGCAGCTTTAATATGGAAGGGGCGGCCCACCTTTGACATGGGCCTCAGAAGAGGTCGGTGAAAGAGCCCAGGAGGTGCAGGCTTCTCACTTCTCACTTTCTCACATCACTCTGAATGTGAATTGGATGCACTTGCGCTTGACTGATCGCGACTGTGGTGGCTGGACCACCTTTCATTGTTTCTTCTCACGACTTGAGTGTTGGCGGCTCTTACACGACCTTTGTCGCCTTTTGTCTCCTTTGAACGCCCACTGGCCTAGCTTTGAGTACGAACAAAGACAGCCAACATGTCTTTCACCGCAAGAACGAGAAGACGGCTCTCAGGCTGGTCGAACAACTTTCGGAGGTTGTTCAAGATGGACGAGTCAACTTCAGGTATAAGTACTGGAGGGGTCTCGTCATCGTCTGGGGCTCTTGAAGAGCCCCTTTCACGAGAGCCTGACGTTGACTCAGAAAGTGAGCCGACAGATATACGGAATAAAGCGCTTGCCGAGAAATCAAAGGCATACCCCGAATCAGAAGAAACAGACGCAGAAGAGGAGCGAGACGGAGACCAATCGACCTTACCATTGACTGAGGAGGAGATCATGAAACTCACTTTGGAGGAGGAGTTGGCAGAAGCCAAAGCCAAGTACAAAGGCTGGGAAGACTGGGCCCCCGACGAAGAGAAGTTATTCGGAATCTTGTTCATGCGACAGAATCTTCCGATCATGCCCCAGCACTGGTTCCTGGACTTCCGCAACTTTCCAATCCACGAGAAGGTTTTTGATACGCAGGATTCCCAGCCTATCATTTACGCTCACTGTAGGAACGGCATGACTGAATACCGAGGTGGGACACGCTCTCCGTTGTTCGTCATTTCTTTTGGAATCAAGACTAACGTTGTGATAGCTACAAATGCAATCACACGCATGATTGACGTTAACCTCGCAGTGAACACCCTCATCGAATCAACGCCGATGAAGAGCCAGAAGGAACAGAAACGTCTTCGCTATCGGGGGGCTCGTCTCATCAAGGACGCCATCGAGAATCTCATTGACTGGGCCGCGCGCGATGGTGGCTATGAGAAACGCCGAATGCTGCCCAACGTGGTCGTCGAGATGGTCGACGTAGATGGGAAAGAAGAAGACATTGTGGAGGCCGTTACGACACACATGCGCTCTCTGATTAAGAAACACCGAGAGTACTACCGTGTCGACCGGAAGCCCGACTTTTGGCAGCACGCCGATGTGCGATTCACGCAAATGACGCCCTTGGGCCGCACTCTCAGGAGGAAACGGTCAATGTGTCTGAAGAGGAAAAGACCGCTCTCTGCGACACCCGAACTGGACTTTGAAGATGACCTGGCCAGCGAGCAACCCGAGTACGTGGTTGAAACGCCGAAACGCCAGCCAAAGCGCCGCCGCTGTGGCAGCTCGAGAAAGAGTCTGGCAGACGATGTTCCTAAGTGGGACAAAGCGAAGCTTAGCATCGAGACAGACACCCCCGATCCGTGGCTGACGCCGCACAACGTTGCTGTCAAAGTGGAGGACCTGTTCGAGGACTCCTCCCCATACATGATCCCTCGATATACACGGTCACCGACCAGCGACGTGGCCATGACTCGGAGGTGTCCAGTGGTGTATGGTCTGTACGTGCTAGGTCTGACCGTTGTAGTCGTGACAGCCGACGCGGAAAAGGGGGTGAATGCACCCATCAGTTTCCAAGTGGACTGCCGCTTCGACGACAAGCACCAGAACGTCTGGAACGCCCTGACCATTGCGACGGTGGTCTGCTTGGCAAGGGACGAGCTGATGTCACGGATCGATGACTTCGAGGAGGTAGATACGACTTATGACAGCGACCCCGATGCCTGATCCGGTCGGCGCCCGAGGGTATTGCCTGGCGATTGGCGAGCGTGGCGAGGATTCTACGAGATGTGACGAATCATGAGAGCGAAGCATAAGCGCCATTGTTTCTGCTGCTAGCATAGCCTTGTATACAATTGAAACTTGCCGGGTGGAACATGACATTCTCTCATGTTTATTGATACGAGTGTGCATATGTGTTGTGTGGGTTGTTTGACAGCAATGTGTCGAAGCTCTATCCATCCCCTAACGCCAAACGATGCCGGGATTGTACATGCATCCTGCCTGACCTCTAGTCTTCCATCCGTCTATATGGTAGTTGTACATATTCACAAAATCGCCAAAAGATAAAGTTCTGCCGCCTCTCACATGGTCCTGGGCTCGTCCTGTTCAGGAAACCAGGTATCCATCTGCCGCAGTAGTCGCTGGTACAAGAACAGCATACACCCGCTTTGGATGAACGTCCACACGCCTCGCGGCCCCACGCCCCTGAACCAGCCAGCTATGCCCTCGCTGCGGTAGAGGACATGTAACCCCTTGATCACAGATGACGTGTGCAGCGCGGCGGCTCCTGGTTTCGGTCGATGCGTGTTGGGCGACGACGTCGAGATGCTTCTGCGCTGCGTACTTGCACCCGCCTCTTTCGCGAGCGTACTAGAGCCACTGGGCTCATTGACCTGTGTCTGCAGTCGGGTCTTTACGACGTCCAGCGGGCAGGTTATTACGCCTGCCAGCCCACCAGCCAGGCCGCCCGTCAGCAGCTCGAGCGGCACACCGACGTCGCGACTTTGCTTGTACTGGCGCGCCCACGCGTGGAACTGCTCCCAGAACATAAACTGCAGGGCAGAGAAGGGCAGGTCACGGTATAGCGTGGCCTGATACCCATGAAAAAGCGCTGCTGTGCCTTCTGTGCGCACAATCGTCCGTGCTGCGTCGATGGTACCGCGGTAGTTGTAGCCGGATTTGAAGTGAGGGTTGTTGTAGCGACCTTGGAGCTGGAGTCGGGTCTTGAGTACTTCAGAGGGGACGTAGACGACGGAAGCAGCCAGATCGCCCAAGAAACCTGCGCTGTTAGCTCACTGTGAGATGTAGATTTTCCAGTCGACCTTACCAGCTGAGAGATAGGCCAGGTGCTGCTGGCACCCATGGTCCAGAAGGAGCCGTTTACTCCACTCATAGGTGCCAAAGAACATGACCGTGCCCGGAAACGAGCCTCCAAACGCTGGTAACCAGCCGCCGTACAAGCCCCTGCGAATGCCCTCTTGCCGCCATATCGTCCAGTATGTCTGACCGAGCGAGGTGTATTTGCTGGGAATGTGGGGGTCGCCTTGCTGGCGCGTCTTGACCGTGTCGAGAGAGTGCATGAGCATGTCGCCTGTCGAGCCGCCTATGCCACCGGCAATCATAGCCTACGATGGGTTAGTATCTGTTGCCTTGGCGAGATGACGTCGGGGCGGTCGATTCGTACATGAAGATAGGGCGGCCGACCCTCGGACTCAATGTCCTCGCCATCGGAACCCATAGCTTGTGCTCGCGCGAGCCCTCGATTGTCCTCTGGGCTTGTGTTGTGGTCCTGTGTCCCGCCGTCCAAGGCCGTGATAGCTACCGCGACTGGTTGCGAATTTTGCGACGGAAGGTTCAGTTCGGAGTCCACTGGTTGCGCAGAAGGACTGAAACGAGTGTGAGTCGGACAAATGTGAAGCGCTCGAATTTGAGAAGACCAGTCAATTGTTCATGCGTGACGCGGCTGGTAGGTTGGTGGGCGCTCGCGTGGCCCGTACTGTGATGTCGTTGGGAGAGAAATTTCCCTAAGCTCTAAAATCGCCGTCCGGTTTTGCGGCGCCCATCCCGTTATCGCCGGGCACCGCCATTGGCCCGAGCTCGTACATAGAGGCGAGTAAAACATAGGTACTAATGTGTTGATCGCAAAAATGATTGTTAGATAGTATTGAATCGATTGCTACAAGGATATTCCTCTGGCCAAATTTTGTTAGGCGTTCAGCTTGGGCTGGGCTATTAAGGCATGCAAGCGCAAGAGCGCCATCAAGCCTCCGTATCTCCTATGAATCGTACACTACTCGGACATTCTCTTCCCTACTAATACACCAGCGGCCTTTTATGATCTCTCCACTCAAGGGGGCCGAATTTGTTGAAAGGGTACAGCACGTGTGTGATCCTTCCTGTAATGAGTTGCTTCGACACAGGTCCATATGTGTTGCTGTCCAGGCTCGTCCCTGGTGGCCCATCGCCCTCCACCCAGACATGTTCTGCCGGCACCATGACCGTGGCAACGGGATACGGGGCCTTGGTCCTGATGACATCCCCTTCCAGAGCGACGACGCGCTTCACGGCAATGTTTTCAGGTTGGGTTGGACTCCTGCCTGGGTCAGCAACCTCGCGTACAATCTGGGGGCTGAGCACCGTCACGTACCTCAATGTGACAACCATGCCCCTTTCCAAGTCCCTGTTGGCGCCCCATTTCCAATTCAAACATACATCCCGCCGCAGGATGCTGTCCCGGTCGGCATTCATAAAAGGATACATGGACTTGCCGTTGATCCTGGTGACTTCGGCAACGTAGAGGTTGAAGCTGGCGATGACAGGGAACCAGCTGACCAACCCCAGGAAACTGTAGACTGCGGCGCGAGATTGGCCTTTGCCAGGCCTCCAGAAAGAGCGAGCGCTCATGTTGAAGCCTTTGTCATTGGGCGCACCCAGTGGTGCTGCAGTTGCGTCCAGTGCGAAGCGAGATGCAGCTTGTGAGTGTGAGATGGCGCTAGTGTCGCCGGGTGAGGTTTAACTACGTGGTCCTACAAATCCTCCTCTTGCGAGGGAGGCCCCATCCATGGTTTAGCAGCACTCACGACATTTGACACGCTGCACTTGACGGCAATCGACTGGCAGAGTCACTCAATCCTCTTAAAAATGGTTTCACTTGGTTGGATTACTGCAGCTACAAGTCGCTATGTGGTTTGACGCTTGGACGCCTTTCCCCTGCCCCCCCCCCCCCCCCCCACAAAGAAACACTTTTGTAGTCACCCGCGAATGCAGCCTCTACCTTCATGCCTTTCCAGAGCCCTTCCAGAGCCCCTCGAACCCGTGGACGCCCAATACCATTATGAGCCAAAAACAAGTCATCAGTCTCGTGCGATTCGTGACAGTCCCGGCTCGATCTAAACAGTCTCGGGAATGTTCTCGTCGCTATCACTGACACTTTCGTCACCGCTGACCTCGGCGTTCTCGCGCTCGCGCTTCTCCATGAGGGCCTGCAGCTCCGCGTCGTCGCTCTCGGTGACAGCCTTGGGCTCCATCTTGACGGACAGGTTGCCGCCCGCGGCCTCGATGCTTTTGCGCACATCCACAATCGCCTCCTCCAGCAACGTGATGCCCGCGGACTTGTCCAAGCAAGTGTTGGTCAAGACGTACAGCGGTGGCGAGACCAGCTTGACCTTGACCTGTGAGTCTTCCGTGTTCTTCTCCTCGGCCTTGCGCAGGGCCTCCTTGACAGCGTCGATGCCCTCGTATCCGAAGCACGTGACCTCAATGTCGGCGCGGACCTTGGTAGGCTGGGGTGTGAGACGCTTGCCAATGTAGGACTTGAGCTCGTCGGCAATGGGAGTAGTGGGGAAGGTAATGTCGTTCCAGACTTCCGGGTTGCTATGCTTGTTAGCCTTGGAGCTTGGGAAAGCTTATTATTTTAAGCACGCACGTGATCGACAGCTTGAATGCATCAATAGCATGGCCAAACTTCTTGTTAAGAGGCCACGCTATGCTCTCGTATAGGCTCTCGATGGGAGTGTTGGTCTTCTCGGCGACGTGGCGCATGATGGAGTGGACCATCTTGCTCTTGTTGTAGCGCTCCTCGCACTTGACAATGTCCTCGGGAGAGACACGGCGTTTCGAAAGATCAATGTAACCTGGTTGTCCGGTTAACATATCGTTCCTCAAGTTGCCAGTAGTCGACCATACCCTTCTCCTTGTCCACACGCAGGACCACGACAACCTCGTTGCGCCCAACGCGGATGAGCTTCTGGATAGATCTGATACGTCGACGCGACAGTTCGGAGAGCAGAATCATGCCATCAATGTTGTCGTACTCGAGAAGCTTAACGTAAGCACCCATCTCAGCGATCTGTGTCCAGCTGTCAGCCATTGTGTCCCCTCCTCACTCCATGGCGTTGGTTGGAAATATCCACGCGCCCAGGCGAATGAGCCTCACGCACCTGCTTGACGTTCACCATGACAAAGCTGTCAATCTCCGGGAACTTCTCCTCGTAGAAACGGCAATTCGATAACGACATGATGGCGGTAGTTTCGGGCGACCAAGAAATTCGAAGGTGGGCGGTGTTGAAGTTATTCGAGGCGGGGAAGGAGCCCGGGCACGCGGGTTAAGGTCGCCGATGTGTATGATTTCTGTAAAGCTGGCTTCTTCAGATGCGATGTAGATGATATGCGGAGAGTGCTACGAGTTGACTCTAAGATCGTGTAGGCGCAGATGTTCGATTGCTCGTGAGATGCGGGAAGAGTCACAATTTTGACATTTTCCCACTGAGGCCCGACCGATGGATGGTGGGGTGTGGCGTTGGCGGGGTGCTACTGTGGCTGACCAAGCTAGCTCAGCGGTAAACCACGGCAGAATGGTGTGGCTGCGGACTGTTGAACCTCGAGATGGAGCTGCGGTCGAAGCAAATGTATCGCACGGAAATGTCTTAATAAAAATAGAATAGATTAAATACACAGTAATTATCGAAATATTCAGTCACTTTAAAGTGGTTCAGTAGTCTTACAGATACCAAAAAGACTACCTTACCTTATCTACTCCGTACAGGTACACTGTTAAGCAGCCCGGCGCTGCTGACTAACCCGATTTGGAGGCCGGCTGGCGAAGTAAACATTGAATTCTCCAACGACAATGACGGTACCCAGCAACAGTCGGTAAACATGGCTCCAGGTATGTTCGACAATTCAATCGCCAAGATATGCGCTTTGTGAAAACATGCTAATATTTGCGCAGCAACGCAGTACGAGCTCTCGCCGCCTCCGGGCGACGCGATCTCGGCGCTCGCATTCGCGCCAAATGGTTCGACAAAATTGTTGGCAGCTTCATGGGACAAGAAGCTGTACGCCTACGACGTCGCAAAACCCGACTCGAGCCTCATCAAGACATATGAGCACCGTGCGCCCGTTCTGGACGTATGTTTCGGCGACAATGAGAACGAAGCCTATACGGCTGGCATGGACTGGGTTGTCAACAAGTACGGGCGCCCCTGAAGAACACACGCAGATATTGCGACCTGCTAACGTACTGGCAGAGTCAATTTAGAGACTGGAGAGATGACGGAGATGAGCAAACATGCTGCTCCAGCGCGTTGTGTGGTATACAGTCCGGCACATGGTAAGTGCCATTGCGAGCAAGGCCCCCTTCGAATTTGGTAGCTTACGAGTATACAGGCGTCCTGATCTCTGCATCCTGGGATTGCAGTCTCAATCTTCACAATGTTCGCGATCCCTCGAGCACGCCGATCCGCATCCCCCTTCCTGGCAAGCCCCATGCTGTAGCTGCCAGTCCATCCAAGGTAGTGGTGGCCATGACCGGGCGGATCATCAACATCTACGACCTTCAAACCATCCAAAACTTGTTCTCATCTGGGCAAACCGAGCTCAAACTATGGCAGCAACGCGAGTCGTCACTCCGATATCTGACCCGCGCCGTGGCCTGTATGCCTTCCGATGCTGGCTACGCAACCAGCAGCATCGAGGGTCGTGTGGCGGTGGAGTGGTTCGAAGACACAGCGGAGTCGCAGGCGAGAAAGTACGCCTTCAAGTGCCACCGACAGCCTGCACCGGATGGCGACGGCGATATAGTATATCCTGTCAACGCACTAGAGTTCCACCCAGTCCACGGCACGTTTGCGTCCGGCGGCGGAGATAGCACAGTCGCATTGTGGGATGCGGAAGCAAAGAGGAGGTTGAAGCAGTACCAGAAGTTCCCAGACAGCATTGCCGCCATGGTGTTTTCCAAGGACGGCAAGTACCTTGCCATAGGTGTATGTCCCGGGTTCGAGACCGGACAGGAGGATTACAGCGGGGAGGGCAAGACTTCCATCCTCATCCGCGAGCTGGGAGACAACGAGGCGAAAGGCAAGGGGGCAAAGTAAGATGTATGGTAGGGTGTGGCACGCGAGTCGGCGTTTTGAGTTAGGCCAGGGACTGAATATTTTCAAATGCATATCCTGCTGACCAAGTGCAGCGCTGATAATGGCAGACGACAGATGCTTCCTACGTGCGGCGTCATCTACCCCTGGGACCGTCACACCGAGGGCGACATCAAAAACATTTAGTTCCTCAGCACTTACACTGGGTGGACGATTGTACACTGCGTTCAGCGCGGCATGACTGCCTTGTATTTGTTCACATCTCGAGGGGACGTCCCCGCAACCTCCCGATTCTCGAATCTATCTCGGCACAGGAGTTGTCCGTTGTCCCGCTTTGTGCTGGGTGTTTTCGCTATCGGCATTCGGTAGTCCCGGATCCTAACACCCCGACAAAAAGTGAATCTTCCTTTGTTCTCAACAAGCTTCGGCGCACTGGCTGGAACCGTCTTGAGAGCCTTCTGCGGTGGCGTCTCGAAGCATCCGGCGCCTGAGGTATTGCTATGCGACCTCTGTTGGTGTGGTATGTCGTCTACGATTGTATCGATGTGCTTCCTTTTCCTCGTAGACAGCAACGAAGGAGACAAGTCTCGCTCGCACGCTGCTGGAGGGAGCGGTGTTTCTGGCGACGTTGCTGTGTCGCCTACTGAATGAGCTCGCGATGGTAGTGGGCTTTGTGGGACTCTACTAGACAATAGATCTCAGCATGTGTGTGAATGATCTCTGGCTAAGTACTTTCCTACCTGTCGAATGGTGGATGCTCGCATGAACCTCTCCCTGGTCGCTCATCTCCCAGTTCTGGATCTGCTCGTGATGCGCAGACTGGCTCAGCCTGCTTGGCTGCGTTTCGATGTGACATGTGTTGCCGATCTTCTGTACTACTCATGTTGCAAGAGGTAAGCTGTAACATTTACAATGGCCATGATTAACCAACGCTCAGGAAGCAACTGATGACAACCCCCACCACTCCCCAAACCAGGAGCAACAAGAGAGGAAAGAGCCGCTCAGGGGACTTGCCACTCCAAGGGAAACGCCAAGACTCAACGCTCGAGAATCGAGAAAAAGGATTCGAATTGGATTAAAAATATTGTCTGTGTGCATCCAAGCCGACTGCCAAATACTGCAATCAACATTGGGAATGTACAAGTATCATCGCCATAGTCTCCGGTCAATAGCGCACCCTTCCCTAGTTTTATCCTCGATATGCTTGCAGCCACGATGACCCAAAATTCGGCTCATTGACATAATGGCGTTGAGTACGGAAGGCTTCCGAATCCCACTTCCAATTGCGACCGTTCCCATGAGCCCCCTAAGCTCCTCTTTTGGATGGTGCGACTGGCTATTGCTTGTTAGTCTGGATGTGAAGATGGTTTGACCGAGCATACCTGTCTTTCCGGAACGTAGTCAAATGTGCCGGCCATTCTCAACAAGGTGACTTGCTGGCTGTTCTCGGGAACCTCGCTGCCCCAGAGCATGCTGTGGGGGAACCCGAGCTCGAATGGAGCAGCCGATTCGATCTCCTCAATGTCTTCGCGTGAAAGCTGCAGCGTGAGCGCTTCGATGTTGCCTTTCAAGTGATCCACCTTGCGTCCACCGACGATGGGGAACACGTAGGGTGCCTTGTGCATGACATATGCCATAGCAACACTAGTAATGGCTGTGTCAAGACGTCGGGCTACATTCTCGAGGGTGATGCTGATCTTGATGTCGTGTTCATTCAGCTCGACCGACCGACCACCCTTGGCATTCCGTTGCTCCTCGCTCTTGAAGCGGCCTCCTCCGAGTGCTCCCCACGGGGCGATGCCCATACCTTCGGCTTTGCACATCGGTATGATGTCCCTCTCGAAGTCTCGACAGGCTGCCGACCACCGGCCTTGATACACGGAGAACTGACGCAAACCGTGGTTCCTTGCGTACTCATTGGCCTTGCTAACAACCCAGGCTGGCGCATCGCTGATTCCCAAGTACAACACCTTTCCGGCCGCCACAAGGTGGTTCAAAGACTGCATCAATTCGGGAATCGAACTAGAATAGTCCCACCAGTGGATGTACAGTAGGTCGATGTAAGTCGTCTGCAGCTTCTGGAGACTGGCCTCGACCGACAAATGGAGACTTTTGCTGCCATTGCCCGAGTAGTTGGCTTGGATATGGGGGTGGCCGGGGCCTCCTTTGTAGTTTGTCGTGTACTTGGTCGCGATGACTGCACTGGTCAGGTCATTCAGTCTCGTACGGGCGCGAAGATATCTCACCCATCTCGTCACGGTTCCCACGTTGCTTCATCCATTCTCCGATCCATTTCTCAGACTCTTCAAATTGGTAGTTGTTCGCAGTGTCGATAAAGTTGCCTATTCATTAGCGCGGATCCTTGAGTACAGTACAGACACGCTACACACCACCCTGTATTCTCATGTCAGCAGATGTCGAACGTAAATCTTTGGGAATCACACCTGCTCATAGAAAAAGTCCAAGATGCTCTCGGTGGCCGCGCGATCGCAGGTCCCCATGTAGTCCTTCCTACCAAATCTTAGCCTCTACTGCGTAAGAACTGACCGAATACCAACCAGGCATTGCCGAAGTTCATGGCACCGAGGCATATCGGACTGACCCGCACCGCAGCATTGGGAGACAGTAGGCGATACCGGCCCAGAGGGCTAATAGGAGTAGGCGCTGAAGGCAGAGGATTCATGATGGCTATTCAGGTAAAGACACGTCAACAATAAACAGTAAGGTAGTAGGACGATGCTGAAGTTTGCTAAAGAGAATGTGTAAAGCTCTGGTAGGCGCAGATGGCTTTTATACTTCACATACGACCAAGGTACCTACCTTACTTCTTCCACTGCCAGCATCGCAGCCGCGGCTGTTCCCACAGCTCTTGCCTAACCCAACCTCACATCCGCGACTCCGCATCTACTCTGGATGAGATCACTGGTCCCGCATCGTCAATTGAGTAATAGACTGATTGGTCCAGTTCGTCAGCCGTTGTGGCTTAAGCCCAGTGAGGAGAGGAGAGTTTTGATGTCATGACCCGAGCTACCTACGCAAGGTGGTTTGGAGGGCTCGGACATTGGAAACCCAACCTTCTTAAATCCGACAAAAGAGGCCTAGTCGGCGTTGAAGCAACCACCATACTCCGTAAGGCAAGGCAGGTTCAGCCGGAACTTCCTGCTGTTCCATGGCGGTCGCAAGTCTTGTTGAGCTGAACAGAAGTAGCCATCTTCGCTAGCACGCTGAGAAGCGTCGTCAGAGTCCAGAGACTCCAGACTCGGCCCCTATTGTGCATTGGACTTGACTTCAGGGTGACAAAAGGTTGTGCGTACTTGGATGGGCTTCACGGACCCGACATAGACTGGCCACGGTTTGATTCGACGCATAATGGCATCCTTGATGACCGAAGACCTGAACTTGCAAGATTGCTGAAAGCGTTGGACTATTAATGTAAACAGGCGACTCAACTCCTCGGGGCTCGAACAAGTACCTTCAAGTCTCCACTTTTTCCGTGAATGGATGATGCCGACAAATTGCCGGTCTGGGATGAGTCTGCCTTTTTTCCTCTACCTCGCAACAACAACATGGTCTGATTGATAGCTCATCAACCACTCGATATCGGCAGTCCTATACTCGGAAGCACCCCAATGCGTCGAAACGCCAGTTGCCTTGATCCAAGGCGCTTGAATTTGCAATGAACGTGCCGAAACCCGTCCCATCCCGAGCGGCCCTCCATGCCTTAAGGGGCATCGCCTTTGGCACTTCCTGCTCAGTCGTCTTGCTGGCCGAGGAGCGTCGAAGACGTACAGAGATTGCGCGTGCAGCCATAGACAACGCACGGAAATTGTCTACCATCAAGAGTCAATTCGGGTCGGTGACGCACACGGAAGACGGCCAGACGTCGCGAAGCAAAGCAGCGCTTCACCACGCCCAACCGGCGGACGCGCCGCGTCGAAGAAAACGACAGAGCACGAGCCGAGCTCGCTCAGACGATTCCAACGCCGATTTGATTCCTGCCGCAGAGAGAAGGGGCGCCGCAGGTCCCGACTCCGCTGGGCTGGACCGTCGCGAACCCCCCAGGACCCTCGGCATCCAGGGCCCATCATCGAAGGCGGCTGGCCATGATGTTCCTCCTTACCGTTTCATGCAGTACGAAAATAAGAAACTGCCAAGGCGACCCAACACCCGAGCGATGACCAGCTCAGCGGGCTCAGGGCCGAAACCTTCCTCCGACAAGCCCGTGGATCCCAAGACCGTGCCAGCAAGGGTGGACGAGTTCATTGCTCGGGAGCCTTGCACCAATACTGACACCGACATCAACCGTTTCCTCGGTCTCCTCAAGGCTTTTGTCCATTTATTGGAGTCTCCGGCCTGCACTCCTAGTCCAACCGAGACATACTATGATCACTTGAACAAGCTCCTGCAGCATTGCAACATCAAAGGCTTGGAAGGGGATCACTTTATCAATTTCGACCATGTTGCGCAACGGCTTATCTGGGCGGCCATCCGATCTGACACTGCACACCTCGAGTCGTGCTTTGAGAAGCTCAGACCTTTCTACCGCGACCCCGAGCTGTTTCTAGTCCGGGCGCTGTCTTGTCTGCCCAGTGTTGCCACCGCCAACGCCTCTAAGCGCCTGCTTTCTTGGTGGGGCAAAGACAAGAGGTATCCTCTAACCGCGACGGCAGTGTTTCGCGTCTTGAAGCGGTATCAGTACGATTCGAATGTCAGTGTCGAGAGCACATGGTTACTTTTCGAGTGCCTCCAATCTACTGGTCTTGACTCTTGCGTCGAGCTTGACTCAGACTTTGCATTCAAGCTGCACAGGTGGCTTCTCCATGTGGCCACTCTGCAGAACGATCGGGCGGAGGTCCTGTCCCAAAGCCAGCTACTCAAGAAGATAGATGCATCCCGTGCCCTCAAGGATGTGTCGATCCAAGTTTCGGTGTTGTGCGCCAGTGCCTGCGCGCAGCATGCGCGGGATTGCGTATCGAATTTTACCGAACTAAGCCGCATCCTCCAGGATAGCGACCTACAATATTCTCGAAGCTCAATCAACAAATTCATCGCCGCTTGGACCCCTTTTATGGACGTCACGGAGCTTGACCGAATCATCCGCCATGCAGTGGATCGACACGGGATCCCGATCAAGCGCCAGTGGTTGATATCGGTGCTCGAGCGCTACTCTGCTGCGATGCAACACGAGAAGATGCTCTCATGGCTCCGCTTCTGCTTCGACAATGGCTGCAAGACCGATAGCAACTATCTACACTTGATACTGCGAGAGTGCTACACGCACTGGCGAGTTGGCGGAGAAGCCTTCAAACTCTTTGAGGAGCGTCTGCGCCAGCTCGATCCTAGCCTATCCAAGATGCGCATGTTTTCGCTGGAGAAGAGGGATTGGAAGACAGCGTACATCAGGGCTGTGGAGAGGAGTCCGTCTGGATCGCTCACCCACGAGCCTCAGGTCTTTGCGCTCATGCAGAAGGCAGCCCTGAAGCAGTCGTGGCAGGTAGTGTGGGATGAGTTCTGTGCTGCCCAGCCTGGCGTGGACGCAACGTCAGCGAGGTGCTTGTCATTGGCTGTCATGGCACGCATCGAGCTCGATGCTGGGGAGACCAACAGCACTGAGGCACTGATCAAGTCGGCCAGGACCAAAGGAAACCCCATCGGACAAGCATTGACGCCCTTCCTAATGGCTCAGCTAGAGCAAGGGAAGGACCCGCTGCAGGTGCTGCAAAAGCAGCTACATCTCGGGAACTACGTGCACGACATGGTCTTTACCACGGCCGCGCGATGCGCCTTGAAGCAGGACCACCGGGAGGCTTTGGTTGAGATCTGCGAGATGGCAGCTCGCGTCAAAGGCAGCAAGACCACAGGAGAAGTTGACTTTCTACACAGCGCTCACAGCTTCTCGAACCTTTTGCAGGCGTACAGCCGCGCGGAGAAATTCCAGAAGATGCATTCCCTGCTGGATCAGTTCCAGGAGAAGCCACGCGCCTGGGCAACCTGTAACGCGAGCAGACGGGCGATCAAAGCTGCCACCAAGTTGATGGCGAAACGACTGAGCTGGGCACGGAACAACGGCAAGGGCACCGAGTGTTATGCGGCCGGGGTGACCAAGTTGGTCCAGGCCTATGACAGTGTATTTGTGCGCCGCAGAACCAGAGCTCAAAAGGAAGAGCTGTTGCAGGCCGTACTCGACATCAGCGCTTCGTCTGTCAAGCCCGAGGAAAAAGACGTTGCGAAGCCCGTGCCCGTCAAGGTGTTGGCCGAGTCCAGCAAGCGCCTCGATGATGTTGGGAAGCACGAGGTGACGTCGACCTATACTCGACCGGAACTGCAGCGAGATGTCCTGTCTTGGACACGCCATTCGCAGCCTCACGTACACTTCCCCGCAGAGCAGCGGCATGCCGTGGCCTTGGGCTAGGTGGGAGGCCTTGGGGAGAGTGAAACTATCTATACCATACTGTACGATACTGGGGTGGCAACAACCGCTCCCACTTGTTGTATACTATGTAGCTTATCAATCGCGAGGTCAAGATAAACTGCTGCCTTGCTCACATGTCGCCATCCTCGTCCATGTTCACAAGCCGACAGTGATTATTGGCAAGGTCATGATTTGATATGATGCGTGCATGCTCACCACCCACCACCTCCTCTGAATCGTACGATACGCCTCGTCAGACGATAACATGTGTTTGCCGCATGTCAGTGTACGAACGTTTACCGCGCTTATGATTGGCCAGGCGGGCTCGGCGGTGAGGATCAAAGTGGCGCCATCGTCCCGCCATGGCCCAGAAAATGCAGCCCAGAAGGGGCAGAAGGGCCCTAAAGGGGTCCTTCCCCCCTGGGAAATCCGAAATGAGACATATGCCTGGCAAAATTTCTGGGTTCGGCCATCGATGATAATTAAATTGCACCCATCCCCATCGCCTCGCACGTACGCGCATGTATATAGTACTTTCGTATAATAGTACGTAGTTGCTGCCCGTCGTCCACGTCCTCAGGAGTATAACGACAACACGAAAACAATCGAGCCCGCAATTTGCGCAGTGCCCACTGCCACGCGCCGTTTCAACCAAACAGCCTCTGAGATCATCACTCCTGCGAAACCCGCCCCCCGATCGAGAGGATCTTGCCGGTCCCGCTTCCGCCATCGTTCTATCGGTCATTCGAATCAGCACTATTTTATACTTGGGGGACCCTTTCGGCCACCAGTCGCCACCACATTTTTGGTCCTCGACATATCCAACGTCGACCAAGAATACCGCACACCATGGACGACACCGTGGAGCGCAACCGCCTACGACGCGAGCAAGCGCACGAAGCCGATGTCGTTGTCGTCGGCGCAGGAATCTTTGGCTGCGCAATCTCCTACGCCCTCGCAAACCAGGGGCGCTCCGTCATCTTGCTCGAACGATGGATGCACCAGCCAGACCGCATTGTAGGCGAGCTGCTGCAACCCGGAGGCGTAGCAGCGCTCAAGAAACTGGGATTGGGGCACTGCTTGGAGGATATTGATGCAATCCCCTGCAAGGGGTACACAGTTCTGTACCATGGCGTACCAACCAAGATTTCGTATCCCACAATCGACGACGACGGGCAAGTCATTCACCAATGGCACGGATCAGGCAGAGAGGGAAAGAGGCCTGTCGGGCGGGCCTTTCACCACGGCCGGTTCATCATGCAGCTGAGGCGAGCGTGCATGGCGCACCACAACATCACCGTGGTCGAGACCGAGGTCACGAACACGATACGGAGCGAAGTGAGCGACGAGGTCCTCGGCGTCGAGACGCGAACGACGAACAAGGAGACAGGCGAGAAGACACGGGACTGCTTCTTTGGGCAGCTCAACATCATCGCGGATGGGTACGCCTCCAAGTTTCGCAAAGGGGTTCTTGACGCCACGCCCGTCGTGCGCAGCAAGTTCTACGCCCTCGAGCTCATCGACTGTCCGCTCCCCGAGCCTTTCCACGCCCTCGTCGTGATCGGCAACGCATTCCCCGTCCTTCTCTACCAAATTGGCAGCCGCGAGACGCGCGCGCTGATCGACGTCCCGGCCGACATCCCCGAGGCCAGCCCCGCGGCCGGTGGTGTCAGGGGCTACATCAACAACTGTGTCCTGCCCGCCGTGCCGGAGCCCATTCGGTCCGCAATGGTGACCGCACTGGCCGACGGCAAGATCCCCCGAAGCATGCCCAACAGCTGGCTCCCCCCCTCCAAGCAATCGACCGATGGCCTCATCCTCCTCGGCGACGCGATGAACATGCGTCATCCTCTGACGGGTGGAGGTATGACTGTCGCGTTCAACGACGCCGTTATGCTGTCCGACCTGCTCCATCCGAGCCAGGTCCCGAGCCTGAGTGACTCGCAGGCCGTCCGGTCCGCCATGGACACGCTCTACTGGAAGAGGAAGCGCCTCACCGGCATCGTCAACGTGCTCGCGCAGGCACTCTATGCGCTGTTCGCCGCCAACGACACGCAGCTGCGCGCGCTGCAGCGCGGTTGCTTTGGCTACTTTGAGCGTGGCATGACCGACGCGCCCGCCGGCTTGCTCGGCGCCATCCTCCAGCGCCCGGTCGTGCTGGCCTACCACTTCTTCAGCGTTGCCTTCCTGGCGATCTGGATGAACGCCTGCGAAGTCGTCGGGTCCGTGTGGGGTATATGGAAGGCCCCGCTGGCTCTGATCGACATGTTCCTCATCTTGTGGAAGGCGTGTGTCGTGTTTGTGCCGGTGATGTGGCGCGAGGCGTGTAGGTGAATACCCCGTCACAGTATGACGATTACGATGAGCGTTGCATTTGGATCGGGTTGGCAGCATTGCGCATATTCCTATCGGCGTTATTGGCACCTCTTTTAGGGGGGGAGAAAGCATGCTCTCAGGCAAATTCGATGGGAGTCTTGGATGTTATCGCGATATTTCAGCTGCATAGACATGCTTGTATAATTTAATTATAATGCACACATATACACTTCATGAACCGTTGATATCAAAAGGTTTACCTCTATCCTAAGCGTCTTCCATTGTCTCAAGATTCTACCCCTTGTGAAATCTGTCTCCGTAGGTCACGCGTGGCCTCGTGGATGCCTATGTGAGTCGTCTTCTATAGACTCCCATCATCCAGCTCGCCCTCAGGACCGCGAGGCCAATGGCCATCTTGAGACTGTCCTGAACCACATTCAACTTGCTCCCCTCGACCTCGTGCCACTCGATAGGCACCTCGGCCACCTTGATGCCCGCGCTGGAGCCGATGACCGACCCGTCGGAGCCCAGGATAGGGATCGCCGGCGCAGACTCGGCGAGCATGAGCATCTCAATGTCAAAGATCCAACCTTCCGCGTGCATGTACGGCACAATGTGGGGCAGGGCAGCGCGCGTAAACAGCTTGAAGCCACACTGGGTGTCGCGGATGCGTGACGTGGCCGGTGGCGTGAGAATGGTGAGGACCAGGTGAAACGAGCGCATGAGGAAGTTACGCAGGGCGGAGCGCTGTGGCATGATGTCAGTGGTGTGATTCCTCTCTGTGTTGGGGGGAAACGTTGTCATCCCGAACGTACCTTGACCACGGCGTCACTACCGACCAGGTGAGCGCGACTCCCAATGGCGACGCCCCTGTGGGAAGCATCGACCACCTCCTCACAGCCCTCGATGAGCTTGCCGACGTCGCTGAACTTGGAAGCGCCGTCCGCGTCCGCGAACAGCACGTACTCGCCCCTGACGTGCCGCAGGCCATGCGTGACACCGCCGCCTTTGCCACGGTTCTTCTCCAGCGTGACGATGCGGATCACATCATCCAGCTTCCTCTCTCGCGCAAAGTCCAGGATAACCTCCACCGTCCTATCCGTGCTGCCGTCATTGACAATGATGATTTCGTAGCCAGACGTGTCCTCGTCATGCGCGTGTCTGCCACCAAGATGGCTCATAGCACCGGTGGTCTTTGCAGGGGGGGCGCCGGGTCGGCCGTAATGCTCGTCGAGATAGTCCACAGCCTCCTCCAGAGTAGGGATGACGCGCTTCTCTTCATTGTAGGCGGGAAAGACGACGCTGAGTCGCAGCCCAGCTCGCTCGATGGATCCGATCTCGTGGGCAGGGTCGTTATCCGCGTCACTGGGAGCGAGCCGCTTCTTCTCGCTCAGGTGGCGCTCTGCCAGCCATCGGTCGTACCAGCAGGGCAAAATCTGAGGGGCGGTGCTCTTCTCGGGCGAGTTCGACGAGGAGGTGATGTAGCTCTTCTCAGACGGGAGGACGGGTCGTGGTTTCGGTGCGACGAGATGGAGAACGACAAAGAGCTACAGCTGTCAGTCAGAGTGTTGCAAGATCATGGCGTGAGAGCCACTCACGGACACGAGCGCGCATAGCACGCACGCGACGAACAGAGCGAGCAGCACGTGGATAGGTGTAGCTTGAATCCAGGCGTTGAGGGGCCCAACGAAGCGCGCTGCCAGCGCCGAAAGCGCGTCCATGCCGGGCTAATGGAGCGCTATCACGACCGCATGCATGCAGTATAAGTCGACAAAAGGGAATAGGCGTAGTGCGAGGTGCAATGTTAGGGCGGAGGTGTGAGAGAGGGATCGTGCTGGCACGCGGAAAATGAAGAGGATGAAGCAAGAACAAAGTGAGACCGGCATTCAGGGACCGCGATGCGCTGGCCAGGGATCGACAGGGCCAATTTCTCGGGGTTGGAGCCTTGGAGGGGCACTTCGTGCCGGGTGGAGATGGCCCGGGCCCGCCGCTAGTGCCAGTGACATTCGTGGTGGGGGGTCGCGTCGTCACAGGCATCACTGGAGCCTCGCGGGGTCTTGGTCTCAGCCTCTGAGTCTAGATATTCCTCTTCCATTGTCATGGTTGCCATTGGGCAATGATGTTCCATATTTCTCTCAATGCTGATGTAGTCTGCGAGGCATCAGAATCTCTACGATGACTTCTCCATTCGTAATTTCTACTCCATGCAACAGCCCGAAAGCCCAGACTGACGAGAATGCCGCTTACCGCAGGATGGTTTCACAAGTCTCGCACAGCCACAGCGACAACGTTGATTCCGGGAAGCAGCATAAAGATAACCATTTCATCATGTCGTGTAATCTAAGAACAGATGCTCAAGAGTAGATGCCCTGAATGCCCAACGCCCAAAGCTCCCAAACCTACCAGAACGCCAGCTAACGAAGCAGCCCACGTCAACGCAATTGTACCAAAAAGGCCCGTCTACCATATTCATGCTCTACATCGCAGCAACCTGACTTGCGCCACGGTTCTTCTTCACCAGCTTGGCGCCTTTTCTGCTTGATTTCTTGCTCTTTGGAGCGACGTCTACCGCCATCCCAGGCGTTCCTTGTGCAGAGGGAATTTTCTCCATTGGAATATTTTCTTTGAAGCGAGTCTCTCGTAATTCGGATTTCGCCATTGTGTCAGGCTCATACATTGCCATTTGCTTGACAGGCTCAGCAAAGTAGGACATGTTTGAAAACGACGCAGCATTGCTTGAGTTCAAGTAGAATCCTGAAGCCGGTGCATCAGACGGCGAAAGCGACGGGGCCATGGAAGGTGAAGGATACTTTGATGAAGCCGGGGTGAGTGCTGGCAACGACATGGCTGAGTTGTGTCGTGAGGGACCGGCACTTGGGATGGCCGCTTCTTCGGACTGTGGAGAGATGATATCTACTGGGAGAGGTACTGGCACAGTCCCAACCCCAACTGGCGTCGGGTTCGCGGTGTTGTTGACGAAATTGAACCCACGGAGAGATGGCGGTGGTCGAGTGTCCCGCGCCGCAGCTCGATGGTTGGTTGCACTTGACATTGCTTTCCTATCGATAGACGCATCCGAAGCCTGGCGAGAGCGGGATCGAGGGTGGAGTCTGTGAGAAGGCGCACTTGACGATGGCTGTGATGCTGCATGAGCCCTGGATGTGCCTAACTCCAGATCGCCGTGCGAGCTTGTCGAGTCAGAGTTGCTTTCCACCGGGGAGCGCTCAGCAAGACCTTCCGGTTGGGAGTGGTTGACGTCGGGAATCGAATAGATAATGTCGCGGCTACCATTGACATAGGGCGAGACGCCCGTGTAGCTGTACGCACGAGGCAGACGAGCCGAGGGGCCTGCAGTGGCCTGCCCAGGATACGACACATTCGATAGACTGCTCCCCACACGCTGGAAGTTGGGACCAGGCATGCTACTGTGGTGAGACACCGGGGTCATGGCGCTCCGTCGCCTGTTCTGCTCGATGATCTTGGGCCGGTCAGCCGCTTCTCGCCATGCCGGTGGCGCACAGTTGTAAGCGTCCGTTGCTGCGTGTGTAGGGACATGTCGGTAGGGTGTGCTAGACTGTTCTTGCTGTTTCTGCTCGGCTCGTTTCGTATTGTGCTCTTTGGCCGTCTGCCTGCTCTTACGGAGATGGGAGAAGATGGACATGGTGAATTATGTAGGCGACATCCAAGCAATCGGCGCGCGTCGTCGTTTCGTCTCCTCGCAGCCACACGCTAACGATAAGATCTGATGAAATCGAAAGCTTGTAATTTAGACTTTGATGGCTTTGCGACTTCGAATGTTCGGAATGCCTTCTGGAATGGCCTCGGTGTGCAACCAGCTGGTTGATCGTCAGGCACGGCCAGCGGTTGTGGCTGCGGCTAAGGCAATAGTCGCCCGTAGCTGGGCCTTGTCTCACGCAGGACGAGGTACGTAGTAAATCGAGTGGATTGGGTTGTGGTTGTGGCACGAACTGTGCAGAATGCCCGGGATAGTTCACGACAAAGACAACCGAAATCAAGGGAGAATATCGAGCAGAGGAGACATGATGGCCATCGATCTCTGTATTACCTGGGTAGTTCTGTGCTCTTATTTAAAGCAGGGTCGGGGATTTATAGGTGCCTCTGCGGGGGACTTCTCCTGCTCAGCCTGCTGGTTCAGGCTGGATTGAAACCGCTGGTAGCGCCAACGGTGGAGCGTCTTGGGCCTCTTGGCTTCAACACGGGCGCCGCACACAAGGCACGCAACTGGACCGTGGCGCCACGGGTTGGCTGCGATTGAACCGGTCTATTGGCTGGGATAGTTGAGCCGGCGGTGGTACCTTTTCAAGACGAACTAACAGACCCTGGATCTTGCATGTTTATCGTATTCTCCCGGTTCTTCAAGCAAGCATTCTCCTCACGACAAGGAGCCAGCCTAGGCACTTTCGGGAAGCTGCCTGCACCACTCTGCCCTGCACTATTGGCCGTCCGCGTGGCCGCCTCGTGTGCGACGTTAATGACGACGCCTTTGCAATTTTATGCAGAAGAATCCATAACTGCGGCCAGGAGATCCCAGTTGCTATTAGATTTAGGTACGCAGTTATCGTGCTGCAGGTTCGGTGAGGGCTCGTCCAGGTCGTCCGGGGTCCCAGAAATTAGAAGTTTAGAGCCCGCGCGCCCAAATGGCGTCTTGGCGAATGGCGCTGTGGAGTCTACTTTACTCCGTAGTACGAATAGAAGCCTGAGAAAGGATCTGGTGTGATGGCTACAAGCCACGTTCATCAAAGTCAACGACCCAGGCGAACCAAAGATATGGCTGTGCGGGCTTTTACAAGTTTCAATCCACCATGATCTTGCTCATGAACGATAATTTGACTGCGATCAACTTACATGTAGAGCGAGGGAAGAGTACGTATGTGCGAGGTTCTCACCAATTGTCCCGTACGAGCACTTCTTCAGATGACAGCCTGGGACACAAGATGAATAGACTCGCACTGCTTTGCTCCGCGACGCATCGTCCATGAATTCTTAGTGCTTGGCTGCAACTCAGATGCGCTCTATGCGGCCCAGAGTGTTGTTCGAATGCGTCAAAGCTGGGGTACTACTTCTGAGAAGTACATAGGTGAGCCCTCGCTGAATGTCGCTGGATACCCTTCCCATTCTCGTTGACGCGCCTGGTGGGGTGCCATATGAGACCTTGAAGAAAGACTCAAAGTCCAAGGTTCGTGTGCCACGTTTATCACTTACGAAAGTCGCAGACTCGCAATGCTTGTGCTCCGCTAAATATGATGGGCGACTATGGAGGTTGCATGCCGATTGGCTGGTGCGCACGATAACGAGTCAACGACTCGAGTGACTGTAGGTAGCCGTGCGCAGGTCACGTGCTGATCGCCCGCCGCCAGCGTGCCCGCCCCGCCCGTCAGGCCATCTGCTCTCGCCACTGGCTGCAATTAGGTGTCCATGCCATGCCGCCGGGCAAGTGGCTGGTGACTTTACCTAACGCCGGTGGTTCGTACGGGCCTGGGCCAGGCCTGCGTCGCATTGCATCACCTCTAGGCGGGCACAGCTCACCACACATTGACACCCGACAGATAGCCTCCATCCGTGGAGTATCCTTGGCCTCCACATCTCGCCTCAGTTTTCCATGTCGCATTGAGCACCGCACCCGCCTCAACTCGTCAGCAGTCGCGCGCGCACCTCGCTCAACGTGTCGCATTTGCTTGCTCTCTCCTGCTTGTGTGTACTTTGCCGCCGCTCGACCAGCCGATTGAATTTGCGCGCGTCCGCGGCCTCGCCCTCGGCGCACCCTCACCAGAAAACGTGGCGGCGCTCACCATCCTCTCCGCCAGCGACACAACCACCGAACTATCCCTTCAGCAGCACCTCGACATTGCTCCCGACCTGGTCGCATATAACCACGACCTCCCTGCGGAGGGCGATACCGAGCCTTTGATGATGGCACAGCCGGTGCCTCATCACGCTACGGACAAGAAGCGCGTCAAGGTCTACGAACTCCGCAACAATGACTGGTTCGATCGCGGCACCGGCTTCTGCATGGCGAATCTCGTCCAGGTATGTCGCTGCCATATATCATACGTCGTCGCGCCCGCCCGCCTGGCGATGGGTGGGCGTGGTTTGCTGTATCAAAAGGGTCGCGTGACTGACATTGCATTGTACAGAATGCCGAGGGCCGCAAGGAACCCAAGGTCATCGTCGAGTCGGAGGACCAGCCAGAACGATTGCTTTTAGAGACAAAAATCCATAAAGAGGATATGTTCCAGAAACAACAAGGTGGGCACCTAATTAGTCACATTGGCTTGCGGAGGCCAAAAGCTAACGAACCGCGCTACACAGAAACTCTCATCGTATGGACAGAACCTGTCAACGGGATCGATATGGCGCTCAGTTTTCAGGAGTCCGAGGGCTGCTCTGCGATTTGGAGATTTGTGAGCAACGTGCAGCACGCGCTGCAGAACAATCTTGGCGGAGTCGACGATACCCTGTCTGAGGATCTCGCGATGGACGGCCCCCCCGCAATCAACCTCCCCGCTGCCGAGCTGGGCAATCTGAGCGATATCGAGACCAGCATGCGCATCATGGGCTCTACCGTCAACGGCCGGGAAGCGCTCACCAAGACCATCATGGCCGAGGACTACATTGGCAAACTCATTCCCCTCGTGGAGATGGCGGAAGATCTGGAGAGCCTCCAGGATCTGCATCGCTTGTGCAACATCATGAAGAGCATCATCTTGCTAAACGACACGTCCATTATCGAGCACGCCGTATCCGACGAATGCGTTTTGGGCGTGGTTGGAGCCCTCGAATACGATCCCGACTTTCCCAGCCACAAGGCTAATCACCGTCATTGGTTGGATAACAAAGGCCGATATAAGGAGGTCGTCCCGATCGAAGATGAGGGTACAAGACGGAAGATCCACCAGACATACCGGTTACAATACCTCAAGGACGTGGTACTGGCCCGTATACTCGACGATCCGACCTTTTCCGTGCTCAACTCATTGATCTTTTTCAACCAAGTGGACATTGTGCAGCACCTCCAGGGCAATGCGCGGTTCCTCAAAGATCTTTTCGGCATTTTCGCGGACCCGGACGCCGATGCCAGCTCGAAGAAGGAAGCAGTCTTGTTCATCCAGCAATGCTGCGCGATCGCGAAGAATATCCAGCCGCCGTCCCGACAGAACCTGTACAACAACTTTGTTTCCCACGGCTTGCTACAGGTCATCATCTACGGTCTCAAGCATAGCGATGTCGCCGCGCGGGTGGGTGCCACGGATATCCTCATTTCGATAATCGACCACGATCCCCAGATGATCCGCCAGACGATATACCGACAGATGAACGAGAACCAGCCGCCCTTGACCGATTCATTGATCGAGCTCTTGCTCGTCGAAGTGGACCTCGGGGTCAAATCACAGATTTCAGAGGCGATCAAGGTTCTCTTGGACCAAGGCATGATGATGCAGCAGCAGCAAATGCCCGAAAAGTTCCAGCAAGCCGCGGCAAATGGGGACTTTCATGGGAGACCGAGGCCGCAGGCGGATCCTCAGCAGGAACTCTTCTTGCAGCAATTCTACGAGCGCTCGGCTGCGAAGCTCTTCAAACCCCTGACAGACTTGGAAAATCGATCGGACATGCATTTCTCGGTGCAGCAGGCGTCCATGTTCAGCTACCTGGTGGAGATACTCTGCTTCTTCATCCGCCAGCATCATGCGCTCAGTCGATATTTTGTCATGAACAATGACATCGTAGCGAGGGTTGCGCAACTTCTCCAGTCGCCTGAGAAGTTCTTGCAGCTCGGTAAGCAATTCGGCCTCTTGTGTATGAATATCTTGCTAACGTCCATTAGTTGCGATCCGATTCTTCCGTGCACTTATCGGTATGCAAGAAGAGTTCTTTATCAACCACTTGACAGACAAGCGCATATTCGACCCCATTCTTCAAGTGGTGTCAAAGGCCATCTCCCGCGATAACTTGCTCAGCTCGGCATCGTTGGAGATGTTTGAGTTCATCAAGAAGGAGAACATCAAGAATCTGGTCAAGCACCTTGTTGAAAACCACCGGGAGCAACTGTTGGACCTAAGCTATTTACAGACATTCCGCGAGCTCCTTCAGCGGTATGACCATACGCAGGGATACACCATCAACATGGAGTTGTTCCTCGAGACAGATGACGAGTCGGGAAGGAGGCAACCCCCGAACTCGAGGATGATGGAGCACATCAGCATGGATCCCGCGGAGGAGGAGTACTGGAACACATCAGACCCTGAAGACGATGACGAGAGTCCTGAGCGCATCGGGCAGAAGACGCTGGGGAGCAATGGACCGATGACGCCCACCAAACCTCTGGTGGACTACCCCTCGGATGAGGAAGGCGACGAAAACGCCGACCCCAACGCTCGACTGCCAGGTGACCTCTCACCGAGCAGCGAGGGCTCCGACTCCAGTGCGAGCGCTGGTGGCCCGCCAGAACGCATTGCGGAGAAGAGGAGACGTGAGGAGGACGAAGAGGACGAGATGGACAAACTCATGCAGAACAAACGGCGCAATAGCACCTCGTCGTCGGGCTCGAGTGCGACAGTGTCGTCCAGCATGGGTCGACGGCGAAAGAGCTTCAGCCCCAGCAGCGGCAACGGGGCGCCCAAGAAGATCGCCATCAGTCTCTCGCCGGCCCTCAAGTCCGGCGCGGGCGACGCGAGGACGGACGGCGACGCGTGAGCGAGGGCATGGACACGCGGCGAACATTCAAAGGCGAAGGCGTTTCGGTCACTTGTTGTTGTTGTTGTTGTTGTTGTTGTTGTACGAAGAAACTGGTCCTTTTTTTTTTTTTTTTTTTCACAAATTGGCATGGAACACACACACACACACACACACACACAGACAAACCATTGGCTTAGATGGTATTTGAAGCGAAGCCGGATGGAGGACGGACGGGCCGCCCATAGGATGGATGGCGTCTGGCCGGCGTTGAAACGATATTGACATTTTTTTTCCCTCCCATTTTCTTGCGCAACCTTGACGAGGTATATGACTTGGCTTTGCGTGTCGGTAACGGTGCGAGATTGTGTGTGTGCGCAACGTGTACCAGGCTAGCGAGCCTCAGGAGGATCGTACGGTATCTAGGCGGCGGGTGAATAGAGTATAGACACTCTGTCTTGTGCGTACAGCTTTGGCATTATACCTGTGGTATGTTCTTGTGGCTGTGTCCATCGTCTACCTATTTACTCTTGAATCGTTGGGCCCATCTCTCATAACCATCAATCATGTCTTTCGTGATCCCCTTGGACTGCTGCGCCATCGCCGCCAGCAACCCGTCCATGGAGATCTCAAGCTCGCCTTCCCCGTCGAGATACTTTCTATGCACCTCCTCCGCCGTCTTTGAACAGATCGACGCAATCTCGGCGCCTGAGTAGCCCTCTGCCCGGCGGGCCAACTCGGCAATGTCGACATCCGGGGCGAGCGTCTTGCCCCGGAGATGGACGTTGAACACGGCTTCGCGCGCCGTTTGCTCGGGAGGTCCTACGTACACAATGTGATCGAAACGACCGGGTCGGAGGAGCGCAGGGTCCATGGCGTCCGGCCTGTTGGTGGCGGCCAAGATGAGTACACCCTCGAGGCTCTCGAACCCATCCATCTCCGTGAGGAGCGAGGTCAACATGTTGACGCCGCCGGCGGTCTTGGCAGCCCCGGGCCCGGCGCGGGTACCGCCCATGGAGTCAATCTCGTCAAAGAAGATGATGGACGGGGACGCAGCGCGCGCACGCTGAAAGAGATCCCGCACCGCGCGCTCCGACTCGCCGACGTACATGTTGAGCAGCTCAGCAGCCTTGACGGCGAAGAAGTTGAACGACGCCTCGGTGGCCATGGCCTGCGCGGACAGCGTCTTGGAGCAGCCGGGCGGGCCGTACAGCAGTAGACCCTTGGGTGGTTTGGGGAGGAATGCGCGGACCTTGGGGTCCGTGTTCTTGGTCAGGCGGATCATGTGCGAGAGGCGCTTCTTGACCTCTTCCTGGCCGCCGACGTCGGTCCAGTGCACAATGGGGGGCTGCAGGTTGATGTCGCGCATGGCGGCGGGTCGGATCCCGCGTTGCGCCGTGAGCATGTCCTCGCGCGTAACGTAGTGGTTGGCTTGAATATCGTTGGGCCCGTCGGCGTCGGGCTGGCCATTGGGCTGTTCTTGGGCGAGGGCCGTCTCCCGCAAGGCCATGGCGTCGCTGACAATGTAGCTGAGATCCTTGCAGTTGTACGCGTGGGTTTTGTTGGCGATTTCCTCGAGGCAAGCCTCCTTCTGGGCCGGGTGCATGGGGGGATCGTGGTACTTTAGGATCTCGAGACGTTCAGGGGCTCGGGGTATGGGCAACGCAACATTCGCCCTCAACCTGGTGATGTTCTGGAGCTCAACCGGAATGTCCGTATAATAGTCGGTGCATGTGACCACGATCACCAGCTGCGGCAGAGCCTTCAGTGTCCTTGTCCTCGCCGAGAGATCGTCGAGCTCATCGGCCAGGGTCTCTATGATGGCGTCGCGGTTCTGTCTGTCGGAGGGGATCAGCTTCTCAAAGTCGTCAACGAGAACCATGGATGGCTGCTGAGTCTGCGCCTGCTTGAAGATCTCTCTGATGGCGGCGAGCTTGTCCGACGGCTTGATCCAGTGCACTTTGCCCCAGTTGGTCTCGGCTATGCGCTCGAGGATGAAGGTCCTGCCTGTGCCATGCCCGCCATGAATCACGTACCCGCATGATCTGCGCGCGTTGGGAAACGTCAGCTGGCGGGAGAAGTTGGAGAGGAAGTTGTTGATATGTTTGGTCTGCGTGGCCATTCCAGGTACAGGTGCAATGGAGAGGTCTCCGCGTGGTTGATCAGCGTGATCCGCCTCGACTACATCCTGCTTGACGATCCGTATCGTAGTTGATCCCGTCTGGAACCGTGCGATGCTGGTTCTCCGCGAGTTGGCAGAGAGGACTTTGAAGGTTCGACGGAGTTTGCTGGCATTCGCTTCCAGCGTCATGCCAGGGAACACTTCTCCCGCTTTGTCTGTGGGAATAGGGCATCAGCAGGTAGTCACGAGAGAAAAACAGGATCACGTACTCAGTAACCCAGCGATCGTCGACTCCCAGGACGGCGGGTACTTCCAGTCAGAGCCGTCTTCATCATCCTCAGTGGTGTCCTGCACCACGATCTCCTCGGCATCCTCGACTTCTGTCTTTCCCTCTGGCGTTGTGATCTGAACAGCATCCCCAATCTTGAACCCGGTGGCCTCCTGGAAGGCTCTGCTCATCATGACAACATTCGGGCTGATATTCTTATCCGTCAAGACCCAGAGGCTTCCCTCTCTTTTCAAGGGTACGTCGCCGTCCGCCTTGGCCACAAAGCAGGGCTTCCCATTATCGAGGCTTCCCGTCAGAGCAATGAGGGCATCGCGATTCACATAGAGCCTCGCAGCGCCTTGCAGACTCGCTTTCTCAAGACTCTGATTCGCCAAGGGCCGAACCTTTGCCTCGACAATTTTCGTCGGCGGCATGTCCGGGGCTAGTGAATGAAAAGTCAATATCCTGGATAGATTTCTGTCGGTCCCTGAAATTATGAGAAGATGTTGACAGTATTATTAACATAAGAAAATATTGTGTTTTTCATGAGTTTCTGTTTGCCGCGTATGAGCAAAATGAGATGGTGAGTGCGACCCACTAAAAACTTCTGAGCACTCATCGTGCCTCAAGGTGAAGAATGTCGCGACCGATGCTCGCACGTGAACTATCAACACAGCTCACCGCGTCAAATGTCCATCCCTTCCTCCCCTCGAATGACCGTGCTGCGGTAGTATTTCCACATGCGATCCTCCGCAAGACTACTCGCCAGTGAAGCTTTCGGCCATGGCCATCAGCGCAGCCTTGGTCGAGCGCGACTGACGAAGCCTCCATCCAGGTCCCAGGCATGGGACGCTAATACCCCCAGAAAGCCATTCAGCCCTGGGGGTCGGGCTTCTTTTGAACAACGCCAGGGGAGCAAGGCTGTCGAAACACGCAGCTGGGCGCAAGAGGCATGGCCCTCTGCACCGCGACGACAGAGGCCTGAGCAACGCCCGTGGCTGGATTCTCACAGGCGATCAGAGGGTCCCCGAGGCAGAACGGTACCTAGCGCCAGCATACGACGACCAGATGAGCAAACGCCCGTCAAGACTGGGTTGACAGAGGGGAAATTCCAGTTTCCGTCCGAGGGGGCAAGTAACCAGGCTGGCGAGAAGGCGGAAACGAACCACAAGAAACCCATGCTGGTCATCTCAGGAGTCAGCACCAACCTGGCACCAAGTGACTTTCATCGCTTGGGCCCCAAGTCGCTCTCTGCGTGGAACGACGGCATCAAGATGGGTGCGCAACCGATCCTCTCGTCTCCCCCCTTCCGTGAACATCCGCTGACCAAGCCAACAGTGACGCAACTACGCTGTACAGCAACATTCAAGCCCAGAGGCTGCTATCTCGTCACCTTTGCGACTGCGGAGGCCGCAACGGCATACTCCCTCAAGCTGCAGCGCCTGCAGGCTATAGCGCGCTGGAAATGTGATGTCCCGAATGGCCTCTGGGAGGCCACGCTCCCTGCCCATCTTCACTCACCAGAGGGGGTGCCAGCCGCGCAGGAACTGTCCGCGCTGACCGTCGTCACGCCCTCGCAGCCTGACATTATGATAAAGAGGAAAAGGACCACTGATAAGCCAGCGGCGTGGCAGAGACTGTTACAGCAGCAACTTGAGACGGCTGGCCACGGCACGAAGCCCCCGACTGTGATCTTGGAGACGATACCAGGGCGGATGCAGGAAGAAGCCCTCAGGGGAGAGATTGAGGCGGATGGTGCACAGAGAGGCGAGTCTTGGGACGTGGCGGACCCCATCTGGCTGCCAAACGGTCCCAAATCCTGGACCAAGACTGAGGATCACTCCATCTCGCGTTTCGCCATAGTGTGTGAGACGGAATGGGAAGCCAGACGATTCCAGCGTTATTGGAACGCGAGGACGCTGGCATGTGCTAATGAGGAGGGTCAGACGGCTACACAACGGCGCATGTGCCGTGTCGCGGTGCTTAACTGGTAGCAGAGGGTGCGTGTGGCCTTGTCTTTACTATGTACGATGCTGTATATCAGTGTAAAAAGAAATACCAAAAATCGCACGTTGCACAAACCAAGGAGGCCTTTTTCGCGTCAAAGACAATGAACGACGGATATTCGCATTAGCCCCCAGCTCAAAATGAACCCAGAAACTCCAGACCGGTATCTGCTCTAAAGGGGGTCGGATCGCCAAACGGCGACGAAGAGACCAACTCAGGATGGCTGTACAGCAGCAGCAGCAACGGCAACACAAACGAAACATGATAAACAACAGGCCTCCCTCCTCTTTATCTTCTGGCCGGCGTGCGCGGCTCCCGGGCTGTCAATCTCTCCTCGTGATCGCGCCGATGGTCGCTCCCATGGTGGCGACAACACGCAGCGTGCGCTCGCTCGGATTCCCAAGACTCGCTGTCCCTTGGGGTCATGTCAGAGGCTACCTGTCACAGTCCTCCTTCTCTGTACTCCCATGGTAGGTATTCGTTCAGCAGCACTTGCTGCCACCGCCGCTCGCCTTGTCGCCGACGTTGACGCCTGTGCTCGCCGACTGCTCGCTCTTGGAGTTGTCGACGAGACGCTTCTTGATGTCGGCGGCGAGCGAGTAGAAGGCCTTGTCAATGTTGATGTTGCTCTTGGCGGAGACCTCGAGGAAGGGGATGCCGAGCTCGTCGGCGAGGGCCTGGCCCTGTTCCGTGCTGATGACGCGCTTGTCCTCCCAGTCGCACTTGTTGCCAATGAGGATCTTGTTGACGCCCTCGGTGGCGTGTTGCTCCACGTTGGCGAACCATGTGCGGATGTCTGCGGCCCACGTTGTCAGTGATCAATTATAGCGTGTGCCTGCCAAAAGGCGGGGGTTTTTGTCCCGTACTGTTGAATGATCGCTCGTCGGTGACATCGTACACGAGCAGGATGCCCATGGCCCCGCGATAGTAGGCGGTGGTGATGGTGCGGAAGCGCTCCTGGCCGGCCGTGTCCCAGATCTGAAGCTTGACGCGCTTGCCGTCGAGCTCAATCGTGCGGATCTTGAAGTCGATGCCAATGGTGGTGATAAACGAGGGGGTGAAGGAGTCCTCGCTGAAGCGCAGGAGACAGCATGATTTGCCGACGCCCGAGTCACCTATGAGGAGGAGCTTGATCTAGAGGACGAGCGCGCGTCAGCAGGAGGCCACGAAGAAGGAGTGTGTCGTTTCGCGGATGTGGGTATGGTATGGGTGTAGGTAGATAGGGGTCTTTGGTGGGTTTCCTTGCGCTGCTGCTGCTGCTGCTGCCGCCACCACGCGGGCAGCGATGCTATCAAGGCGGCGTGACGGGGGCAATGCGCGCATGGCGGTGGGAAATGATGACCTGGGATTGTGCGTACGAGAAAGTCATAGTTGCGATTACTCGACATGGTGGGCGAGTGCGTTCGTCCGTCTGCTTGGGAGGAGATGAAGCGCGGGCGTTGTTTCGTGGGGGGAGATTCGGTAGAGGTCGCTTGGAAGGCAGGCAGGCAGCGAAGGAGTCGTCGAAATCGGGGGCGCCGCGCGCTCGACTGTGTTCTGGACTTGGCGGCGTGACGGGCAGGTCGATGGCGATGCAGGTGAACGACTGAGCAGACTGTATGGGGACGAGGGACGGGCGGGCTCAAGTTGGATGGATTCAAGAACGGGCTGGATGGGCTGGAACCTGGAAGCCTGGAACCTGGAGATCCAACCTCCCAGAGTCCAAAGTGACTTCGGTCCAGTGGGTCGCCGCCGATTACAGCGGGTGTGGCAGTGGTAGGGGGCCCATATTTTAGCGCTATCTGCAGACTGCAGTCCACACAGCCCGCCGCAAGACATCCAACCTTAGGTACCTTGCCTTGACACACATCTTGATGACTGCATCTGACTTACCCATTTTACTACTTCACAGAAGAGAAGCTACGCGCATGCCATCATCCGACAAGCGGGAATGTGTGTTCCTGGAAGCAATGGAAGTGTGTCTGTTTAGGCACTGATGCTGCCTACCACGTGCCTAGGTAAGTAAGGCAAGGTCCCTTGGTCAGTTGACCCTCTAGCTTCACCGATGGCGTCACTGTTGAAGCCAGACATGTGGCGGGTGGTCAACATGTATTTGTATACCTGTAGGTAACTCCAAGTCTAGTCCTCAATTAAGCGTCAAGTAGTATTAACCAATGAATGGGACCTTGCATGGTTCGTATCCTTACCATTCTATGATCGTATCCCCCCAACCCGCCCATCTCCCCATCCCTCATCTACGTCGATGAGTCTGAGCCTCCGAGGCGGTTTGGCTCTCAGCTAAGAGGTAGTATACAGTCCGAAGCCGCAGGCACACTACTGGCAGGTGCCGGCCCCTGTGAATTGAAAAAAATTACATCTTCCGGAGCAGCACATTGCGAGCGCGAAACAGACCGATCCGGGTCCCTTGCAATTCGGTGCCGGACAGGACCTCAAGCACTTCTTCTGGTCATCGTAAGGACAGCAAAGCCCGTCCTCGCACTCGCCGTCGGCGTTGCATTCAGCTCCATCAACTCGCAACCGCTGGCACGTGTTCTCCTCGGATTTGGCGCAGTAAAAGCTGACAAGGGAGTTGCGTGGGCAGTCGTCGTCTGATCCGCAAGACTTGCCGACGCAGGCCGACTCGCTGGTGGTAGAGATGTGGTTGTACCCCTTTTCGATCTCCTTGTCAGCGTCTACCAGCTCGCACTTGACGCTGCTGGTGAGGCTGCCGACGTCGTAGGGACTCTCTGTGGTGCGCCTGTACATGTTGTAATGGGAGCGTTCATAGGTGACAGAGCTGTAGATGGCGTCCTCTTCCTTGCATTCGGGAGACCTATGGCATCGAATCAGAGGAGCATATTCTCGCGGGATCCAACAAGAGCAAAAGACGTACTGGAAAAGGGTGCAGATGGCCTTCTTGCCCTCGGGCAATTCATCTGGGCAGGGGATGGCGATGGACGCAGCCTCGTGGAAACTAAGCACAAAAGGGCCATGTTAGCGATCTCATATAGCGTATACGTTACTGTAACGGCTAGGAAGTCGTTTCACAAATCTCCCTTCAGCGTGACGCATTCATTGTTCAGCTTGATGTCCAATTTACCGCCGGAGAACCGTGAGCCCCGGTAAAGGCGTGCAACCTTGTCCTCGGCCTGGACTGTCGCAGCCAGTACAAGGACCGTGAGCCCCGCCTTGAACAGCATTTTGTGTGTTGATGGGTCTGTGAAGTAGGGGAGAAGCAGTAGTGTTGAGTTGGATGGATTGCAAAGGTCCTAGGAAGCGACACATGAGCACGTCTTATACTTCTTGAGCGCGATACAGTCGTCCTCGTGACGAACGGTGTCTTGTTTACACCAGGGAGGATCGAGTTTGCGACGCATGCTGATCTCAATACAAGAGCTGAGTCCATCTGATGAGAATGAGATCGGACATAATTTCAGACATGTGCTGAGCCGTGTCTATAAGACCTCTTCGCCCGTGGGGTGCCGTCTGGTGCCTTGTGAGTCCCGGCCCTAGGCTGCGAGGGACGCAACGGCATGTCTTGCTTCTAACTTTTATAAATCTCGGATCGTATGCCTTGATATCATCTGACGTGTCAGGCATGGAGATAGGCAACAAAAGGGCCTATTAATTTTAAGGTTGGATTGGTACGTAATACCTCGCGTCTGGCCCCAGCAGCCATAACGTTATACACCTGCGACATATCTACTAAGTAATTGGATGAGAAGCTGCCGATCTCATAGGGGGTAAAGCATAGATAAGATCTACCTTACTCAGGCATTTTCTTAGATTGATTGTTAGACGGCAGAGACTTTTCGGCGTCATAGCGTTGGGGTAGTAAACAAACCACGCCAGAAGAACCCCCTTTTTCTCTGTCAAAGGCTTTGTCTTCCGGTCATTGAGCTGCACTGGTCACAAGTGGCTGATTGAGACATGCCTTGCAGCTTCCTACCGGCTTCAATTCTCAATTGTCCACTAATTCCAGTAGAAGTGCATAAGTGCACAAGAAATAGATGGAGGCAGGCTGTCGGCCGCAGGATACATCTACCGAAATATGCCTGCAAAATCCCGGCTTGTATGCGTACGCCAAGCCCTAAAGTACCGTTCCTCATATACAAGAATTCAAATGGGCCAGATATCTGACCTTGCACGGCCGACCGGAACAAGCACTCCGTAGCCTAGTACTGACGACACTCGCCAAAGTCACTCTGGCATCCGCAAGTGCAGTGCCTGGTCTTTCGTCCACAGCGTCCCTTCTTGGAGCAGCAGTCGCCAAAGGAGCTGCCTACACAGGTTTGGCCAGTCTCGCCACCACAGCGCCCGTCCTTGGAGACGACCAGCTCAGGTTGTTCAGGCTCGGGTTGTTCGGGCTCAGGGACAGGCTCCAGCACGGGCTCGGACACGGCTGGCTCCTCGACATCCCCCGTCTCACTGGGTGTGGTCTCCTTATCCTCGTCCTCGACCACTTTGCCATTACCAGTATTGACCTTGGTCTTCTCAAATACGTTGCCATAGGAGTCGGGTATCGCACCCGGCACGGGCGCAAAGACTTCCTTGCCGGTGAACTTGGCTGGACCGTTGTAGTCGCCCGCCTTGCATGCCGCGCCAAGACTCGTGCAGTAGTCGGCCCAGACTTCGCAGCCGGCGCCACCGGACACGGGGGCCGAGTCCCAGCACTGCTCGCTCTGCGTCCAGCAATCATCCACGCTGTCCCAGCAGCTCTCAACGTCGCTGGAGGTGGGCACCGGTTTGGCGCACCAGTTGCCGTTCTTCAGGATGCAGCTGTCCGGGATGGCTCCCTCGGACTGAATCTGTGTCTTGCCAGAGGACGACGAGACGGGAATGTACACGGGTGGCCCGGGGATCTTGTAATCCGTCGGCGGACCCGAGTACAGGTTGAACGTCAAGCCGGGATGATCTGCCTCGATATATCCCGGGATGCTGACCGCGTACTCGCTTGGGATGGCGAGCTCTGTCTCCGGCCCGTTCTCGATGAATATCTGTGCGCAGGACTGGTAGAACTGGGGGTCCCCTCTATACGCCTGGTGCAGAGCCAGCAGCTCGGGACGGGCGAGGTAGTAGCCGCTCGGGAGGCCAGTGGGCAGGTTGACGGACAAGAGGCCATTGTTCTCGATGAGTGTGTCGACACACCACTTGCCCGTATCAGCATCGTAGCCGTCCTCCCAGATCTTGAACCAGCCATCGCCGGCCGCAGAGTCAGAGAACATGTCGTCTACTTTTTTCAGGTAAACTGAGCAAGGCCCCTGGTGGGATTCGTCAATCGACCCAGGCTTCGCGGCGTTGGGCGATTCACGAAACTCGAAGGTGAGCGTGGAGCCACCTGCGGCTGGGCAGATGAATGGGACAGGGACCTCGCCATCACGACCTGTTGAAGGTTAGCAGACTGACTGGTTCCAGAAAGGGGATACTGACCGCAGGCCATGTCATCGCCAGTCAGTGGGTAGATGGGTGCATTTGATGTTGCGCCGTCCTTAGGCATGCGAACGCAAGTACCGTCGCCTTGATTTTCTCCATCTACGAAGAAAGTTGTGAAAAGAGTATGGGCACTAGACACAGAGGCCAGGCCAAGAATTGTAATGACGGACTTCATGATGTGAGATATGAAGGGTGATATATAGGCGTAGAATCAAAGATAGAGGTCGTCAAGATCAGGGGTATCGTAGTTGAGCCACAACGTCAAGCTGGACAGGTGAGATCAAGACCTTCAAGGCCGAAAGAAAAGGAGTGTTGGTTGAATGAAGAAGTTATTGAAAGAAGGACGAGCGAAAGGAACACAGACAGCTGTCAACGAATGTTGTGGTTCAGGCTGTTGAATCAAGGATGAGGGCGGGCGAAGCAGCATGCTATATACTACCAGGCACTCTCTCCTCGTTGATGATACGTACAATTACACAAAAGTCCTTGTGCGAACAATGGCACGGCCAAGGCGGCGGCCACATGTTTCAAGGCCAGCCCATGCGCGCTGCGAAGATGTGGAAGGAATAAGGTTAGACGGCGATGAAACGGAACGCGTCCATCGGGCGCGTGCAGTAGTGCGACATAGCCGCTGACCGAAGCCACAGGGGCTTGCCGCTTTCATGTTGGCTACTCGATCGCGGAATCTACGTAGTACGTAATAAACTTGGGCGGCCGACCAGGCCAGCTGAGCAGAAGTTGCTTCAAGTCTACGCGACAGGGTTGGAGTTGACATGGAGATTGTCGAGGTAAGTTCGCGGTGGATGAACTGGGCTCTTACTGCACCGCCAAGGCTAAGGTATGTGTAAGCTGTAGCCAACAAGCAGAATCTAGAGATGTTCCAAAGCTTCTACTTAGAGTCAGGGGTCGAAGGATCGCCTGAGCTTGAGCTAATGTTTATTGCCCCGGATGGTGCGCAGGAGCTAGTTCGTTTCATGCGACGAAGCCAGTCTGCTGGATCGGATCGACGTGCTTGACCCATCTCCTCCAATCTTAAATCCTCATATGCACGAGCACAAAAACCCGACCTGGGGCTGATTGGGCGTCTAGCTACGTACGACGTACATGCAACGATGGGCTGGCGGCTCCCCCTGGATGGCGCATCTTCTGTCTCGGGTAGAGACATGCTTATTCCGATGTTGGCAGACATTGAGACTGCCCAACCACACCGAGGAGAGGGAAACGCCAAGGCGACTGTAATGCAAAGCTGACCTACCCCTTGGTCGGTGAACGTAGACACACAGAGTCGAGTGAAGGTCATTCGATGCGCATTAGGGTCCGCGGCGAGACGACGATACTGGAAGACAGCCCATATATTACACCATTTCTCTATGCAAACAGAACACGCTCCTCCTATGACATGACATGACATGGGTTTGTCCTTTTTTTGTTCCCTTTTTGGTACATGTTTGTTGGTACAGCAAGCCTTTGCTCGGCACTCCAGATTTCGGGGTTTTTGTTTGTTGCGGTTACTCGTTGATCTTGGCGAGAATCCTGTTTCATCGCGCGTTAGTTCTGGCGTGCCGCATTGGGGGCCCGATTGGACGTGGAACTCACTCGCTATCACGGAAGAGCTGGTACTCCTCCTCGCCAGCCTTGACGGGGGAGCCGCCAAACTACATTGTCGCATCAGTACGTCTCTTCCTTGTCGAGTGTGCGTGCATTGCATTGCATACCTGGGGGATCAGAACACGGTCGCCCTCCCGGACACCCATGGGCAGCCTGTTGCCCTTCTTGTCGAGGGCGCCGGGGCCGACGGCGAGGACCTTGGCCTCGTTGAGCTTCTCGACGGCGGACTCGGGGAGGAGGATGCCGCCGGCGGTCTTAGTCTCGGCCTTGATGCGCTGGACGAGCACGCGGTCCAGGAGAGGGGCCAGGGAGCGGACGGAGCGGATGGAGGTGGCCTGCGTGCGATTGTTAGTTGACATGTCCGATTGACTGACTGACTGCTTTCGTCGAGGCAGCGCGTCGCATAGCCGAGGGGAACCGAAGGCTTGCTTGCTCGTCCGCAATAGACAGGGGAGATGCGTACCATTGTGATAGATGTAAGTGTCGAGTGTCGGCGACGTAGACTACCGTTCGAGCTGGAGTATTAAGCGATTAATTGATGGTTGTACAGAACGTTGATGCAGAGGAAAGGAGGAAGAGAGAGGTCGAGGTCGAAAGCTGAAGAGTGTCGCGATGTGGAGCTTGGGCTAGACTGGGCTGGACTGGACTGGCTGGACCGTGGAGCTTTCCAACGGTTTCCAGAATTTTTTCCCAGCTTCACTTCCTCGGCTGTCGGGATGACCCGTTCCGGGCGAGGCATCACAGCTTCATCAGTCAGAGTGAGACTCCTATCTGAGACAAGACAAGGCAAACGATGGTATAATAACCCGCCGCCGCTTCAATTCAGCTTCAGACGCATCAGCACCTGGCCATGATCCGACTCTTCACCGGGAAGTCTACCCATCAGCCCGCTCCTTGGAAAGACACCCGGAACACTCCATCTCCTCCCCTTGTAGCGCGACAGGACACATCTGATCAGATCCCACGCTTGTCCCTGGCCTCTGTACTCCTCCTCGACGATTAGACTGGCAAGAGAGATCGGCTGCCCTGACTCCTCCTCATCCGGATCCGAGATGGCGCAGTACGCATGACCCAGCCTGAAAGCCCTCTTTGCGGAACGATGCGAGGACAGCATGTATGCCTGCCAGGCTAGTCGTTCCTTGTCCCCGTGCTCCTCAATGATTCGTTCGACTTCTCCCACCGTGATCTCCTCGAGGGCCGCCTTCCCTGGGTCTTCGTGCCACTCGAATTGGTCAATAACCTCGCTCTCCCATTCGGGCATCTCAAGCACAGCCTCGAAACGCCTTCTATGGTACATGGTGAGCGCTTTGGTGTCGTCGATCAGACACTCGAGCTCCAATACCTCTGTTCCAGAGGCTCGCTCTGCTGATATGACCATGTCTAGGCCCTTTGAGCCGTAGCCGTGCCCTTGTGCAGTAGGGATGATGCCAATCATCGCCAGGCGGGAATGGGTTGGCTTATCGCTCCTCCTGGCGACGAGGGCTATGCCCAGTGCCTCGTCAGGTCCATCCCCAGGATAGAATACGTGACTGCGCTGTAGGGAAATGCGGTTTCTGATGAGCCAGGCTGTCATGGTCTCGGCATCAAAGCCGGGCGATCCAGATGGATAGACCGAGTAGGCAGCATTGAACAAGGAGGCCAGGAGGCCCGGTGACGCCTCATGAGCTGGCCTAGATTTCATGTCGACTTTGATTTTCGTTGATCAGTAATAATTCGTTGCCGAAGGTTGATCGAGGAGAGTGGGTGAGTATCAAGTACGTCCCACGACGGCGAGGAGTCATCCCGCTACAGGGTAATCCAGACCTGCACGACATCAGCGTCTCAAGAGTCACGCCCAGTCAATGCACAACGCTCTATTCAACCGCTACCTTCCCACTGTGACAAGTAATTTCCCTACAATGGCGAAGACATGTCATGCTATACAATCGCTATATCTCATCCCTGTCCTGGACCCGTGTCCCACGTCTCCAGCCAAGCTAGATAGGTCCTGTGCTCCCTTGATCACTTAGGCAGCCGGCGGGTTGCTCGGTGGCTGCAGCGTGTGCTCGTGATCCTCCGCCAGGATGACCGTCCCGTCGTCCGTCTGCTGACATATCAGAGAGTCGGCCACCCAGGGCTCGGCGAGGATCTCTTCCATGGTGCCGCGCGTCTTGGGGTTGATGTCGAGCATGCGCCAGATGATGTATCTGCTCTCCCTCGGCAACAGCCGCAGAATCCGCCAAGGCCCCTTGATAACTTCCTTCTTCTCACCATGGCCTTGCTGGCCCGATGGAGCGTGCGAGGCATCATGCGAACGCTCCCTGTCCTTCTTCTCGTGTTCGTCGGCGGGCGCCTGGCGCGAGGGCTCCTCATGTTTCTGCTGCTCGGATCTCCGCTCGCTCTTGTGCGCGTCCTCCTCGTGCGCCGCCTCGGCGAGACTGCCGTGCCTCCGACTCGGATGGACCAGCTTGGCCGGGTCGTGGCCGGGTGTCGGCTCGGCAGCAAACAGCTTGTATGAGTTGTCCTTGTCCTCCTGCGGCAGCTTCCACGGAAACCTCCGCAGGGTCATGCAGCAAAAGATTATGGCCAAAGACCAAATGTCCACCGCCGCGGCGTCGTACTCCTTGGACTTGTACACCTCGGGGGCGAGGTACGGATCCGACCCAACAATACCTGCAACGGTTAGCCACCACGCCGAAACATCCGAGTCTGGGGGAAAACCACTCACCCTTTGCCGGCACAATGCCCGACTCGAAAGGATACCTGAAGACGTGGGCGCTTCCAAAGTCGATGATTTTCATGATCCCCTTGTCGCTGATTACCACATTATCCAACTTGAGATCCCGATGCGCCAACCCAAGACTGTGTAGATAAGTAACGCCATTCAAAATTTGCAGGAAACAGCATCTGATCTCCTCTCGCCCCATCTTGCCGGTCATGACCGTCGCGAACAGGTCAAAGGGTGCGTACTCCATCACCTCGTACCAGCGGCCCTTTTCCTGGACAATGTCGAGCGTCTCGATAATGTTGCCGTGGTGCAGCGTGGAGCCGACGCAGAACTCGGCCATGACCTTTTTGTTGTACTCCTTTTCGGTCTCGTACTGATTCCGCGGGCGGAACTCCTTGACAGCAAAGACGGTGTTGTCCTCTTTCCGCTTCATCAGCTTGACGGAGCCGCCAGCGCCAGAACCCAACACCCTCCCAATCTTGCCATATTTCGTGGACAGCCCATGGTCTTCTGCAAAGGGCAGTTGCTGCGTAGAGCGGGCGGCAGGCGGAGTCTGATAGCCAGTCCTGGTGGACGAGGCGGGCGACGCATCACGCTTGGGCTTGTGATGCTTCTTCCCACCCTTGAAGAAGCGCTTCAGATCAGACATGGATCCGTTGCTCGGGTTGTGTTGATGACCGGCCCCTGAGGCGCTCTCACCCTCGCCGAGTTCGTGACTAGAGTTTCTGCTGAACATCCCCGAGGCGCGCTTCTCCGAGATGCTGTTCTTGGACGAGCTCGGGGGCGAGGCGGCCTTCTTCTTCTTCCGGCTGAAAATGAACCGGGGATCAATGTGCTTCTTGTTGTGGTGGTTAGAGTGCTGCTGCGGGCGACGTCCCTTGGCGTACGGGTCGTTGGCGTCGCCGCCAGGGGCCATGGGCCGGGAGTAGAAGTTGGACGCCGCGTTGCGCGATGGACTAGATTCGCGCGAGACCGGCACGGAGGCGCCTCCCCCAAACATGCCCCTTCTATGGGACCTGACGTCCACATCATGGTCCTCGGCCGAGGCCGATCGTTGTAAGGTATGATTGGGCGAGGCCGGACGATGTGGGAGGGTTTGACCTTGCGATGCCGACTGCTGAGGTGACTTGTCGTGGGACGTTGAAGCTTGAGGCGTGATCGCTTGCGGATCGTTGACGTCCAGCGTCTTGGGCCTCGACGTGGGCGGCTGGGCCTTCTCGGCCGCGCCAGCACCGCCGGACCCCGACGGCGTCAGCGGCGGTGAGGCCATGGCCGTGAGTCTGGGGCTGCCATGGGGCGACGGTTGGAACTGGCCCGAGGCAGGCGTTGGTAGACGCGAGCTGTCCGGAGAGTCTTCCTCACGAGAAGGTACCTGGATTGTTCGTCAGTCCGTCATTCTTGCTACCTCTGCCACCACGCCCTCCTGAGTAAAGGAGGGCATTCCCCGGGCGATTCACATACTCTGGATGCCGGGAGCGAGAAGGCTTCGAACTGAAAGGTATTCATGCGCCTTTCCTGCAGCAGAGGCCGCGCGTGCAGCGACTTTGTGTATTCACGCAGCTGGTCAGCTGCGACCTCGGGAGACTGGGGCGCAGAGCCAGAGGCATCGGCCTGAGCTGCGTGGGCTGCGTTGGGGGCAATCTCTTCAATGGCGGAAGAGAAGCGCACGGCGGGGACGTCATCGTGGTGTCTTTTGGTGTCGGTCGTTGCTGACGCCGCAGTGTCGTCCCGGGCCGCTGCTGCTTGCGAGGCGTCTGCTTCAGGCGGCATGTTAGCGAATGATTGGCCTTGCACCATGTATGTATGGGAGCGGTCGGCGAGAGAGGTGCAATTGGTGATAATTACTGCTGTGAAATAAAAAGAGTTCCAGCGAGCGAGCGAGAAGCGCTGGGCAAGGCGGGATGGTGGGACTGGACTTGGACGGTTGCGTGAGCGGCGATGGCCATGCCTGGCCTGGCATGGCGGGGCACTGACTGCAGGCCAGTGGCAGTCATTCATGTCCCTCTAGGCCATGTCTGGTCACCGTCGATGGATTACCCGCGCAAACGGGTCAGTCCGGACTTCGGAAGGACCGGCAAGGGGCCAGTGATTGGGTTCGGCAGCCAAAGAAAATTGCATAAGCAGAAAATGTACGTACCAGCAGGAGTCGAAGCCAGGCGCCGTTGCGCAGCTTGGTGCGATGGAGCCATGAAGCTGGTAAGAGTGTGACGTGGGGACAGACCCAGTTACGGGCAGAATTATTAGGAATGATGGAGCGTGTTTCCAGGTAAAATTGCAGACAGACAGACGCTTGGGAGAAGACAGCCGACTTTGTGCAAAGTTGCATCACAATCGCACCAACGGATAAAAAGTGGTGATGTTGCGTCAGGCTTCGCTCGCACTGCTCACGAGTCCGAGCCCGGTCGAGCAACGCCGACTAATTAGATGGACAAAGTTCTCTCTCCCCTACAGTAGCGTCGATCGCTTGACGACGTCGTGCTGGTGGCGTCGTTGCCCATTACGTTTGATTCTATTGCTGTAAATTTGGCCACTAACAGACGTATCTTTTTCCAGCAATCAGTTGTTCTCTCGACGGTAGATAAGAATCAGCTGGCTGCATGAGACCCTGTCTCCTTCACCAGCGAGCCGCGTGTAGCCTAACCGGGCCTTTCGCGGTGCTCCTACAGTCCGTCTGCGGTCACGGCTACCCTGGGGCGACAAATCAGCAACCCACGCTGCGCTGTACAACACTCGTAGATGACAAAATGCGCAATTGTTGGCGGGCTGGATATAGGTACCGGATGGTTATACCCCTAAAAAGTGCATGACTTCCTCCCGTGATGCGTTGTGCATGAAGCAATGTCCAGTCGCCCCTTACTCACCCCAGCGCTTCAAGGGGTCTCGGATGTTCAGTCGACAAGCCCGATCGCTGCCAGTGCGCCCAGCACATGAATGACAGTTGCCTTTCCCAATCCCGCATCAAACACACATGGCGACCACTTGGACTAACACACACATGCATATGCCTCTGTTGAAATGTACAATTGCCTTGCTACAGCCGTCCCAATGCTTGATGATACACGTAGTTGGTACACGCTCTCAAAACGCCATAATATCCCTTCCGACGCCCTCGATCTCTCACGCCACAACGCCAATGCCCATTGACTTGCACTGATGTATGATGGCGCGGCACATGCCCTTGAGCGACAGCCCCGACAGGCGCATCTCGGTCTGTTTGATCTTGGCAATCTCGTACACGTGCTTCAGGCTGATGGTACCAATCGTCTCGTGGCCGGGCTTGCTGGCGGCCTTGAGGCCCTTTTTTCCTTGCGGCGCGTCCACGGCGTTCTTGAGCAGCCAGGCGGTCTGGGGTGTGCGGACGTCAAAGTGGAATGATCGGTCGGGGCGGACGGTGACGCGGCAGGGCATGGGCGTGCCGACGACAATGTGTGCTGTTCGTGCGTTGAACTCCTGGATCGTGTTAGAGTCAAGTATCCCCTCAGATGCACCCGACTGGCTGGCTGACCTTGCAAAAGTCCATTGACTTGACACCCTTACTACCCAGCGCAGGACCGACGGGCGGGCTTGGACTGGCCTGCCCAGCCCCGACTATGAGCTTGACAATCTGGTCGACCGCGGCGCCTCCCTTTTTCGACATGGTGACGAGACTGTGCTGTGTGGATTGTGAGTGATGAAGAAAGCAATCGATGGCCCTTGCGACGACGCGCTGTCGTCGATGGATGGGAAAGATTTCCAGAGCCTCTGCGATCCAGCCTGTCTGTGATTGGTCGCGAGCAGGGGTTCCTTGATGTTCCCCCACCTGCAGTCGCTGGTGCCACTTTAAAGTTTCTCGGCCTCGTCTCTCTGACCAGAAAAATTGGGATTCGGTTCACGAGGCGGACATCTGTCTCTCTTCATCCTCGCTTCACTATCATTTGCTCGTCATCATCTAACAAATCTTTCCAAGAACCCGACCACGCCCGTTTTTCGACAGCAAGACTGCACCATCCACACCTTCCAACCGAATCATTACGATGCCCTCCACGCACAAGAAGGACAAGCCGTGGGACACGGACGACATTGACAAGTGGAAGGTGGACGCATTCACGCCCAAAGACAACCTGGGCGGCACGTTTGCCGAAGAATCCTCCTTTGCCACCCTCTTCCCCAAATACCGCGAGGTCTACCTGAAAGAAGCATGGCCGCTCGTGACAAAGGCCCTCGAAAAGAATGGCATTGCCTGCACGCTCGATCTCGTCGAGGGCTGCATGACCGTCAAGACGACACGAAAGACATTTGACCCCGCCGCGATCCTCAACGCCCGCGACCTCATCAAGCTGCTCGCGCGCAGTGTCCCCGCGCCGCAGGCCATCAAGATCCTCGAGGACGGCGTCGCATGCGACATAATCAAGATCCGGAACCTGGTCAACAACAAGGACCGCTTCGTCAAGCGGCGCCAGCGCATCCTCGGGCCCAACGGCTCGACGCTCAAGGCCCTCGAGCTCCTGACGCAGACGTACATTCTCGTGCACGGCAACACCGTCTCGGCCATGGGGCCGTACAAGGGTCTCAAGGACGTGCGCCGCGTGGTCGAGGACTGCATGGCCAACATCCATCCCATCTACCACGTCAAGGAGCTCATGATCAAGCGCGAGCTCGCCAAGGACCCGGAGCTCGCCAACGAGAGCTGGGACCGCTTCCTGCCCAACTTTAAGAAGAAGACGCTCAGCCGGAGGCGGCAGCCGCTCAAGGTCACGGACAAGGCCAAGAAGGTGTACACGCCCTTCCCACCCGCGCCGGAGAAGAGCAAGGTGGATATCGAGCTCGAGAACTCGAGTTACTTTATGAGCAAGGGCGACAAGGAGCGCGCGGCGCAGAACGAGAGGCTGGAGAAGCAGAGGGAGCGCAAGGCGGAGAGGGAAAAGGAGCGGGAGGCCGAGTTTGTGCCGCCCGAGGAGGCTGATCGGCCCAAGAAGAAGCGCAAGAAGAGCAAGGAGGAGTAGGCAGGAAGTGTGTCAGCGAGGGGGAACTGGAGAAGGAGACGAAGATGGTGGAAGGAAGATATACCCAGACATCTAACGAATACACTACGTGAATGGTCTATCCTACAACTTGGGCGAGGCGTCCGTGGCAATCTCGACCACGAGCTTGCCGAATTGCTTGCCAGCCTCCATGTCCGCAAATAGCCCGTCGATGCCCTCCAAATTGTCCAGCCCCTTGACCGTCTGGCTGACGACGGGTTTGATGCCGTGCTGGCCGACAAAGGCAATCATGTCCCGGAACTCCCGCTTGCTCCCCATGGTGGTGCCCCTGAGCTCAATGTTGTTGAGGACCGCGCTCATCAGCCAGTTCATCTTGGGCCCGACGGTCATGCCGTACTGCGAGATGATGCCACCCGCCTTGAGCAGTTTCACGCTCTTGGCCACGACCTCGCCGCCGGCGCCGTCGACGACCGCATCCAGGTAGGGTCTGTCACTCGGCAGTATGGCCTTGAGCTGCTTCTCCCAGTCCTTGTCCTTGTAGCTCACGCCGCCCTTGGCACCCATCGCCTTGGCCTTGTCAATCTTGGCCTGGTCGCCCGAGGTGACATAGACATTGGCGCCAAAGGCGACGCCAAACTGGAGGATGTTGAGCGCGACGCCGCCGCCGATGCCCGTGACGAGTATGTTCTTGCCTGGCGCGGCGGCGTTGGTCTTGGTCACGAGGGCCCTCCAGCCCGTCAGGCCACAGAGCGGCAGGGCGGCGCCCTCGACGGGGGAGAGGTGTTGCGGCATGAGCTCCACCTCGCTCTCGTGGACGACGACATAGTCCTGTGCGCAGCCGACGTCGGTGAGCGTGGTGCTGCCGGTGACGGGAACCATGCCGGACTCGGGGGTCTCGGGGTCGCTCTCCCACCCGCGCATGGGGGTGAGGACGACACGCTTGCCCTGGAGGTCCCGGCGGGTGGAGGAAGGGCCGACGGCCTCGACCACGCCGCAGCCGTCGGCGAGCATGGGTGCCGAGAAGGAGATGGCTGGGTACTGGTGGTGGCGGATGAAGAGGTCACGATGGTTCAGGGCCGCGGCCGTGAGGCGGACGAGCAGCTCGTTCTCACCGGGTGTCGGCTTGTCGACGGTCTTGATCTGGAGGCTGAGATGTGTCAGTAGTTGTTTGGGTTCAGTGACTCCAGTGAGGTAGATGAACGCACGGATAGTAGACCTCTCCAGGCTTCCCGTCCACCTTCTTGATGTGCAGCACTCGCGACATGGTGACGAACTGCTGACGATGATTATATGATTATATGATTGATAGTACTTTCAGTGCCAGCGAGCAGAATGTAGCTCTAAAGTCACGTGAAGTCGTCGGCTAAGGTGCATGTAGCCTCCCCCGCAATGCCGCAGTGCCGAGGATCTCGAACCGTGAATCGGGGGTTTAGCACGGAGAAACGGATCTGTACTAGACACAGACGCCATTCTGTTTGGGGCTTGGGATTGCAGTCTTCGCCTTCTTCGATCGAGTGTGTTCTGTTTACTTCAAGTCGACACACGCTTGGGCGTCGACTGCCGGAGCGTGGCGCTGTCCAAGACAGCGACACCTTCAACTTCCTCTCCTCCTCCGAATTAGCGTCTTGTCCGTCCGTGGACAAAGCCCCCCGTCCGTCCAAGACAAGCTCGGCGACTTGATGGCTCCAAAGGCGCGTGTCTCGGGCTCCACTTGGTCCGTAGGGGGCAATTAATAATGGTCCACGCCATGGGTAACGGGTCTGGCTAGCCTAAAGCCCGGAGGCCCCATCAACCGGGTCGGCGATCAGTCAGTCGATCAATCACTCACGGGCCCGTCGTCGCTGGATCTTGAACAGCCATCATGGCCAGAAAGAAAATTGAGGGTCGCCGCCGGCGCTAGCGAGCCACGTTGATAAAGCCGCGCCATCCCTCGTCGTGGAAGAGACATCCTCCTCCCAACGAGCAAAGCAAAGCAGCCTCGACAATCCGACATGGCCACATTCCTCTCCGGGGCGGCCTTTGGCGCCGCCATGCTCGCCGCGGGCTTCTACAACCCGGCCATTGTGCTCGCCCAGCTCAAGTTCGAAAACAGCCACATGATCCAGGCCTTCCTCGCCGCCACAGCCACCAGCGCGTGAGTGCATTCCACCAGACCAACCTTCATGTCATGCCTATTCTGACAACCCAGCGTCGCCTACACCGTCGTGGAGAAGCTCGGCGTGGTCTCCCTGACGCCGCGGAGCAACTCCCCCCTGGGCGTGCTGTCCAAGTACGATGGCAACATCATCGGCGGCTCCCTCCTCGGCGCTGGCATGGCCCTGTCCGGCTCGTGCCCCGGCACGATGCTCGCGCAGATGGGCGCGGGCGTCACGACGGGCTTCTACGTGTTCCAGGGCGCTGTCCTGGGCGGCATCCTATACACGGGCTTCATCGCGCGCGCCGTCAAGGCCAGCAACGACAAGGCAGGGACCAAGGCGGACGTGTCCACCCTCAACGAGGCCCTTGGCTTGTCGAGGACGGCGACGGCAGCCTTGCTCGAGATGGCCTGCGCGGCCGCCATCATCGGCACAGTCGTATACACTAGTCCAGCGCCTGGACTCAAGATCCCCGGCTGGCAGGGTGGTCTGCTCATCGGCTGCGCCCAGCTCTTCTCCATGCTCACCCGCCGGAGCATGATGGGCGTGTCTGGGTCGTATGAGGAAGCAGGCAAACACTTTTGGTGGCTCCTCGGCGGCGCGGGCTCGGCGTCCCAGCCTGGCTACGCCAACATGGTCTTTGCGGGCGGCGTGGCCGCTGGCGCGTGGGCGTTGGGACGCCTGGTGCCTGGCATCGTCGTGGGACCTGTCAAGGAGTTGTCCCCCGCGCTGGCGATCTCAGGCGGCGCCCTCATGATCATCGGGTCGAGGCTCGCGGGTGGCTGTACGTCTGGACACGGCATCAGCGGCATGTCGTTGCTCTCGACCTCGAGCGTCATCACAATCATGAGCATGTTTGGTGCTGGATCAGCGGTAGCCCTCAGCTTCCTTTGAGATACTGCACTCGAAAAAAGAAACTCAGCTACTCTTGCTGCCTGCCTGCTCCTTTTCTGGCCGTCACCTCAATCTCAATCTTCATCTCGCCCTTCATGAGTCCAGCCTCTATCATCATCGCCGCAGGGCCAACCTCACCGAACCACTTCTTTAACACGGGCCAGGTCGCGGGGAAGTCGGCCTTGTTCGGCAGAACGTACTGCACCCGGACGACGTCGGCCATGCTGGCGCCAGCCTCTGCGAGGGCCTGGGAGATGTTCTGGAGGGTTTGCTCGGCCTGCTCAGCAATTGAGCTGGAGATGGCGCCTGTGGAGTAGTCGTACCTATCGAGGTCAGCCGTTTGACTCCAAGTCCTCATGGTATACGATGGATGGACGGACCCCGTGGTTCCCGAGACGAGGATCCAGTCGTCGACCACCACAGCGCGTGAGTAGCCAATCTGGCTCTCAAAGGACGACCCGGACGTGATGTTGGTGCGATGCATGCTGTCACAAGCGTAGAGTTTTCTATAAAGGTTGCAGGTTTAGAATAGTAAGGATTTGGCAAGGTCTGGGATTTCTGATGCCTACCTTAGTAGGTGACTCAGGTTCCTCCGACCATCGGCAGCAGCAGATATAGACAATACAGCCGTCCACGTCTCTCATGCTACTGCAGATCCAACTGCCTAGTGAATGATCGCCATCTCTTGTTTACATATACATGCTTGAGTACACTTCGTCCATATACTACACTTTCATACACGGGTCCGTTGCCCTTGCTACTGCTCCTCCCGCTCCTGTATGGCCTTCTTCACCAAAGAAGACAGCAACTGCGGCTCAAAAATCTTCCCAGCCGTCGCCGCCTTCACCTTGCCCATGACCTTGCCGACGAGAACATTCGTCTTGGCGCCCGGCTCGTAGAGCGCGTCGACCTGCGTCCGGACAATGGGCTCGAGCTCCGGCGCGCCCAGGACCTCCACGCCGCTAAGCTTCTCAATGTCCTCGTACATCTTGACCTCCTCGTCCGCCTTGGTCGCCAGGTCCTCCCGCCCGACTTGCTTCGCTTCGGCGCGGGCGTCCTCGACGGCGCGACGCATGCGCATAATGGCGAGGACGAGGTCGGCGTCGGTGCGGAGCGGCGTCTTGGTCTTGGAGGCGTTGAGGTTGTGGGACATGATGGCGCGCAGGACGGTCAGGCGGAGCGTGTCCTTGTTGCGCATCGCCGTCTTGAGCTCCGTCTTGAGCGTGGCCATGAAAGGCGCCGAGGTCGGTGCGCTGCTGTCGGCGGTGGCGTAGAAGCGACATGGTATCGAGGGGGAGGCCCTGCAGCGAGTTGTGTAGTGCTGCGCCGGGCGGCGCAGGAGCTGGAGAGAGAATCGCGAGGCCATGGCGGATTGTCGACGTGTGGTTATGGCAATGTTGAAGCTTGAATTCGAGGCAGCTTTCTCCAATTTGGCATCACGGTTGGTGTGGATCCGTCATGCATGCGCGAAGGGTCAAGGGGCCGCAGGGTGATACGCAATACCGTACAGGTACAGTTGCATTTCGCTTGAACACTGAATGATACTCCTAAACGTCGCATTAAATCAGACTTCGTATTGTATAGAAACCATGCCACTTGTCTAGTGCATTCAATGCTGTCCACGTTGACCTGTCTATGCCCCACGATACTCAAAACGACCCAAGATCATAAACGAACGCCGCCCTTCTCGAACGCCTGTAAATGAAACCATCCCTCTATAGCATGTGTATGCCGTCCACATAGGCAGCAAGGGGTTGCATAGTACAATCAGACACGCCATCTGGGTCATGGCTGACGACTCAGCACCACGTGAAGAACGGGCTGGTCTTCACAGCTTCCAGACGCTCAACAATGACCTTTCTCTGATTCCCCATCTGCCCTTCTGCAGCGGCATAGCCAATATCGCCTTCCAGGTCGTCCCCGTCGTACAGCTGCCGGGCGATGCTGCTGTTGCTCCGTCGAAGCGTCGGGGTGAACGAGTACCGCCTCTGACGGCGGCTCTGGGGCGATGGGAGTGATGTGCCATGGTACGTGGGCAGTTGGTGCTTGAGATGCGCCGGGCGCTCCAGGGAGCCGAAGCTGGCCTTTCCTCGCTCGCTGGTGGGGGACGTCGGCTCCTCCGTCGGCGAGGCAATCTCGAAGCGCCCTGGGTGTGGCATGTCCACCGGCGCACTCCCCAGGCCAAGGAGGTCGTCCACCTTGGCTTTCCGTATCGGTGCAGAGGCGGCGATATCCGCCTCGTCCATCGACTCGCGGGTTGGGGCGTCCCAGGCGTGCGCTTCGGTCCCAGAGGTAGCCATTTGCATCGGCACCGCGACAGGCACGTCGACAAGATCATCCCACACACAGACCTTTGTGCGGCGTGTCAGCTCGAGAGGGCCGTGGTCAGGCTGCTTGAGGGCCTCGACAACGTTCCACGCTTGGCCCTTCATTACCGCGAGCTGCTTGGCAAACATGCGCTCCTTGAAATCATTGTCGTTCTGGAACACCCGCTTGAGTGCCATGGTCGTCTGCGTCCACCATGCAGTCGATGTCAGGAGCGGCAAGAAGTGGTCGCGCGTCTTTTGTGAGAATGGGCGTCCAATCAGGTCCACTGGGAGGAAGAGCCAGCCAAAGGGGAAACTGCTGCATGTCAGTGCGTGTCTCGCGAGCGCGGGTGAGCCTTGACGTACCTTCGCCATGCATCGGGGTGCTTCCAAGGCCAGGAGAGCGAGTTGTCGATGGCTCCTATCACGATCGATGGTTGATTCCCCGCTGGTTCTCTGTTCTTCGCCTCCATCGGCTTGTGACTCTTGTAGGGATTGGCGGCTCGCGGTGTAGCGCCGGCGCTGTGACTCCGTCCTGCCTGGGCTGGTCGTGGCCCTTCTTCTTCCGCCACGGGCTCCATATTCATGCGGACTGGATCCGACACAATCGACGCTTTCCCCGTCTCCCAGTCCACCTTGATCATCCAATTGTCCAAGCCTCGATCCGTGTTCCTCATGATGTAATCCAAAACCACCAGCTTCTCCAACTCTTCTCGCAACGACTGCTTCAAGGGCTCTGTCCAGACAAAACGCTCCGGTGATGGCGAGAGGTCAGACTCGAGCTGATCCTCGTCGTCACTATAGGACACGTCGTTCGGTGGCCTGCTCGACGGTCGGCAGTTCTCAGTCCACCGCTTCTTCTTCTTTCGATGTGCATCATTTGTGCGCAGACCCGACCAGTACTGGTCGGGCCAGGGGTTCTCCCTCAGGAACACATTGGCGTCCTTGAAGCCCTTGAGGAAGACCTGGAAACTGCCTGGCTTGGCGGGCAGTGGCCGCTTCTTGCGGTTGAACTTGCGTCGGTCCCAGAAGGGGTAGTGAAACGATTTCGAGGCGAGCCAGACGACGTCGGTATATGGCACGAGATGCGTTCGCAGCTGGCAATCGAGGACGTAGGCTGCCGCTTCGCTCACATAGGAGAGATTGGGAATCAAGCTGCACGAATCATCAGTTTTTTGTAAGATGCCAAGCGGGAACAGACGTACCATGCTCTCCCAAAGAAGCACGGGAACAAGTTCCTGTGTATCCACTTGTTCCATTTGGGATTGCCAGCGGCGTATGGCTCCTCGTCCTTTGGCTTGAAGACGCCCACAATTTTGCCATCTGGGTCACGCGCAAAGTAGCTGCCCGAGCTGCCCTGCGAAATCATACTTGGGTGGATCTCCTGGCCGATGGCCGTCCGTACGCTATCCACGATTCGCTCAAACTCGCTCTGTGCCATGTGGCCGACCTGCAAGCCCCCCAGTTCTTCCGGAGACATGGGCCTCACGCCCTCGGGTGGCTGGAACACCGAATGGTGAATCTCAAAACGCTCCTCCTCGCCGACTTGGTGCTTCCCACGCCCCCGCTTGAATCTTGACGCGATCTCATCGGCCCAGCGCTCCAGCCGGGCATTGATCGCCTTGAGGTCGACGCCTGCGGCGCTTCCCGACCGGTGGTGGATGATGGGTCGCGAGGAGGCAGGCGTATGCAGACCGGAGCGATGCGATGGGCGCGGGGGGTTCGAGATGGGTGCGTAGCGAGGTGCGGAGAGGGCGGCAGAGGGCTGGTCGATGGCAAGGTCGTCATCGTCCGAGTCGGAGAGCTGGTCGGCCTGGGCCAGGCGTTCGTAGCCCGTCGTGGCCGGGCGGTCGCGCGGCATTACGTCTGGTTGCTGTCGCCTGTTCAAGGTCCGTCGTGATTTCTAAAGACTGGGTGTTCGCTGGATGTCGGGAAAGGGGGTTGACGCGGACCCTTGACGCAGGGATGAGGATACGTCGCGGACGGTCCGTTGCGGCCGGCCAGAAACGGTTCAGAGACAATTGGTGGGTAGGATTAGGATTTGGCGGAATAAAGTGTCTGGCGATGATGAGCACCCTTCTGCCACAACCCGAGCGATGCAATGGTGATGTGTTTCTTGACCGACGACGCGCCTGCTGTCCGGTTTTCCCACATGCTAATTGCAGATGCCAGCTGCGGCCTGTCGTCAGGGGACGTGGAGCTGCCTGCCAGGCTGCCAGGCTGGTCACAGTGAAACGGTTTGGTGGGAACTTGGCAGCTCCAGCCTGTCGGAAGCTAAGAGACCAGATGTGGGGCTCCGGCTGCGCTCCGTCAATCGTGCAGGGGATGCAGAAGGTATTTGTTGAACGCTCCCAATGTCTTCTGAGAGAATCTCCAACCACAAGGGTCTCATGCGAGGCCTCAGAAAACCGAGATAAGACAAACAAAGATACAGACGCCGTTGTGTGATCTTCGCCTAGCTTTCAGCAATCTCGTTACGTACTGTTTAGCGTCGTCTCGGAGGTGCCTTTGCTACAGGGTTGTCGAAATAACCCGTCTTTTGCAAGTACCCTATAGCGGACGATTGAGCGCGCAGATCAAATGTACTTCGTACCTGTAGACGACATCAAAAGAGCATACGAAGCAAATCCTTCCTTTGCAATGTGCAAATTTTCGGCTCTTGTGATATGGTGCCGAGGATCTAGAATGTGCTCATTTCGAACAGTGATAGCAATACCAAGCCTCGGGGTTCTTGGCCATGCCGCTTCCCCAGATGATCAGCGAGCCAATGTCACTCACAATCGTCACTCGTCACGCGGGTGGGCGATCCGCAAAGCGACCCCAAACTCTATTCCATCACCAGTGTCACCACACACACTGCCCCCCGCAACGCCACCAACGTTCCGTGTCCATCGTCCGTCAGATTCAGGCCGACAGAAAGACGTTGTTGACCAGCTGGAGACACCTGGCGTACGAGCGTGGGAAAAAAAGACACAACCGCAGACATTGGTGACGCAGGAACAGTGACGGATGACCTCCTAATAAGCAGTCGGGGGCATCTAGACTAATTGTGATGGAGGTGTCGCGTGTGCCAAGTTGCCCTGATTTGGCAAGGGGAAAGAGAGGGCAGCCGCCCGCACCATCGGTCCATGCTCCATCGTGCCCAAAACACAGAGACGGGCTCGACCTAAGAACAGCCGGATGTAGAACGCTTCTCGAGCGAACATTCTGGTGAAGGTGCCGTGGTAGCACCCCGCAGAGGACATCTTGGTGCTGTGGAATCCCGTCGCACTCTAATTTTGGTCACATTATCACATACCTGCACCTCCAAGGCGATGGGAGGGTCTATCCCCAGTCTGGTGGAATGCGTTGAGCCGCAGAATGAATTGGCACCTCAGTACGGAGTATTGGGTATTATAATCTCTATTACTGTGGACAGGAACGACGGTAGCGCCAGGATGTAGTCCGTATACGTGTCCATCAATCTTCATTGATGATCGTTCCTTGGTGCCACGACGGAGGCCATGTGGTGTACTTGTAGTTGGGGTTGGTCAACGCAGTGGCTGACCAGCGTCCCCTGCACCGAATGACCCCGTCGGCATTGCATTGCCAATTCATCAGATCCGCTGCCCAACGTCAGATCAGCCCGCCGCGCCCTCTTGGACGGCCATCATGCCAGTTGTGAAGGTGTCTGGTCTGCGGACTGCGGTCGTAGCCTAACGTTAGCACGAAGTAGGTAGTCTAGACTCCAGTAACTCTAGACCCATGCAGCGCGGCAGAGAGACAGCTTCCCCGCGTAGGCACCGGGCACTTATCATTAATAATTAGTACCTTGAGGAGGTATGCTCGGACCCTGAGAGGCTGCGTGTTGAAGTGATGTAGGACGCACGCACGCGGCTTGGAGCCTTGGGCTGGTGCGAGGCCAATCCGCCCATCCTTCTCCGACGCCCGCTGTTCCATCCATCCAACCATCCATCAGGTGATCCCCCTCCTCACAGACGGAACAGTGTCTGTCTGTTTGTTGACCAATCTTTTCTCTCTCCCTTGTTCGACCTTGTACCCTGTCTGGTTGCTAGTTTCCATTGATAAGACCAGCCCACCCGTCATCCTGGGACCTTGACTGACTCATTTCATTTTTGGATGCTTGGGCCATCTTGGTCGAAAGAACCCTGGAAGCATTACTTGCCTCAGGTAGCTTATCAACTTTCTTATAATAGCCCAGACAAGCCACCTCCAGGAATCCGATACACCTCCTTCTTTGTTTCAATTCATCACCCCGGGATTCACTTGTAACTATATCTTGACCAAAAACCTTTACTCATTCTCATACCAATACCTTCCGTTCGTGCCCATCCAGACCTACTACGTACCTACCTTAGCTACGCCGCGACAACCAACCGACCACAGAGAATGCAAGCCGTTTCTCGTGGCATCGACACCTCCATCACCCACTCTCCCATGCCAGGCTCCGACATGATGCGAGGTCGCACCCGCGACCGTAGCCACCCCAGGGCAGCTCTTGCTGGCGAACGGTTGGACAAGGTGGAATCTAGCACATTCAGAGGTCGTTCCCGCCAACGAGCATCGTCTCCCCCAGGCCCTGCCTCCCGCAACCCATCGCGCTCCATGCTCTCCCCCACACGCCAGATACTCCTCCACAACCGGCTGCGCGACGCCCGTCGCGAACACTGTCCCTCGCGCCCGGCCAGAGACTCGTCGCCCTCTCAGACAGCGGCGCTCCAGCAACGACGCCGCCGCACCAGAAGCCGCAGCCGGGGCCCTCGACGACTGGAGGCCGACATGCAACAAAAGACTGTCGAAACGCATTCCTCTCTGCGGCACCAAGTCCGTGTGGATAGCGAGCCTACCAATTCCACTACCTCGTCCCCCAACATGCGAGGCTGATTGTGTCTACAAGCTGCATCTCGGCTAAGGTCGACGTCTGAGCGTCATCCAACGATGATGCTCTCCCTCCACAGAGGAGTATAATGTTTCCTTGCTAGAAGCTCAGAGAGTCTTCATGTATCACTACAAATTGGGCGCACGTGCGAGAGAGAGAAAGAAAAAAGATTGAGTCTAGCAAGACGACATTCGAGATCAATTGCGGGAGACGGGGATACCTCATTTGTCTTTGGGAGCGGAAAGGGGATTGGTAACAGGGTTCGGCGTTTGTTTTTCAATTCATTGCTGTACGAGATAATGATGCAGATTCGTATTAATGATCAATGAGACCAAGTTTACTTACTAGTAGCACAGACACATGATGATAGTACTTGTAGTGCATAATTAGATATCTGGTAACTGGACACAGGTTGTACGGGTAATACACCTGAAGCTGGTCATTGAAAGTTGAACAGTCTTCGCCGATAATAGACCGACATGTTCAGGATTTATTGTGTCCCCCTCTCAACGGCTTTCGGAGCGACGCGTCCATTGGCGCGAGCAGCTGCGAGGCCCCACTCATGCATCGGACTAAGGGCGACCTGCACTAATAGCTTCATGAGCCGATTCTCCAAAAGTTTTTGACGTCGTCCATTTTCCCATGCCACCCCTTACCATCCCGCGACCAGCTACTGCACAACGCCTCCAACGCCTGCATCTGGTTGAAAAACGACCAGAAGGTGCGGTATGCTGCAGAGAACGGCCGCCCGACTCGAATCAGGCCGTCATCTTCGCCGAATACTGACTCGATCCACGACGCGACCCTCACGGCGGCCGAGGCTGCTACAGAATCTCGCACACAGTCATGGCGCCCATACCAAGGCGATAGCACGGAGGAGATCGAGTCGGAGGGATAGCGACGTGTCTTCTTCACGGCCGTCGAACTCTCCGTGGCTGGACTTCCTGTACCCGAGAGGAACATATGGGCTGCTTCGTAAAGAGCGACCTTCTGTCTCGCGAAGTAGACGGGCGCCTATCTGCTGGAACGGATGCGTGCGAAGACTGCACTCGACCAGTGATGCTGTCAGATCGCATGCGCCCGAAGACGCAGAGCATCATGTGGCCCAGGCTGGTCGCGGCCCCGCAACCCCTGGCCGTCTTAAGCAGCAGGATGCCATTCACAGGCCACCGTCAATATCAGAACGACATCGATCTTCGCGCGTGGAAGGAACAGAAGGGACACGATCACACCAAACCGCTGCATCAGAGAGGAACGACGACGTACATACTCCTAGCGCCAACGTCCATGAGGATGCTGAAGCAATCGCCAATTTGGTGACAGAGACATCACAAGCTGCACATGAGTCCGCAGACCAGGGCCCGGAAACCTCACGGGCATCGAGACTCAATCGATTCGAGGGGGCTGATCTTTACACTGATGCACCTGAGCCAGAACATGACGGGTGGCCGAATTCAGCAGACGAGTCAAGGCCAGCGCAGATTCCCCGGGCGGTTGAGCCACGGAAGGCTGTCATGTGGGACCATCAAGTCGAACGTCAAGGTCGTGAGGCCCAGGATAAAAACACCATTGACGACAACCAGGAAGCTGCAGAACAGGCGATCTATGACGATGCCATGGCCCCAACGGCAGGCTGGGAGTCCGAGATCAATGTACAGCCCGTCGACGTATTCGCGCGCGCGCCATCAGCGTCGCCTGAGGGTCGCGAGTTTGAAAAGAGCGCAGAAGACATGGCGGCTGTCTTTGTTGGCAGAAGCCGGATAGCTGCCGCCAAGCAGCACCTCGAACAGTACCTGGCCGACCCCCAGGGGGAGCGCTATCGCGAGGTCTGGGATCTCTACCTACTTCTACAGGATCACGATCGCCCCATCATGCGGCCGAAAGTGGTGGCCTACCTATCGAGGGCAGACAACATCGTCGAGCGCGATCGTGTTGCGTCTCTCATACCAAAGACGGCTGTGGAGTATTGGGACAATGAGTATCTTTCTGCCGTGGTCCTCGTCCATTTGCGCAATGGCGACCAGCAGGCCGCCATTGACATCTTCAAGAAGGGCATTACTGAGAAGGACCTGACGGGAGGCCTGCAATACCTTCTGATCGACTCTATCAACAAGCAACAATGGACGACGATGATGGACGTGTGGTTAGCCAACACAAGATTGCTGGCGCGTCACAATCAGCAGGACACACTGGACACGAAGCTACTGCAACCAATCTTTGAGCTCGACAAGCTAGCCGGATTGTACTTTTCGTTTGAGCGATGGCTGGCGGCTGACGATCGACTGGTGGAGAGGTGGCTTGAGTCCGAGGAGCTCACCAGGAACTCGTTGCTGGTCCTCAGGCGAGCATTCGCAGTGGCCACTTTACAAAAGCCCTGCGCACCGACACATGCGCGCACGATACTAGCGTTCTGGCAGAATCATGATTGGTACGACGAGTACCTCTGGCGGATGTTTGACAGATGGTATGAGAAAGTCCACGACAAAACCACAGCATACGGCCTGTACGGAATCTACCAGGACTACCGAGTCCTGCCCGGTGCGAAGCCGAACTTCTTCGCCCTGCGCGGTGTCTTCAAATTGCACTTTCCCCAGAACAAGAAAGCCCTTGAGCAGCTACGCGAAGATTGGGTCTCCTTCCACGGCGAACTCAGTGATTGGGCGTTCAGCAAATACCTCAAACTCTACGCCCAAGAAGGCAATGTTCAGAAGGTGACTGAGCTGTGGGCTCGTTACGTGCAGGCGCTGCCTGACAAGTTGACCAAGCCCAGGGGTTTCACCAGCCTGCTCAACGTTCACGCGCAAGGTGGCGATGTCAAGGCCGTTGAGCGCCAGCTCCAGATCATGAGGAACGACTACGGCGTCGAGCCCGATATTACGTGCTGGAATATCCTTCTGAAGGCTCACATGCGGCTGGGCAAGTGGGACGATGCTATGACCTGCTATGACCACATTTGCAACGTTTCAGAGCCCAGCCGCCAGACGTTCTCACAGCTCATGGCGATCCCTGCGAAAAAAGGAGATGTCGAGACGGTCCTGGGATTCTTCAACGAGGTGCAAAAGCGGCGTCTTGGCCTGGACAAGGAGGTTGTTCACCCGCTGATCACCGCGTACTGTAAGAGTGGTCAGACGAGGGCTGCCGAAGCCATTTGTCGCGAGCTGCACGGACGTCGCATCAATGTGGGCACGCACAGCTGGAACGCGCTGATCTTGCACTACGGTCTTGAGGGCGACACGAAACGGGTCTACGATATATTGGCGACCATGAAGGAACTCAAGTACGAGTGGGATCGTGACACCCTTGCTTGTCTACTCCGAGCCTTGACGCAAGTGCACTCGACCATCCAGGCCATGACCATCCTGCGCGATACGCTCAAGTATTCGCCTTTCCTGGTGGATTCGGAACACTTCTCGATTCTGATGGCTGGGGCTGTCCGCGGCAACAATCGGCCAGACGCAGAGCGGTTGATGGTGTTGATGGAGAATCATTCGATACCGATCCCCTTCAACGCAATCGTCTCTTACACTCAGATGCTCCTCAAGTACTATCCGTCTGCCATTGACGTGAATCAGATGTGCGAGAGGGTATTTGGATCACTACGGAGAGAGGTGGAACAGCAGGAGGTCGCCCGTGATGTGCGTCGTCTGCGCATCGTGACCCAGAACATTGGCCAAGCAGCTCGGCTCATGATCGACATGAACCAGCCGCACCTTGTCGATGAACTCGTTGGCCTATACTCGGAGCTCTTCCCGGAGTTGGAGAAGGGCGAGATGCTCCCTCACACGCTGACCACCTCCTTGATGACCAGGGCATTCAGAGCCGAGGACTACGACCGCGTCCAGGCGATCTGGGACGACACATGGCCGAAGCTACTCAAGAAATGGTGTCCCCCAAACAATGCCAAGGTCTATCCGGGCTTCAAGTACGACATCAACCCCATGCTTCTGCGCTTCACCGAAGCGTGTGCGATGCAGAATATGGGCAGGAAGCTCCGCGGAGTCGTCGACGAATGCCTCTCAGTCGGCTTCATGTTCACCTGGGTCGTGTGGAAACGTGTGCTCAAGACCATGCTTGACAATGGCGAAGCTGATCGCGCCATGGAGTTGACGGAAAAGTACCTCATGCCCACGTGGACCAACTGGTGGACAATGTTTCCTTCCCACGACGAGCGTCGCAAGACCAGAAGCACTCGGTTCCCCAGAGTCCCGCCGCTCCTGATCCAAGAAATGCGCAATGTCTGGGTCGACGCCACGCTGGATGCTCCGCTGTATGCCACGGCGATGCGCCGAGTGAAGCGCATCGAGGCCACCATGCCCCTGCTGAAGCGAGCCTTTCGACGCTACGAGCCACCACCTGGCTCCGAGCACAAGGTCAACCCGAGCATGCGCGTGCACAAGGCCGCGGTGAAGATGCTGGCGACCATGTCTTTGGGCGAGCTGCGACAGATGGTGGGCGCGCTGGAGCGGCAGCTTGAGGAGATTGACGCCGTGGCCATGACCGACTCTGACATGTCGGAGAAGATGGTGAGAGCAGCGGTCGCCCCTGAGACCTACGAGGACACATACGAGATGTACAGGATTCTGCGCGACCACATCAGCAAGCTCACCGACCCTGTGCGCGTGATCACCCCTCGCTCGCCCGAGCAGCTTAAGATCAAGAAGCTCGGCGATGCACTTCTGCACCAAGAGGCGCGAGACGAGCAACGTGCAGAGTTACCCGCCGATCAGCGCCCGCCCAAAGACGCAGATGAGACGCGAGAAAATCTCCCGGCCCAGTCATGGTATTGGTCCTCGCCCCTCCGCGAGATCGCCGACAAACACCGACCGCCAGCCGTCCAGTCGCGGCCCCCCGGTTTCATATTGGATTGGGACCAGATCCCCGTCAAGGACAAAAAGTCCTTCTCCTCCATCCGCCAGAGGCGCCTCGCGGTGCAAAGCCCAGAGGCAGAGGACCAGCTCAAGACTGCGGATCCCGTGGGGCGGAAATATACTCTCAACTATCCACCCCTGCCTGCGCCTGCCGAGCCGTTTGATCCGCTACAGCCCAGCAAGGGCAAGGGCTGCCCCAAGGCGCGCCGGACTGACTTTTGGAACAATGTCCGTCGCCGACAGAACGAGCGCATGAAGAAGATCGCGTATCATCCCAAGACCGCCTCCTCCGTCTCGGATGCGATTGCCCGGATCCGCAAGATACTCATCGCCTCAGGGGATCCGCCGTATGATCCCTACGCAGAGGAGGAGCAGGAGCTCAAGCCACAGGTGGTTCGTCGGCCCATTGTTCATGTCAGCTACGATGCCCCCGTGCGGGAGGACGAAGGCGACGAGGCGGATGGTGTTTCGTCCACCAAGAAGAACGGGAAGAAGAGGAACAAGCAGAAGCAGCAGCAAGATACAAAGAGTGACGACGCCAGGATCGATGCCAGTGCTTTTGAGGAGAAGTTCTTTGGCAGCGGGGCCAGTTAAGCGCCCATATCACGTTTTGAGCTCTCACGATTAGGAGCATTCATTGGGCGGGCAAGATATATGACCACGATTGGTTTTCGAAGAGGGAGTGTTGTATATTAGCATTGTACACTTTGGTACGGGATCTGTATATCCATTCGGCGGTACATGGAACGGGAGCATATAAATATGTATCATTAATTGTACATCACCGCTGGAATTATAATACACGCTCGCGCTTTCCGAGCGATTTGCAACGCTGTATCAAGTACCCGTGGATATTATGTGCAAATTACCAGATGAAATACCAAACGCTTGAACACCACCCGGAAGCCCCATGGCCCTTGTGGTTGGCATGGCGGCGAGAAGGTCACTCAGCCTTCGTCAGATGGTGAACTCGGTCTCAACGATCGCAGTCGCTGGGAGAGCAATCCTTCTGAGCCTGGGCTGCCAGAGGCAAACCCATTAATGCCGTACCCCTGGTCGCCCTTGCTAAGCTTTGCGTATTGACCGGCCTCCCAGACTGGTCCAGCGCTCGAAGCGCCGCTTGAGGGACGAGTCACATCTCGTGATTCGGGCAATCGAATGCCCTCCATTGGGTCGTTGGCCGCGTTGCTTGCTTCGCTGTTGGGTCGCTCTGGAACCGGGGACGTGAAAGGGATCGGCTCGACTGTGGTTGCATGGCCCGAAGCCAAGGCGGATGCGAATGGATAGGGAGTTGAGGGGGACACGCCATCCGACAAGTCGCGCGGGATACTGGGAAATGAGATTCCCGAGCTTCGCCTTCGGAAGGCCTTGTCAGCAGCAAGAGCTGCCCCGGCGCCAGCTCCCGTAGACATTGGCGGGTGCATCACCCTGATGGCTTTGTAAGGTGTGAAACGAGGCTCAGGCCACGTTGTCTCACTTCGCAACCTTTCCTTACCATCAGGTACCCGGTTTGCAAAGACGACCCTGATGCTCTTGTAGAGATAGAAACGCCCTCTGGACGGCGAGCATATATGGAGATGAATGAGGTAGCGCAGGGTCTGTTTATCGGGAGGACCAGAGCCGATGGGTGGTACGCCGTCGATGATCGGGCCGGCAGAGAAGCATCGCTGACGAACAAATGTTTTGGTGCCAGGCTCCATGCCAGCAAGGTCGTAGGGCACTAGGAAAAGTTTGACAGCAGTTTTGTTTTGGTTTTTGATGATGATCTGGAGCTGTCCCTTTTCGGGTATGCGGTAGCTGCCTCCTGGTGGTGCTCTAGGTGCAGCAGATGTTCTCCTTGACTTTTGAGGTCGATGTGACTCCATCTCTTCTTCGCACGCTGAAGAAGCTATGGCCATGTCCATGGAATTCCGGCCGCTGCAGCGGCTTTGTGCTTTCCTCCTCGAGCGGGAATCATCCTGGTTAGGAAGCCCGTTCTCGAGGTCGATTTGTCCAACATAAGGGCTGGGGCTGTCGTCAGACGTAGGCCGACCATGGGAAGTAGTGTTGTAGCTGTAGTAAACTGCGTGGAACGGAAGGGTGACGTGCGCTGGGCAACGCAGACTCGACTTGCACTTTCCCATCCCTAGAACCGCAATTTGAGCCATAAAGTCGAGAGGTTTGGACGGCGTTGTTGACATGCGTCCGCGAAGTATGCTCTCCTCATACGAGCCAACCATTGCAGCGTGCCGTGAGAGGGGTGAAGCATCCGTACCAAGTGATGACCGACGGGCAGCTCGCATCATGTTTGGTGTCGGCGGTGACAACGTCGCTTCGCCGCCATTCAGGAAGCTCAGAGACCGTCTGGGCTGGTGCGCTTGTGTGGGAAAGGATCCTTGGCGTCTGTGGGTTGGCATATTGGAGTGCGACGACATTCTGGCCGAAGGCGATGCGTAAGGCGAGGACTGCGCAGCGTAAAACGTATGCCTCCGCATGTTAGGCGTCGGGGAAGGGATCTCCATATGATCCAGCGCCTCGGCTATTTCTAGATCCTCGTTCGTCTCTGAGCACACCAGAGGGCTCGTTGGCGGTTGGAAGGCAAGGCTCGATGAGAGGGAAGAGGATATAGAGTGCGGCGAAGTGCCTACAGGTATCGAGTCACGACGGCGAGATCTGGAAACACCTTGGCCTCGGCCGTGCCGCAAGTAAGACGTGAAATCTCGAGGGGGCGAGGTGGCTGCCCATGTGTCGAGCTGTGGTCGGCGCGGATGGGACCTCCTGTTCGCATCGTTACCATCGTCGTCCGTGAAATCCCCCGAGTGCAAAGCCGACCCAGGTCTCTCCAGACTCATGCCATCTCGAACCCTCGCGTCGGGTGCCGCCTGCGACTTTATTTTGTCTGGTGTGATTTCCATTGCGGGTTGCAGTTCTGGGGAGTCGGCCAGCGCTTGGGTGTTCCTTGGACAATGAGCTTCGGGGCTTTGGCGGCGCAGGAGGGTTTCAAGCTTGAGAATTGTGAGCCATGGCTACTAGTTCATATTCTGGGAAACATACGTGACGACTCGGTACCCAGGTTAGGCTCTCACCCTTCTTAAGCTTCTCAATCAGCTCTTCCCGACTGGAAGTCATGTCTTCGTCCGACTTGCGACTAGGCATCATTTGCGGGCTATCCGGGATAGGCCCCTCGCAGAATTCAGTTCTCAAGCTCTCCTCTGACAGACGGCTCAAGGGCGGCCGAGGGCGGCCGAGGATCGTACTCTCCATGTCGTGGGGTTCAAGAACATCGTCATGATTGTTGAGGTCGTCGTGTGCGATAGGCATGATTACTGGTCTGAACCACAGCGAAGCTGCGGCTCTGAAGCTGTTCTGAATTCCGAGAAATCATGTAACCGATGGAGGTGCAGATTCGGTTTTGCTCGCTGCCCAACGACTTTCGTTGACTGTCGTGTGCCGTACGTGCTTCGAAGCGGCAGCGGTTGGAACCAACCAACGGGTATGGACGGATGCAGGCGATGTCGGCGCGTGCCTGGTTGCTTTGGCTGAACTAGGGTTTAGATGAATAAGCGACGAGTCAATACAGAGTCAGTAAAAGGAACGCATAGCACGAAGAAAGAGGGCGAGGCTAGGTGACTACAGGAAGCTGGATCGCGGTAGGGACAAGCTATGATCATGGGCGATTTCGTAGAGGTGATGAAAGTTGATCACCAGCAGATGACCCATCCATCCTTAAGCGGTGAGCGGACTGGAAGGCTGAAATGCTGAAAGCACGCCTAACAATTACGCCGCGTCCCGCATTAATTGCCCATGATTCAGGGCCGCATGCCGTCATTCTGGGGCAGCTGCCGCCTATTAGCGCAGAACTTAAGTTGTGCATGCACCGGCACAGCTTTACTGCAGTCCTTCGTTACGCATGGCGATCATTCTGCCGCAGGCCCAGTCCCTTTGGGTACCACTGATGTTGAGGATCAAAAAGAATCAACTCCATATAGGGACTGGAGTCTATTTCAAGCGCAACTTCAACATTACAGAGCCCAACCCACGTAATCTGTTGCAGCTTAGGTACGGTAGGTATTGCCATATTCGGCGGAGCGTAGCGGGTGGGGCTAGGGGTCCTGTGCCAGGTGCCAGCCTGCCAGCACGTAACAGCAGTGAGGAAGAAAGGTCAGGCAGGAGCGAAGCATTCGGAGAATATGTAACATGAATATTGACTGGAGATACCAATGCAATGGTCACTGGGCTCTGTAGAACAATTAGTAGAGATCCAAAAGGGGCACTAAGTTGTCTGCCACGCACGTACTCACGCACGGCGGAGGACAGCGAGACCCAGCACCACGGTTGATCCGCCACTCAAATCGCATCTCAAAAAATTTCCATGGTTCACATTCTCGACGACAACTCATCCACCCAAGCACAACATGGCGCCCAAACGCCCTCTAGACGATGCGAAGTCATCGCAGGAACCGAAAAAGCCCAAGAAGGGATTTAGAGTCGGGCCAGATAATCTACCAGACGGACCTTGGCGACGGAAAGGTAAGTCCTGCTGTCGCATTCACTCATACTATGGGGAAGCTCACGCGACACAGTCACCAAAATCAAGCAAGACTTGATCCACAAGGCCAAGGTCAAGAAACAATACGCCAAGGTCAAAGCCGAGGAAGATAAGAAGGAGAAGGAGCAAGAGCAGCAGCACGATGAGGTGCACGAGGAAAAAGCGCACAACGATGAGGACGCGAGTGAAGCGCTCCACCCCACGAGACAGCTGATGCTCAAGGACGAGGAAGTAGCCCAGAAGAACGCCATCGCAAACGGCGAACCAGTGGACGCCGACGGCCACCGTCGCTGCACACGGCGGCCAGGATACTATGACAAGCAATTGGCCAAGGCTGAGGAGCACAAGGCTGAGATTGAGGCACGCAAAGCAGAGGCAGCGCGCCGGCGGGCCGAGCGCGAGCAGAAAATTGCGGAGCGAGAGAGGTACAAGAGAGCCATGGCGAAGACAAGGGGCAAAGACGGCAAGAAGAAGCTGGGTCGCGAGAGCGGTCTCCTGCTTGAGAAGGTGAAGAAGATGATGGGCGAGTAAAGTCATGATTTTCAGTTTGAGTTAAGTTTGGCAAGGCGCTTCGCGTTTTGAAAATGCTGCCGAATCACATAGCGGTCCTAATCAAGTAGGTACCACTTTGCGATGAGCTGTAACGTATTGTGTTTGATGCGACGTCTGGTATTATCTGGCTTGTGGTCCCGACCATTACCATTGTCAAGGCATTGCTGCCTTCTGAGCACACAACGCCATGTCATCGAGGTACGAATAATAGTATCGACTAATGTACGTGGCACTCACGTGTGCGGTGTAATACCTAATATGCTCAGCAGCCCTATCCATATAACACACGGGTCATCTATCACAATGGGCGATCGTCACCGCCTGTGCTGTAGATCCGGCAGTGCCAACCTGATACAGCTATAGTTGCTTCGGCTATTATTTTGTGCGGCAGAGAACGATGGACCAAGTCCCTGTCATATCGTCTTTCTTTTTCCATCAATCATGGCCAAGTTGAATCGGTCACGAAACAGCGGCTTGGCATGGACGGGAAGAAGCCACACAACAGCCAAAGGGATGTGGTGTTGAAGATGTTTGAGACATGGTGTGAAACAGTGGCCCGGCTGTTAGCTTTCCACCCACGTTCGCGGCCCCGAAAGCCATACCCGACTGAGGGGGTCTCGCGGTCGCCTGCCTGCCTCGTACGTCCGTAGCGAAAATCACGGGTTGCCTGTTGCGAGCCAGGTTCAAATTGCAATCACCATCGCGGCTGTTTCATGTTCTCCTGCTGGGGTTGTTGGGCCGTTTCGAGACAGGGGTACTAATTGTGGAAATCCCGCCAGGGTTCAAGATTCATGCCTGTGACTCCGCAATTCTTGCATGCACGGGGGGCTACTGTAATTAATCACTATGAAGATGTTGGTTCTAACGTTGGCTTCGTGACTGGCGTTGACAACTCCTGAAGAGCTTCTGAAGGAGCTGATAGTGTTGCTCCATGTGCTTCGTCGTGAACTCTTGCGACTGCTTCGTCGTGAACTCTTGCGACGCAGTCTGAGATATCGACGCTGGGTCTTCTAGAATCCAGAGGCAGGAATATCCTCCTTGTACAACGTCGCTAGCACGTGCAGTAGTGACAATGCCGGCACACGCAGCAAGTCTGTACCTTATAATGATATCGAGGAAGTGAGACATAGGCGGTGGGAGATATAATCAGAGCTATACTACTTGGTATACCTTCTTCTTACGGATAGCAAGTACTTGTACCTACGTACCTTACTTACACAGCGATCAGAACAAAGAATCACGGCTGCCGACATCCCTTGACGACAAAGGTTGTCAATGGCTGACCACTTTATCCGGCGGACTGCGTTGAATCCTTATTATTCCGTGTGCAAAAGGAAACCAGGAGCGTGCAATGCAACAAGCGCGAGTGCGACTCTGCTGACGTGAAGCAGTGATGAGGAAAAGAAGGGGTTCGCAAGTTCGTGGTTTGCCACATTCGTCTTCACTGCCGGTGCGAGACCAGGCAAATGAACGGATAGATCACCTGCTTTTTAGAACTTTGTGTTCAGGGATTGTCGACGAGCTGCCGCTGGCTCAAGAGCTCAACAAGTGCAAGGTGCGAGGCTCTGTAATGTGCTCGAGAGTCCGAGACGAAGTGACTGGACCCTCCCCTGCATCCGTGAGAGTCCCCACCCACCAAAACCCCGGCGTATCTCCAAAGCGGCTCCACTGCGAGCTGGTCACGGTGTGGAAGGTCAACGTCGAGACTCGAGCACCAGCAACAGCCCGTCGTGAAACCTGGCATAGGATGGGGGAGTATGTAGCCTCGAGAGATGCCGTCTGCTGGGGAGAATAGGTTGGAAGGATTGTGGACGGTCGTCCTGAGGCGGGAAAAATACAATACTTGATCTCTGTTGAACAACAACCGACTCGTAATTACAGTGGAAGCTGAGCTATCATTCTGCAGGCACGGAGAGACGTGCGTCCCAAGTCCCAACACGACAACCTACAAGGGCAAAGGCAGCTGTACGGCACGGACTCTGCTGCACTTCGAGTGGTTGGTCCTGTCATCCTCTGGGAAACTCATGTAAGGACGACACCATTGCAACTGGACAGACAAGGGCGGCGAATAGCGCAAGACCAGTGTCCTACTGTTATTAGTCTCCGATTCCACTTTAGGCCCCGGCCAGTCTGATGCCGTTGACTCGTTGTCGAGTGTCAATGACCAGAATACAACGTCTGGATGGGCGCTCGTACTTGCGCTGTCTGTCATTTGGTTGTAATTATATTTATCTCTAGACGACAAGGTGGAAGAGGGCCGGCAAGTTGTCTGTAATTCATCCAGGGACAGAATACCAGGCTCGACCCCTGATACAGATTGAGAATGGCGGTTATTAGCGAGCGTCCCCACCCTGTGCCACAGGCAGCGATTCCCACGCTAGCGGCCCCCTGTGTGCGTGGCCACTGGCGCCAGATGGATGTCCAAGATTGCCCTTTGTCCACAGCCATCTGTCTGCGCGCATGGCGGCACCATCGTCTCTCCATCTTCCCTCTGTGCGTCTTGCTTTGCTATAGCGCTGTCCTCATCCTCCTCTTTGGAGCGTCGTGCCGTTCTTACAGCTTCTGACACACAGCACGTCCGCGTCTCGCAGCCTTGTGCGCCATCCCTCGCTCGCAACGCCACTTTTTGGAGCAGCACCACCCACCCACACTCGCTGAGGAATGAAAGCCACGCCCGCATAGCTGCCACATCGAACTCCATCAGCTCCCAGCCAGCCTCGAGCTGTTCACGCCCATCTTCGCATTGAGGCCCGTCGCATCTCTATCTTAGGGCCTACCGTCGTGGGATTTCCTGGAGCAATTCCGCAACACGCAGACGACTCGAGCGAAGACAATCGACTCCTTGCGAGAAACCCCTCCTGACCTGACTCGATACACGACCACTCTCGCCTTCAAGTCTGCGCAGCGTGCAGCCCATAGCAGCCATGACCAGTGTCGTGGACGACTACCTCGAGACCCAGTCGACGGACAATGATGATTTGTACCCATGCAAAGGCTGTGGGGAGATTCTCGAGGAGGGGAAAGCCTTTGAACTTGGTACGTCCATCCCTCTTGTGTGGTGCCTGACTGTGGTCCCTTTCCGCGCCATCAGGCCTTCACAGAACCTTCCATCGCACGGCGTCGCACGACACCGGGCGCCCACAGACATATCTTGACGTGAACTGCTACTAACACTGGTTCCCAGCTGGTCAACGATGGCACCTCGACTGTTTCCGTTGCCATACCTGCGGCACGCTTCTCGACTCGGACGCGAATCTTTTGCTCCTTGGCGATGGCTCCCTGATCTGCAACAACTGCACATACAGCTGCAGTGCTTGCAACAACAAGATCGAAGACCTCGCCATTCTGACGGGCGACCAGGCCTTCTGCTCGACTTGCTTCCGATGCCGCAACTGCAGGCGCAAGATCGAAAACCTACGATATGCGCGTACCACTCAAGGCATCTTCTGCATGAGCTGCCACGAGACGCTCATGACGCGGCGGAAAAAACGGTCCAAGGCCGCGGCAGCCGCCAAGGGGCGAGAAAAAGACCACTCGCCTATGGTGACGGAGAAGTCCTTGCCCGCTTTGCCGCCCAACGTGATACCCAACAATGCATTCTCGAACGATCGGGTCGACCCCGACTCCGACACGCCGACCGAGCTCTCGGCGCCCCCTCGGCAGGGACACAAGCAGTCAGAATCGTCTTCTAGGAGTGGCTCCAGGCCGGCCGCGCGATCGCCTGAGCGTGGCGCCAAGTCGGAAGGGTTGGGGGCCTCCTCCCTACCGTACCGCAGCAACCGTAGCTCGACTATGATGAGTAGCGAAACGAATGGGGAGGACGGCTTCCTCATCCCCGTTGGGCTTGATCCAAGCCCTGCCCCTGCTTCAAACTCGAACACGCGTGGCTCAGGCAACGTGACCGACAAGAAGAAAGACTACTTCAGCATCCCCAAATCTTCCTTCTCGTCCGAGAAACGCAGCGAATCGCAGAGTTCCGCACCCCATATCGCCTTCCAGGACAAGGGCCGGCAACAGTCATCCGATTACAGCAACTCGCAGGCCGGGTCGCTGACACGGAACCTTTCCAAGCAGTCAAAGCAAGAGGAAGCATCCCCCAAGTTGCCCCCGAGGGGGAAGCAAGGCACCGGCGACTTCAAGTTGCAGGATGCTCCGAATACGCGCAAGGCGACTTCTGATAATGGCAGCACCTCCTCCGATTACGGCTCCACGCCGCAGCTGGATTCCCGCAAGAACAGCGAGAACGTTCCCCCGCGGCGATCGCAGGATACGAGAAAGCCTGAAACAGCAGACGGCCGCCCGTCTATGGACTCTGCCCCCAAAGCGCCGCCTCGACCAGACACCAATCGCTCAATCGCGAGAAAGGAGGTGCCCTCCGGACCCAAGCCTGGTAAGTTCACCCTTCAGAACATTAGACGTGCATACAAGTGCTGACCGCTGCAAGGCCCCGTCAAGTCGGCAGACGATGTCAACCGCCAAAAAAGGCCGCAAGTGGCAGGACGCAGTGGTACCGACAGCTACATGGCCCCCCGAACCGCGCCCGTGCCTCCTCAGGCTGGACAGGACAATGGCGAGCCCAAGACATCCCCCAAGCTGCCCCGATGGAGCAGCGGTGGTGACTTCAGCATGGATGAAGATATGGCTAGGATCCTAGGTACCGACGAAGGTTCATCATCCATGATGAGGCGCGCGTCAAACTTGGTACGACACGGGCGGACAAGCAGTGTCGAGTCGACCGCTCAAACACCCTCGCGAGCAAGCCATGCACGCAGCGTTAGCGAGACTACTCGGGGCACTGGCTCGCCACGTTGGCAAAGAACCATGTCTATTGGTGAGCGCAACGGAAAGATGTCTGATTTCACTAGTCCGACTTCCCTGTCGCCTGGTGACGATCCTGCTATCCTCAAGCGTCAGCTCAGGTCTTCCGAACTTCGCGTAGCTGAGCTGGAAAGGCGATTCTCCACCGACGCGGATCTGCAAAACGCCAGCAAGAAGCTTATGGAGAAGAAGAAGATGGTGTCAGAGCTTGACACGCAGAGCGAGATTATGATTCGCCAACTTGAGGTCCTCACCGGGTACGTCGAGAAGGCCAAGGAGACCAAGACACCGGTCGATGCCCGCAAACTCGAGGATTCGGCCGTCAAAGACTTTGTACAAAAGCTCGAGCGTGTCAAGAACGACATGTCGGAGAGCATTGAGCAATTGGTCAAGGAGCGCGACCTCCTGGTGGAAGAAAAGTTGAGGGCCACTGCCGAGCGCGACCGAGCTCTGATGGAGTTTGAGCAACTGTCCAACAAGAACGCCCAGCTCGCGGACATGAATAATGATCTTACGCGCGAGCTTCAGGGACGGATGAAGAACAGTTCCATGGACAGCAAGGCACTCAATGGCCTGGGCATCTACGGCGACCACAAGGCTGCATCCTCCTCTGTCAATCTGGACAATGCCAGTCTGTCTACAGGCCCGACCCTCCTCGCCGATGAAGAACCCATTGTCGAGACGGGACCAACCGTCGTCCAGGTGCGCAAGGGTCAAGTCAAGAAGTTCAACTGGAAGAAGGGCTCCAAGGGCCTCGCCCAGAACGTGGCGAAGGGTGTCAGGGGCGCTGTGGTGGCTTTCCAGCAAAACGACCGAGGGGAACGTATCCCAACCACAATGGCCGGCGGCGACATTGGTATGCCGTACAACGCAACGGTTGCAACCGTGGATTCACCGCCCGTCACCACTCCAAATGGGCCAACAAACCCCCCTGCCACCAGCAATCACCACCACACCCACCACCAGAGGCAGCAAGATCAGGGGCGCCAGGGCTTTGGGTTCTTCAGCAAGAAGAACAACATGCCCAAGTCGCAGTCGTCCAGCGCCGTGTCTACGCCAGTTCCCGTACCCGATGCGTCCACCACTCTCTTCGGCTCTGACCTGAGCGAGCGAGCCGAGTTTGAGCGTCGACAGATCCCCAGCGTCGTGACCCGCTGTATCGAAGAGGTCGAGCTCAGGGGTATGGACCAGGAAGGCATCTACCGCAAGACAGGCGGCAACTCGCAGGTCAACATGATCAAGGACGGCTTCGACAAGGACGAGAGCTTTGACATTTCCGATCCTGACTTGGATATCACAGCCGTCACGAGTGTGCTGAAGCAGTACTTCCGCAAGCTGCCGGTGCCTTTGTTGACGTATGATGTGTATGACCGGGTTCTGGAGTCGACGAGTAAGTGCACCGCGCAAAGGGATCTGTTTATTTATGATCATACTAACGGGATGACAGGCATCGTTGACGAGTCGGAACGATGCGACCACCTGCGCAAGACGTTTGCATCGCTTCCGCAGAGCCACCGGGACTGTCTGGAGTTCCTCATGTTCCATCTCGATCGCGTCGCTCAGCGGCAAAGCGAGAACCTCATGACGCCCAAGAACTTGGCCGTCGTTTTTGCCCCTACCATCATGTTCGACCGCAGCATCGAGCGCGAGATGACGGACATGCACGCCAAGAATCTGGCCGTGCAGTTTGTCCTCGAGAACAGCCGCACTATCTTTACAGAGGCTTGAGATTTATGTACCTGCTCTTTTCTCTCTTAGCTTATGATACCGGGCTTCTGCATGGCCCCATCGCATGTTTGTTCTTCTTGGTCCTGTTCTTCTTCTTCTTCTTCTTCTTCTTCTTCTTCTTATGACCTGGATGCATATGAGTCTTAAACTCTGTTTTATATGTTCACTTTCCCCGTCATTGCTCTGGAGTTTCGATGTGTTCCCCGCTGGCAGTGGGGGAGTTTTGTTGGTAGCGTACATATCGTCACATGGTAAATCTACTTCCGATGGAACAGACGCTTCATCATAGGTACTTCATTGATGACAGATCTAAATAACACATTGTCACTGTGAGCTGGTCTCAGAATGCTTACCATTCTCCAACGTCTTGCCGTAATCCTCCCAGAGATCCACGACCGGCCGCCCTACAAGCTCCGTCCAGAAAGCCTTTTCCTCATACCGTCTCAGGCGCAGCTTCTCATTGAGTCGACGCACAGTACCTTGCCCAAACCGCTGCTCAAGATACTCGAGAAAGTAGCCGGTGTGCTGGTACCCTGCGTCCCACTTCCCACTGCCGTCCTTCTTCCAGTGAGGGGGGCTAAGATCGCACCGTAGACGGACCCAGTCAGCGACCCCTTCTATCAGCCCCCCCGGGCACGTTCCATGGCCATTGTGCTGGAAGCAGTGTACCAGCTCGTGCGTGATGACGCCCTCAATCTCCTTTGCCTGGCGGGTCTCGGGGCTGATGGACGTTACGTATCGCAGGGAGAGGTGGATCTCCTTGTGGTCGTTGTCCAGCTCTGTCCCGGTCGTGTATGCTACGCCTGGCATGTCCCTCAATATCAACGTCACGGAGCGTGTGGGCGGAGCGTTGGTCGTCGACTCGTGGGGGGACAGGTAGAGAAGCTTGAGTACGGACTGGCATGCCTTCTGGAGGGCGTCCACTGCGTTCGTTGTGGATAGGAAGATGGACGACCCCTTGTGTGAGAGGTCACGCACTTCAAGCCGTAGTTTGGGGAGCTTGAAGTGTGACTGCTCCTCGCTGGGAGGAGCGACGGCGGGAGACATGGCAACGAGGGGAGACTGGGGCGCTGGTGTCGTCTGGGGTTGTATGGTAGGCATTTGTGAGATGTAGCTGGAGGGAGGGCCTCGTCGCTCGCGGCTCAGCGCGGTTCTGAGGTTGGGGTTCAAGACGCCGCAATCTCAGCTGGCTAGAGTTGTTAAACCAGAATAATCCTTGACTAATAGAAACTAAACTTGTTCAAGCTAGCTTTTATATACATTATTTGACTCATTGATCCTAAGATATGGATCGCATTCACGTCGATGGTTGACGTTCGGAGGTGCGCGGGGTGATGGGCCAACCTACCCTGCAGCCCCGCCATGACGGACGGCGCACGACTCAGGACCACGGAAACCCCTGGCAACGTGCGTGGGTGCCTGCGAGTCTAAAAAGCGGCGCCAACGTCAACAATGGAACCTCATCGACTATCAACACCAGTTAGCTATCATCCATTCGTTCACCAACGACATCTTGCTAGCCCCCACTCTGCCGCGCGCACGCTCCTCAATGCACGTCACACCCAGAGAGACACATCGCCTATTCTGCCTCTATTCATAAGAGTCATTGTTGCATTCCAGTCCTGCCCTTCCTTGGCTTGGGGCTGATCATCTGTGCGTACCCCCAAGTACCCCTATCGGCGCAACTTGCCGCCCGCGCAAGCACGATGACTACCAGGACCACCACGACTAACCCCTCGCGCGATAGTTGCCCATGGCCGACGGAAAGCTCACCGACCAGCAGGTCATCGACCTGACGACGATCCTCCGCTCCGATCAAAGCCTCGACGCAAAGGTCAACTACCTCAACCTGATCAAGTCCGGCATCAAGCAACACAATGTCCCCGAAACATCGGTCGCGCAGCTCTTTGACGGCCTGCGCGCCGCGTCCTCGTCGCAACACACGTCCATCGTCAACGTCGGCTTCACCTCGCTGAACCACCTCATTACGCGATTGACGCGACAGGAGCCGAAATACCTTGCCAAAGAAGCTGCCCGCACGTTACCCCTCATTGCTGAGAAGCTGGGCGACCAGAAAGACAAACTGAGGACGACAGCGCATGGCGCCCTGAGCACATACTACACGGTCGCGCCAATCGAGGTCGAGAGGGTGATTCGGAACAATGCGATGACTGGCAAGAACCCGCGCGCCAAGGAGGCCGCCATGGCATGGCTCTTGCAGATGCACCAAGAGCAAGGCCTTCAGTTCAGGACCTATGTCCCTCTCCTGATGGATCTGCTCGAAGACGCCGACGGCATGGTGCGCGATGCGGCAAAGAGCACAGTCATTGAATTGTTCCGCAACGCGCCAGGCGCGGCAAAGTCCGACCTCAAGCGCCAACTCAAAAACTTCAAGGTCCGGCCCGCGATCGAGCAATCAATCGTCAAGGCTATCGCGCCAAACTCTGCCTCTGTTTCCGCCTCTGCTCGACCCGAGACCCCGGCAGAAGCTGCTGCCCCTGCGCCTGCCCCTAAGAGACAGGCGCTGAGCGCTAGCACAACCTCGACGTCGGTCGACAGGCCTATCACCCCGGCACTGGAAGTGCGCGCGTCGGAGAACATCGAGCCCCAGTACGTGAACACCCACCGCGAACTCGACGACATCTTTAAGGGGATGGCGTGGTGCTTTGAGGGCAAGGAGTCGGAGCAGAATTGGGTGCAGCGCGAGGCCAGCATGGGAACCCTGCGAAAGCTCAACGCGGGTAACGCACCGGCCGATTTCCCAGAGACCTTCCTGACGGGCTTAAAGTCTGTGTTGGATGGAATCATCAAGTCCATGACTTCATTGCGAACGAGTCTGTCAAAGGAGGCCTGCGCCCTGGTTCAGGATGTCGCCATCACCTTTGGGCCTGGCATTGACCCTCTGGTGGAGCTGCTCATGCAGACACTCGTCAAATTGTCCGCGGGTACCAAGAAGCTCAGCTCCCAACTAGCCAACACCACCATTGAGACGATGCTGCATCGAGTCACCTACAATCATCGTCTGATGCAGCACATTCACGGCGCCGCACAAGACAAGAACGTGCAGCCAAGGACCTACGCCACAGGCTGGCTCAAGATCATCCTGAAGAAGGAGGCTGGCCACAAGAGCCACCTCGAGCATTCCGGGGGTCTGGACTTGATTGAGAAGAGCATCAAGAGGGGGCTGGCTGATGCCAACCCTGCTGTCAGGGAGCGCATGCGATCGACATTTTGGACTTTCTGGGGTATCTTCCCTGCTCGTGCCGATGCATTGAAAGAGGACCTGGACGCTACAGCTCAGAAACTATTGAACAAAGATCCCAGCAACCCCAATGCGCCCACCAAGGCCGAAGCGCCCGTTGCAGCTCGCCCTGGTCTAGGCCTTTCCAAGAGTACCATGACCAAGCCCAGCGTCCGAGAGCACATGCTTGCCCAGAAGAGGGCTGCTCTCGACACCAAGAAGCTGCCGGCCCGGCCCGGGTCTGCAATGGCGCACATCTCGCCCGTGCGCAAGGTGTCAGACCCAAAGCCGACCAATGCTGCGAAACCTACGGGTACTAGGGCGCGCCCAGAGGCAGGCACCATCTCGGTCAATGCTAGTGGCATGTCGGTGGCTCCTATGCGTCCGGCACGCAGACGACCCGAGATGGCTGCTCGTCCGGCTACTGCTGGCCCCTACTCTGTTCGCGAGCACCCCACCGCGATGGAAGCCGACAGCCCGGGCGCCACCAGGAACAAGGCGCCGCTGTCACGGCCACAGCTCAAGGACACGCCCCCTAGGAGGACGGCTCAGCGACCAAGACCCGGCCATGCCTCGCACGCGAGCGAGTCGCACGTGAGATCACCGAGTGCTAGGCCCAAATCGGCGCTCTCCACGCGTGGCAGCCCTGCGAAAATTAAGAGTACGCAATCTGCTGCGCCTGCCGCGCCCGCAGTGTCTAGTTCAGTGCACGGGGAGGACGAGGTACCCGAGACGATCCCAGCCGTGGTGAGCGTGGTTGAGCCACCAGTTGCCGAGCCCGTGACGACATCGGAGGATATCCCAGACCCTCAGCCGGAGCAATTGCAATCTCCTGGCGAGGCACCCCCTGTCGAACCAGAAGCCGAAGCCGAAGTCGAGGCTGAAGTCAAAGTCGAGGAGTCTCTCCCTGCAGTTGTTGCCCCAGAGGAAGACCCTGAGCCTACTCGGTCGCCGACACCGGCCGTGGCTCCGCCTGAATTTACCCTTCCCATCCACCCTGCGCCCTCTGAGCATGAATCCCTCAAGGTGTACGAAGATCCTTTCGTCGAAGAGCAGCCGACATCCAAACCCACCATCGTCACGCCTGTGCTGGAGGATAGGCCTGTGAACGAGGGCGCTGCTCTGCAGCCTTCTGCCAATATCCTGGATGGTACCAACGACTCGCCCGAGAAGGCCCGTCAGAACTCTCGTCTGCTGGACAGTGGCATTGCTAAGATCAGGGCCAAGTCTCTGGAGGTGCATGGCTTCCGCAAGCTGCAGTCTCTTGTCCGCGATAGCAAGACGGTCTTGAACGACGAGAAGTTCGAAGTACTCTTGCTGGGTCTCTTTGAGTACCTCGAGGACCCCCTGTCTTCCGTTGCAGCGGATAAGGTGCAAGACGTCAAGGCACAGATCTTGACCACAATCAAGCTCCTGCTGAAGAAGGACCGCGAGAACTTCAAGCCGCACGTGTCCAAGTGTCTCGAGTCTTTGTTGAAGACCAGGAGCGCCTACGACAATCGGTCTCACATTGTTAGTGGCCTGGAGCTGTTGTCTGACACGCTGGTCTCACTCGGCGACCCGGCAGAGATCATCTGTGTCCTGGCAAGCCGTCTCAATAAATGCTCTGACTCGTCGGTTGAGGATTGCCGGGCACTCAGCATGGGCTTGCACATCTTGAAGACACTTCTGGAGAAGCAGCCTCAGGCGGAGAGCATCCTTGGAGACAGCGAGATGTCCAGTCTTGGCTCGCTGGCGGGGCGCTGCCTCGAGAGCTCCGACTCGGGCGTCAGGATGGATGCCGTGCAACTGTGCGTTGCGCTGCACTCCAACGTGGGAGAGGGAACGTTTTGGGGAGTGATGAAGGGTGTCAAGGACGACCCCAAGAGCTTGATCACGTATTACATAGTGAAGAAGCAGCGTGAGCAGGCGGCTTGATTTGTCAGGGGAAAACGGATGGGGAGGCTTGCCTAGCAAGCGGTTCCCGACTTCTTTCGTGCGTAGATATTAAGACTTTGTAACCAATACATATTGTTCAGCTTCAGACAATCTTTTGGCCCTTGTTGAGTCTTCGCCAATATTGACCCAAGGCTGTTGAGGATTATTACCCCAGAGCCCCAGTCTCCAGAGTCCAGAGTCCAGAGCCCATCGGTCTTTGATGAATCGATGCCCCACCCCTTTTCCGTTGACCCGGTGGCGGACTGGGCGTCATGCACGACGATAAGTGAGGTCGAGCTGCGGGGGCAGCGCCTCCCTGACTCCAAGAACCTTGGGCAAACTAGTTCATAACCGTTTTGCCGCCCTTATCTCTCCATGTTTTGGAGTAGTCATTAGAGTGCGGGGGGGTTGCGAGGTGTGTTGGAGGCGTTGTCGAAGCCGCACCTACAAGTACTTAATGACGACCAAGATTCCATGTCCTGATGTCACGATGCCTTGCTTCTCAATAATCTCATCTCACCGTCAAGTATTCACGCGAAAATGACCTGGGAAGACATTGCCGGTGCCGAGAAGGCTCGTCTTGAGACGTCCGTTCCCCAAGAATGGAGAATCACCATCCCCCAGGACGTCAAGTCGACCCTCTCTCTTCCCCAAGGCACCAACGTTCTCACGGAGACAGAGCTCCAAATCACCAACGCAACCGCCACGGAGCTGGTCAAGCAGCTGGCCGCGGGTCAACTCACCAGCGTCGCAGTGACGACCGCTTTCTGTAAGCGAGCGGCCCTGGCGCACCAAGCGGTGAATTGCCTGCACGACTTCTTCCCAGACGCCGCGCTCGCTCGTGCCAAGGAGCTCGACCAGCACCTCGCCAAACATGGCAAGCCCATCGGTCCACTGCATGGTCTGCCCATCTCGCTCAAGGACCAGCTGCGCGTCAAGGGCCGGCAGACACACATGGGATACACCGCGTGGATCAACAAGGTGGACCAGGACTCGTCCGTCATGGTCGACTTGCTCGAGCGCGCTGGTGCCGTCTTCTACACCAAGACGAGCGTACCGCAGAGCCTGATGGTCTGTGAGACCATCAACAACGTCAATGGGCGGACCGTGAACCCGCGCAACAAGGATTGGTCGTGCGGCGGCAGCTCGGGAGGTGAGGGGGCCATTGTGGGCTTTCGCGGTGCCGTCCTTGGTATTGGTACGGACATTGGTGGCTCTATCCGTGTGCCTGCGGCATTCAACTTCCTGTATGGTCTGCGGCCCAGCCATGGGCGGCTGCCATACGCCAAGATGGCCAACAGTATGGAGGGCCAGGAGACGATTCATAGTGTCGTCGGGCCCCTTGGACATACGGTGGCAGACTTGCGGCTGTTTATCGGGTCGGTCCTCTCGCAGCAGCCGTGGGCGTTTGATCCCAAGGTGATTCCCATGCCCTGGCGCCAGAGTGAGGAAGATGCGGTCAAGGCCAAGATTGCCTCTGGACAGCTGACGTTGGGTTACTATGAGTGTGACGGAAATGTTCTCCCTCACCCACCTATCCTGCGTGGCGTCAAGACCGTTGTCAATACGCTGCAAGAGGCTGGACAAAATGTTCTCCCCTGGGAGCCTTACGAGCATCCATATGCCGTCGATCTCGCAAACAAGGTCTATGCCTCTGATGGCGGCGCGGTACGTCTTACATGAGACCATGGGACTACTCTTACTAACAGAATATGTAGGACGTCTTTGACGTTCTCAAAGAGTCGGGTGAGCCAGCCATACCCAATTTCCAGGACCTCATCAACCCGTCGCTCCCCAAGCTCGACATCAACGAGGTCTGGGACGCGCAGCTGAAGAAGTGGCACTACCAGATGGCGTATCTCAAGGCCATGGAGGCCTTTGAGAAAAAGCATGGGCAGGAACTCGACGCCATTATCGCGCCCATCACGCCGACGGCCGCTGTCCGCCACAACCAATTCAAGTACTACGGATACGCCACTGCGATCAACGTGCTCGATTTTACCAGCGTCACGGTGCCCGTCACTTTTGCGGACAAGGAGGTGGATAAGGTGAATGAGTCTTTCAGTCCATTGACAAAGATGGACGAGGCTGTCCAGGCGGAGTGTGAGTGCTAAAGAACGCTACAGACTGGATTCCTTTGCTGACGAGACCATCAGATGATCCGGAAGCGTACCATGGTGCCCCTGTTGCAGTCCAGATTATCGGCAGACGCCTGACAGAGGAGAAGACGCTCGCCATTGCGGAGGAGATTGGGAGGTTGCTGGGGAACGAGGTCGCAAGCTGAGGTTGCGAAATCCTCCAGGGTGCTTTGTCCTTGGTATGCCTTGGTAGTAGATAATTTGGATGACAAGGTCAATACGATCCGCTAAAGTTTGAATACATATTGCTTTTTGATTTACCGTAAATGCACGTCCTGTTGAGTTTATTGGTGCCAGAATGAGGAAATGAAGCATCACATGCACCCTGGCCGCGAGCTACCCCCTCGAACGAGAGTCGGAAATGTCTGAACTTGGAGGTAGACTGCTTTTAAATAAACAAATGCCATTAATTTCAAATCACTTCAATTTTAGGGACACGCCCTCAGGGGAGGGGAGGTTGCTGTGAGTGCCAACAGTGAATGTTGACTTTCGAGTCAGGGGTTCAGGGGCGGACTCGGAGGGCTTTGCGGATGAATTCCCATCTTACACCATGGTGTCTTCGACTTTCATGGCTGCTTCTGGAGGCTTTTTTCTCACTCTTCGGGTCTAGTCGCTAAATTTTCATTACTCTATCGCGAGCATTTCATCTAATATAAGTGAAGCGGTGCTGACTGGAGCCTGACTTCATCCCAAGTCCACCTGCTTGCTGCCAGAGTGTGAGAATTTTCTCTCTATATATTACTGCGCTGCTCCTCTCTCTTCTACCTTTTTTCTCTTCCTCTTGTTTATCCTCTCCTGCTATCAACGCCTGGCACCACTACCACACCAAGCACGTATTGTGCCAATACCCCAAGTGAGTATTCGCTCCCCGTCTACATACCGTATTCGCCTGCGACCTCGACTGTGTCTGACTGACCTCATCAGAATGGTGAACAAGGAAACTCTGATAGCCAGTGGCATCGCTGGCCTGGTGACACTTGTCGTCGTCTACAGTGTGCGCGGCTGGAGGCAGGATGGCCGTGAAGTTGCCGTCGAAGAGAGGGCCAAAGCTGCTGAGGAGAGGGAGGAAATCAAATGGAAATGGGAGCTAGAGGACCGTGGGATGGTGGAGGACGAGAGTATGTGATATTGTCTGCCTTCCCGGTAAGATTATTGACCGAGAACAGAGCTCCGTCAGGCAAGGAGCGACGCTGAAAAGGCCACCAGCGATGCCGCCCGCGCCCCGATCAGGGACACAACCACACTGCAGCTTGAGCAAGCCGAGAATGAGATGAGGGAGATCCAGGCCCAGATCAACTCGATGACAGAGCTTGCCGCTGCCAGAGCCGGCGAGAAGATGTGGCTGAACGAGCGATTGGCTGAAAGCATGGACCAAATTCAGAAGCTAAAGGCGGAGATTGCGGAGGAGAAGGCTAAGTCTCAGCTCCTAGCTAAGATCTAATTTTAATGTCAATGACTTGGTGTATTGAATGCAGTAAGCTTAGGTATATTGAGCCTTGTTAGTAGAACCTAGTACGGCCAGTTTTAAAAGGCAAGGTTCGTGCTCGCAATGGCCTGCTTCCTCGCGGCCCTGATCTGACGCAGCAATTCCTCAGCGGCATCATCGGTCTTGAAATAAGAGGCATTGGCGTAAAGAGGAGGCATTTGATACCCTTTGTCTGGATTCTGATGGCGATGTTGACTTTGATAGCGCATAATTCGAAAGTCTTCTTTGAGCTTCTCGATGTCCCCGAACCGGAAAGTCTGTAGCCAAGTCTCTTCCTTGACCATCTCCATCCATCTTTTCCCCTGACCCGTCGAGCAAGCTGGATCATCGCACCAGAGCAGATGCTTGTTTTCCTCGCTATACACCAGGGCCGGAACGCTATCCAGAATCCCAAGCCACCCGAGGCTGACAGGCCGTATCACCTCCCAGCCGTAGCGGTAGCTTAGAAACAGCCTCCCTGAGATTAGTCGCCAAGCGTAATCACCAGCGCATTCTTCACACTCCAGAACTTGCCGACCTTGGCTCGCGCTCGCCTCACCGACCATGCAGCAAGCATCATCATCGCCAGGATTTTTGGTGTACCCCGGCTTTTCAAAGCAAAGGCAGATACTGGATGTGAATTCTTGGAGCTGACCCCGGTCCACCACATGTTGGCAGCACTTCAGACCACGTAGTGCCCCGTTGCGTATGAGTTCCGCGGCAAAGTCTCGAATTTCGGGGAGAGGCGGTGGTTTTTCAGCGTCCATGTCGAAAAGGGGAAGGTCCCATCCAAATCGAAGATCCGCGTGCTCCGCGAATGTGTTCACTTCCAAGCGCGGAAACGCGCACATGACTTTCCTCATCTTCTGGTCCGTCTTCAGGCAGGTTACAGCGTGCATGTGATCGGGGTCTTGATAGAATGTGTTCTTTTTGCGCCTTTCCCCGGTTGTTAACATGACTTGCTCCACGGCATGCCAAGTGACGGGCGCATGCGAGCTGTGGGAGCATAGTGTACACAGCCCTAGCCTTCCGATACACACGAGGCTACCACCCGTTTTGTTGAGATATTTTCGAAGGCTTTGGGCCGGAAAAAAGATGCCTGCGTGGTTTTCTTGGCAAGCATCGCAAAAGTACAATTGGCGTAGATTGATAAGACGGGGGTCGTGCTCGCCGCGCTGGTGAACCTCGGCGCATGAGGCACAGCGATGTCCGTCCTGGGAGACGGGAGGCTTGTCGGCAACCAGCTCTTGTTCTGGCCCTGTTCGTGAATGCTTCCTTATAATCTGCCTCTGGTCCGCCGTCAGAGATTCCAACAAAAAGGTCGCCTGGCGGCTTTTCAAGGTCGGGTCTCCGTGAGAGGCAGAGAAATCTCTTGATTGGAAGAGCCTAAAGAAGACTGAAGATGTCTGCCTGACGGCCCACAGACAGTCTGGTGAAAGTTTCTTCATGATCAGGAGCAGGACCTCCTCGGGTAGTTGAGCCAAGGACCGGTATTGGTATTGTGTGATCTGGCGCCAGGCTTCGTCAGAACACCCAAGGAGAGGCACAGCACGTCTCTCCCCATGTTTTATTTTTGATCCAGCTTTTCTCTGAATCTCTCCGCTGAGCGAAGCGAATGAATCACCCCCGAAGCGTTCAAATTCCATCTTCGTGTGAACTTGGATCAATGATAAGTGCAAATATTGGGTAAAGGGGAAGAAATAGAAGGATGTGAGGTGAGGACCGTTTCTTTTCCATTGGTGCGCGGACTTCTTGAACCTTAGTACTCGAGTAGACAAGGTACCTCGGGGCAGAACGTGACTTTTGACTTCCAGCCCGTGCCAGTGCTATACTAGTAGTGCCTGTCACTGGGAAGCTCTGAGGATGGTGAAGATGAAGGAGTCGAGCTCGCAGGCTCCGTCGATAAGAAGCGAGCGGCCGAAGCCTATCTTCTCTCGATACCCCATCAAGCACTGTCTAGATGACACAACGCCTTCTTCTGGCAGCATCCATGTCAGATGCCTCTCAGATTATTGTCGAGCTCGGTCTCGTTTGCAATAGCATTCATAATGATCATTTGTGGAAGTTCAGTCATCCAACCAGCTAGCTTCTGGAAACACTCGGGCGAATGGTCTAGTGGTATGATTCTTCCTTAGCATGGAAGAGGTCCAGGGTTCAATTCCCTGTTCGTCCAAAACCTTTTGTTTTTGTAATATCAGGAGTTCTTTCTAGTGAATCTTTTTGTTCTCCTACATTAGTCTAGTAACCTTTTTGAACTACATGTCGCCATGCTGGATTCTCAATGCGTCAATAATCAACAAACGCCGCCACTCGCAGCGATTGTCACCGGCAGGGTTCAATGAAAAGGGGTAATCTAATTTTAACCTCGCCCATTTTGGAGCTGCCCTGTAGTCGACCGATACTTGATCATACTTCTTGCCATGTCCCCCTGGGTAATATTTTCAACATACGTACTCTGACGGGACAGATTGTGGAACCAAGTTTCAACCCATTTCGTCTCTCCCTCACTTGCCCTGTCTCATAGCGTCCTTCATGCCTCTCTACCCATGGCCATGCACTTGAGCTTAGCATGCCAGATCTTCCGATACACCTTGTCCATATCATGTTCCGTAGCCCCCGCCATGCCCTGAGCGACCCGGAGAGCATATCTCTTCCATTCGTTATCAACATCCATCACCTCCTCGTTCTCGTTTTCCTCGTTGATCTTGGCTTTCTCGGCATCGAAAAAGTCAATCGCCTCGCGCAGCTTGTCGCGTTCTTGCTGCCGCTGCTTGTACTGCTCCTCATATAACCCGGCGACGGCCTGCTTCAGGTAGGCAAAGGATCGGATCTCCTCTTGGAGCTTGTGAATATGCTTCTCCAGCTGGTGGATTCGGATGTTCTGTGCCTCGACTGTATCGCGTAGCCAGGTTGTCTCTTTGGCTGGGACAGACCGGGACACCACCGTTGTGGACGAGTTGGTTGACGGTGATTCGACGGCGGTGGAGGTGTTGTACACTGCAGCGAAGTATCTGTGTGATTCGAGCTGGCCCTGGGTGAGGTCCATAATGTCGGTTTCGTCCCCGTCTGTGGTCTCTTCCTCGCACGTGCTTTCGGGGAACGTGATCCCCTGCAGAAGTGACGCGTTGCCCTGTGAGCGTCAGTATTGTACATATGCTCTATCAACTCGCCGTGGGCAGCCGTCAGTACCTCGTCATGTGCAATCGTCAAGTTCGTGTCGGTTGGTGACGCCATTCCAGTATTCATCAGATCGCTACTCGCCGAGCTGATCGCAGTCAGCGGCTTGAACTTGACAGGGCAGAGTGGAGGAGGATCTGACCAGACCATGTCATCCATGTTAGCGATATTTGAAGCATGCAAAGGGGAGATCTGAGGAGGAAACACAGAGAGGCTGGCTCGAAGCGAGCGTGAACAGTATCACTGGCACAGGAACAAACATGGGATGATTGTTGCCAACGGAACGAACCCACCAGTGCTCACGGGCACGTGAGGCAACGTTGAAAGCGACCGATAAACGTCACCGGATGCAATTGTCTACCTATGCAACCTCATTGATTTCCCAGGTATACCATACCATCTACGACACATGCCCTCAAGACCCCAAAAACGACCAGCCCGCTTGAAAATGCCTAGAACCTCCCAGCAACAAATTTCCATAATATGTAACATTTTATGTACGCCTCTGCAGCCCAACCCCTTTTCCTCAACCGGAGAATTGGAACCGCGAGGCCTCGAGCTGGCCCAGGCCGTCCCTCGGCGCCACGTTGCGCCGCCTGTAGGTGTTGGTAAAGTCCTGCAGCAGCACGCGCACACCCCGGATACCCCCTTCTTCGGGACGCTGCAGCTTCTCCTTGATCTTCACCAGCAGGCGATCAGCTTCAGCTGGTGACACGGTGCCCTCGGGCAGGAGGTGGATCGTCTGGGAGACCCACTCCGTGGTTTGCTGGGGCAGAAGCTCGAACAGAGCGAGCAGTACTCCACTGCCATCCGCGAAGCAATCTTCGGGGAAGGTGATCATCATGCCCGCCATGATCTGCTTCACCAGACCGTATCCATTCTGCGCAAGCAACTGCTTCACAAGCTGTTGGAGCTGCAACCTATCCGGCTCCGGTATCCTGTGGCTGCTGGCAGGGTTGTCACCACCGTAGGAAAGAAGGTCTCTCAGGAAGTGCAGTGTCGATGAGAGGGGGTCGCGTTGCTCCAGAGTCAGCGCGTAGATGGCGGCCTCGAAGATGGGGCCCATCAAGGGGGACGGCACCAGACGTTGAGGGTAGTAGAGGAGGGCGTCGATCATCAGGCGGAAGAAGTCGTCAATGACATCGGGCAGCTCCCGAGGTTGCAGTGCAGACAGTGCTTCCAGGAAGACCGTAGTCTGCGCCTCGAAGAATCGGTAAATGTCGTTGGTCGTGCTCGGCTCAACTTGCTCGCGGTCCTCGGAGAACTCACGAAGGATGGCCGAAGTGACCCACAAGAAACAGCCCTCCCTAGAAGCACTGAATCCTTGCGCGAGCTTGTTGGCCAAGCTGGGGAGCAGGCTGGCCATCGATGTCCGGTACGAGATGACCATGTTCCTCCAGCAGCGGCAGATCCTCTCGCAGATGGGCGAGAAATGTACAAAGTTCTCCAAGACAGTGGCGAGCACGTTGAAGTTCTCCGCCCAGTACTTGACTGCGGGATTCTCCTCTCCAGGGTTGGTCGACGGGACGACGTTCTGGATGAACAGGGTCAAGAGCTGCAAGTGGTCTAATGAGTCCAGTCAGTACGATCCGCATGGATCAAAGGGGGCCAAACTTACCAGCCAGCGCGAGTTTACTCTCCTCGTCCGTAGCTACGTTCGCCTTGTTCATCAGACGCTGCATCAGGGGGTCGCAGTACGTCTTGAGCAGACTGTATATGTCTCCAGAAGCCTGCACCGCCACGACGCTAGCCACGCCATCAGTGATCTCCTCCTTGCTGACGTCGGGGAGCTTGTCCAGGACCGAGTCGTAGAATGTCTGCAGCTGCAGGACCTGGCCGCTCAACAGGTGCTTGCAGTCCTGGCAAAAGAACTTCATCGACAAGGCGGCCGCGCGCGTGATTTCCTTGGAGTCGGATTCAAATGCAGACGTAATGTACTTGAACTGGTCCTCGAGGAATTCAGGGTGAGCGGCCGTCCACTCGGTGTAGCGTCCGAGCACCATGATGGTGGCGAAGCGCAACTTCTCATGAGGAGGGATCTGGACGAGCAGCGGCATGAGCTGGGGCAGTACGATATTCTCCTCCTGGTCGACCATCTTGCCGAGGGCACGCACACCGAACAGCGGTGCCTCGAGCTCCTGCCAATGCGGTACGGAGGCCCCTGACGCCTGGCTCGCATACTTGCCCATCCAGGATTGGATGGAGTTCAGCACCTTGTTCAGGCATTCAGTGACGCCGAGCACCTCACACGCATCCTTCAGGGTATCTCCCATGTGGTGTCGGAACTCCCTGAACTTTTCTTCCTGCTCGCGATCGCCGTCGAACAGGTCGGCCTCGTTACCGTCCTCGGGTTCGGGGTATTGTAGCTGGCTGAGGAGGACGTCGACCAGTTGCGAATAGACGTCAACCATGGCGACCCTACTCTCCACGTACCGGTCCAGTACTAGGTACTGCTTGAGATCGTACCAGAAGTTGAAGGTGTACTCTATAACGTCCTTCTCCTTGTCCTTGGCGGCACATTCGAGGACAGCGCCCACCAGCGGTTTGAATTGCTCCGGCTGACGCGCGATTGCGACAACCCAACACTCCGCCGCCGTGGCAAACACCTTGGTCAACGACTTGAGTCGCTCCGTGTCCTCTTCCTCAACAACCTTGTTGATCTGTGACTGGAGTGCGAGAATTCGAGGGAAGAGCACCTGGATGACATCCCGGCTCTCGTCCACGTCGGCCGTCTCCCTCAGCACGGTGGTGAGGCATTCGGCGGCTTCTTGCGCGCAAGAGTCGGATGTCAGCCCGTTGAAGATCACGTCGAGGAGCGGCGAGTTAACAATGTTCGCGACCGGTACCTCGCGCAACCACGAGGTCAAGCACTCCATGAGCTGAGGGTTCTGCGCAGCGGCCGCTGAAAAGGTCAGTTCTGCTTGTTCACCAAGGGCGGGCGCGAACTTACGCGATGACTGAGAGTAGTTGATGAGGAGCGAGACAACTTGTTCGGCATTGTCCGCCAACAGAGATTGTGTCCTGGCTGCAAGGTCGTCTTCCTAGTTCCCGCATTAGACTATGCTCCTGCTGACACCGATGGCCCGAGACCAGGTCGATTCGGATGGTGCCTCGGCTGACGATTCCGTGTTCCACATACAGACAAGGTGATTTTGCGACCTTCGGTGACCTCTTCGGGTAGCACTCGCAGAAAGTCGAGGATGGCGGCGTGGCTGCCCTCGCCGCCGCTGAGGGCCTCGACGACCGAAGAGAGGACATCGTTCCAGTCCTTCATTTGGATGGCCAGGATTGCCAGACAAACGCATAGCTGTACTCGGATAGGCTTGGGTCCGTTCGCATACCGCTGGAGCAGTATAAGGATCTGGTTTCGGAGGGCGGCGAGCTCGCCGGCTGGGACCTGTGTTTGGAGGTCGTAGGTAATCTAGAGACGTCAGTCTGCTGGACCGCCCGCGGGTCGGACTGCCTACCTTTCCTCGAAGTGTGATGGCCGCGAACAAGACAGCCTCAGGATCCGCCTGTTCTTGCAGAAGACCCACGACAGTAGCCCAAGAACCTTTCTATATGCCTCGCGTCAGTCGACCAAATATCACCCACGAAGCAGAGACAGAGCCGTGTCCTACCGATTTCTGGAACTTTTCGAGGTACTCGTGCGCCTTCTTCTTGTTCTCCTGCTGCCCACCCCGCATTGTCGCGACCGCCGCGAGCACATCGGCTGCCGCGAAGGTCGGCTCGCTGCCGTTTGTGGCCATGTCGTTTCGTGGCGAGCAAAAAAGGAGCTGAACAGACAAGGTGTGTGACTGGAGGACACTGTAAGCCGCAACGCGGTTGGGTTTGGCCTTGGAGGGTCGAGCCGATCTAAGCTTCGCTGGATGCGCGGGGGGGAGAATGCCAGGGTAGAAATGTTCTTGACGAGAGCGCAACAAAGGCCACGACAAGTCAGGGTCTCGAGATTGCGCGGGTAGAGTGAGTGAGGGATGGGACCGAAGTAGGGATGAATGAAGAGGGATAATGTCAAAGGAGACACGCAGCTGCCACTCTAACTCTAACTTCAAAGTCCAGTCAGGCTCCGACCAGCAGTTGTTTGCACCTTGAACGCTGCAGTGATGACATGTGGAGCAGGCAATCTGGCGGGGCAGAATGAAGGCGCATGGCAACCGGCGGTGGGTTGATCCGGGCCGCGTATTCATCTCAGCGAAGGCACCTTATCCGTACCTTTATCTGGACTGGTATTACATCTTTGGCTTCAAGTTGGTTCGTTGTTTATTACCTTAGCTTTACACTTGTGAGCCAGACTCACTGACCCGCCCGTCACCCAGGAGCAGACCGTGCAGGCGTCTATCTTGCGGTCCAACTGGGACTTCCTCGCCAGAACCCGGAGCCAACAGCTGCTCGGATAGGGACAGGCCCCAAAGCTGCAACGAAGAGTCATCGTCTGCGTGTAACCCATGCTGCGCTAGGTAGCGGTTCAGGAAGAAATCGTAGAAACCCTTGCCGTGGCCAAGGCGACGTACGCCGCCTGACGCGTCGTAGTCGAATGCCACACCAGGGAGAAGCATCAGATCCAGTGTCGAGACCTTGTCGCTGTGAGCCTCGGGTCGGCCCAGGATCCGCTGCCTGCTGTTGACTGTGGCTGGGTCGACACTTGGAATCCCCCATTTGTCTGGCTGTAGACTTTCATAGTCCTGTATGCTCTCGAGCAGTACCATGTCCATGACCCGAGAGGGTGTATCTGGGATCTGCAGCGGTGATTTGTGCAGGTATGGGATGAAGACCTGCTTCCCCTGGCTCAGCGCGTGACGAACGATAGCGTCAGTCTGAATCTCGGCAGCGGGCATGGACAGGTAGACGCTGATAGTTTGGGCTTCCTGGTAGGGCTTGAAACCTTGCAATGTGTTGAATACGTTTGCACCTTTGGCACGTCAGACACGTTCGATGTTAAGAAGATCCAGTCACAACTGACTTTGCGTCCGAACCGTGTCCATCGACAGTGAAGACAACCTCTGCTTCATAGCAGCCCGAAGCTGCTTCTTCGCTGCTGTGAGTGACGAGTTCATGATTGACTCTGGAGAATTCGATATACTTTGGGTCATGTCCACATTGCCTTTTCGTTGAATTGAATGGTGCGTTGACATTGAGAAGGGTATGGGGTAGGCAGAAAATAACACCAGGTTGGACAAAACAGCCGCACCTCCACTTTCGTGAACAGTGCGTGAAGTTGACTCTTGACTCCATGTCCTCGACCTCGAGTGTCTCTTACCAGGTACCCATGGAGGACGGACATATCCCGATCGTCCACCATGTAACATGGTCGGGTATTTAGAACCACACGGCTCTTCTCGACGGCAAAAATGCCTCCCAACTCGGCAGCACGTATCTCGCCATCAGACACTCAGCACCGAATCGTCAGTTCATGATGGGCCCTTGAGTCTGGGACTTGAGTCGCAGGGGGTGGTCCAGTACCTTAGTGAAGGTGGATTCAAGCAGTCTAACGTTAGTACACCGTATAGCGGGATTTATTCGTGTAGATGATCGATTACTACGTCTCGTGATTCATCAAGCTGAGTCTCAGCGAGCGGATCAGATCCAATGTCTGTTCGCACCAGACCTATTTTCCTGACGCCTTCTCCAGATCTATGGCCAAGTTAAAGTGCAACAGAATACATGTAGTATGGGTATTTTGACGCCGCGCGCACAGCGTGCTCAGAAATACTGCCCAGGGCAATCTTATCTGATCAGATCAACCCAAGCTCGAAGGTAATAAGGCATTACTCAATCGTAGCGCTGTGACTGTCCGTGCCAAAGACGGGCCACCCGCACCTGCACAAGCAACCCGAAGCGGCCCGTTTTCGTCGTCTGCATGCATCACAAGAAAGACTGGGATTACCCAACGACCCATGTCTCTACATTTCGGCACTGTGAACAGCCTCAACCAGCCGTGAAATATGATTGCATCAGCAGGTTGTCCCAAGTTCGTGAGTGACGGACTTGTGTAAGACACGTCGAGACATTCTCTGGCTTCCAATGCCAGTTGGTGACCGCCAGTCCAACAGTGACCAACCGTCTGCTCCACAGCGACGACATTTGCTGCCCCGCCATGCGACAGTCACAGAGTCATCACCAGTCCACCTCCCGCCTTGCAGACGAAGACACAACAGCATCCACTCGCGCGCATACCACCACACAGGCGCATCTGCAGGACAGCGAGCAGCCTGCTGACGCTGTGCCTCTGCAATCCCTCCCACCCCATCGGCCCCTGCACCACGTCGACGATCCTGCGCAGCCGCCTGACTCCGTTGCCGAATCTTCATCATCAGCCTCTCCAGACGCCGCTACGACTACTTCTGGTCCTCGGTCGACCCCGTCCCCGACATCCCACCATGGTCAGCAGTCCCCGACTCCTGGCGACGAGGCGATAGCACCCTCCGCCTCTGCCTCACCCATTGACGTCGACGCCATGGCTTCCCACCAGAGGTCGCCTTTCCTCGACTCGCACGGCACCAGCCGTGTAGACGGTCCCTATGGATCCGTGTCGCAGACCCCCAGCCGCAACTGCTCGCCCGTGAGCGACAGCGAGACAGAAGACGATACGCATCCGTTGCGCCGAGTGTCCGGCACGTCGAGAAGCGCCCGCTCGAGACGGTCCGCACTGTCCAAGACGTCCTCCCGCATATCGGAGGAGCTTGATGGCGCCATGCTCGTGTCAGGCCTCGAAGGCCGCTTTGGCATGACCGAGGCTCCCATAGCCAGCGGGATCATTGAGGAGGATATGAAGAGCGATGCCTCGGACGTGCCACTCTTTGGCGAGGAGGACACTATCCAAGACGACGAATCCATCGGTTCCTTCCACGACGCTGCCGAGAACTCACCCCACGAAGCAGTCCGGGCCTCAGTGCCCCCAACGGACGACACGACGCTATCGATCAATACGCCGCGTATGTGGTGCTTGTCCGTGCTTTTCTCGATACTCGGATCATCCACCAACCTGTTCTTCTCCTTGCGATACCCCAGCGTTGCCATTACGCCCGTCATTGCGCTCTTGCTCGTCCACCCATTGGGCCACCTATGGGACATTATATTCAAAAGACCGCATGATATCGGAGAGGAGTTTATAGACGGGCAGCGTACGCCGTCTGTCTTGGAGCGGGACGACCCGCTGCGGCCAAGACAAAGGCCAACATCGTGGCGTCTCTGGCTGGCCCAGGGGCGGTGGAATGAGAAGGAGCATACTTGCGTCTATGTGAGCAGTAATGTTGCTTTCGGATTCGCATTTGCTACCGATGTGATTGTCGAGCAGACAAAGTTCTACAATCAAGAGGCGCCCATTTTGTACCAGCTGCTCTTGACGATATCGACGCAGATCCTGGGGTACGGTTTCGCGGGCCTGACGCGACGCTTCCTCGTCCGTCCCAGCGGCATGATCTGGCCCGGCACGCTCATGTCGGCTGCCATGTTCGGCACCCTCCACAAGCAGGACAACAAGCCTGCCAACGGCTGGAAGATTAGCAGATGGAATTTCTTCTACGCAGTGTGGGCCGGAGCCTCCTCCTTCTACTTCTTGCCGGGTCTTCTCATGCCAGCATTGAGTTACTTCAACGTCGTCACCTGGTTTGCCCCCAAGAATGTGGTCCTTGCGAACCTCTTCGGCGTCTCGTCGGGTCTCGGCTTGTTCCCCGTGACATTTGACTGGGCGCAGATCACATACATCGGGTCGCCATTGTTGGTGCCCTTTTGGGCCGCGGTCAATGTCATAGGAGGACTTGCCGTGGTGATGTGGATCGTCGCCCCGATCATGTACTACACGAATGTGCGCTATACCTCGTACATGCCCATCATCTCGACCGCCGTATTCGACAATACGGGGAGTCTATACAACGTCACCAGGATTCTGACGCCCGAGTTTGTCTTTGACCGCGAGGCCTACCAGGACTACAGCCGCGTCTTCCTGCCTGTTACGTACATGCTGAGCTATGGCGTGCAATTTGCTGGCCTGGCTGCTCTCCTGACACATACCGCATGTTGGCACGGGCAGGATATCTGGAGGACGTGGAAGAAGGCACTGGCCGAAGCCCGTGAGGAGGGCAAGGAAGCTGCCTACCAGTCTCTGCCTGGCTCTGCAGACGGTGAATCGCCCCGTGGTGATGGACCGCGCTTGTCGCAAGCTTCCTCCCACGGCGACGGAGGGCTCATGAGCCGAGAAGATATACACTGCCGCTTGATGAAGAGATACCGCGATGTGCCCATGACGTGGTATCTGCTCACGTTTGTATCCATGGCTGCCATTGGCATGTTCATCGTCGAATAGTACGTTCAACATACCGAAAGCCTGATCCTCACACTGACTTCTCGATAGCTACCCAGTCCACCTGCCCTGGTACGGCCTCCTGCTCTCTCTCGCCATCGGCGCCATCTTCTTCATACCCAACGGCATCATCATGGCCGTCACCAACCAGCACTCCTCCATCTACCTCATCTGCCAGCTGATCTGCGGCGCCGTGTTCCCCGGTCGCCCCATCGCCAACATGGTCTTTGTCACCTACGGCTACATCTCCTCTGCCCAAGGCATCAAGTTCGCCTCGGACCTCAAGCTCGGCCACTACATGAAGATTCCCCCACGCACAATGTTCACCGTCCAGGTCGTCGCCACACTGGTATCGTCCGTCACGCAAATCGCCGTCCTCAACTGGATGTTTGCCAACGTCCGGGGTCTCTGCACGTCGGAGGCTGTGAACGGATTCACCTGCCCCATCGCCCGCGTCCATTTCAACGGCTCTATTCTGTGGGGTGTCGTGGGCGTGAATGAGTTCTTTGGACCCAACGCCATCTATCGGGCGCTTGTCTGGTGTTTCCCGCTCGGTGCGATCCTGCCCATCCCGCTGTGGCTGTATTCCAGAAACAAGAAGCGTTCCATCATTCGCAAGGTGAACCTACCCATTATCTTTGGCGCCATGTCCTGGATTCCGCCGGCGACGGGTCTCAACTTTTCCGTCTGGGCCCTGGTCTGTTACATATTCAACTACCACATCAAGCGCCGCGCCAACGCTTGGTGGGCCAAATACACAATGACGCTCAGTGCGGCCCTAGACTCGGGCCTGGCGTTTGGCATCCTCATTGTGTTCTTTGGCTTCATCTATCCCGGCTGGATGAGCAACTTCAGCTGGTGGGGGACAGAAGTATACAAGCAAGGCTGCGATTGGCAGGCCTGCTCCTACAGAACGGTCCCGGAGGGGGAGACCTTTGGTCCGGACAGGTGGTGATTTAGGAACCATATGGTAGCATGTTGCATAGCGTATAGCATATATGATTCACAACAGATTACGAAACACTACTTTTCGTCACTGTCCACAAGTAGGTAGTTGATGAAATGTCACTTCCTGCCATCACGAGCATGTGCATGTTTCGAGGCAGCTCGAGCTGCTCCGCGGCGTTTGTGGATGCGTTAATAAACTTGCGACCTGTACGCATAAATTACTGTACAGTATCGTTCTTGGTCTCATTTGCCATTCATAGTTTCCCAACTCCAGCCCATGCCCTGCCGGTCTATTTCTCCTCTTCCCAATCCGGGTTCTAGGATCGTTAGTCTTTGCTCTCGTCACCGCGCAAATTTCAACATACCTTTTTCAAGATGACCAAGCCCTCTAGCGTGTTGCTCAAGCTCAAGTATTCCTCATCCTCGAGCTCGGCCCTCTCGCCATGGGCCAGCAGCACAGGCGTGCTCTGTGTCTGCCATCCCGTGATAGTCTTGGGGCGACCGGCTTGTCCTACCACGTCCACAGCCTGACCGACGCGGACATTGACCTTGAGTGGCTCCAGGTTCTCGTTCAGCGTCACGAGGAAGCGAGGGTGCATGGCAGTGACGAGGTAGTAGAGGAGGTAGTGGTGCGAGGAGGTGATGAATTCCTTGGGCTCAATCATGGCGACAATTGTCGACATAAGACCGGCCGCAGCGACCCGGGACAAAATTTGTCGGTCAGTGTGGAAAGGGTTGAGCGACATGGTGCCCTTGCCCATGTGCAGGAGGCCCTGTGCGATACGCACCATAAACAGAGCGTCCTGATCACGGTGGTAGTAGCTCGCCAATTGACGAAGCAACTGCGCCAGTCTGGCGTTGTTCGTGCCGGCACCCAACATGCCCATGGCGAAGATGGCGTTGATGGCTACTTCGGGGTCGTTGTCGTGGCTGTACCGCGACAGAGTGTCGTAGACTTTCATCTGGGGGTTGCTGGGGCTGATGAGACCCATGGCGAGCGGCACTGCCTTGCGAATGTTGGCCTCGCCATAGTGCATCAGGTGGCCGAACTGGCGCAGGACCATCTCCTGGCCAATGTCCTCGCCCATCGCTACGAGCGCAATGCCGAGAACAGCATATGACTGCAGCAGCTCGTCACCCTTCTTCTCGTCCGACTCTTCTTGGTGCTCATTGCAGATGTGCAACAGCTCCTGGATCTTCAACACGGCACCAGTGCCGGCCCACGCGCAAATGTCCGCCAACACAGCTGTGGACTTCGCCATAGGATGCTCTATCACTCTGAGAACGTCCAAGATCACGTCAACCTCTTCTTGCCGCCCAAAGAACAGCAGCCCTAGACCGAGACCCAAGAATCGAGTCCACTTGTCTGTTAGCTGGTCCTTACGGTCGTCGTCCATCAGTGTGTCGACAATGGCCTGGCTGATTTCTGGGTTCGATGTGCCAACGTAGATCAGACCACACGACAGAGCTGCCATGGCCGAGGTCTGCATGCTGAGGCTGGAGTCTGAGATCTTAGGGAGCAGGTGCTCGAGCACTGCTTCCTTGCCCGCACCAGCATAAGACACACCAAGACCCATGATCGCTGCCGTCGAGATCATCGAGTTGCTGTTGTCAAGCCTGTCGGAGTCTGTTAGAAGAGCAATCGCCGGCTCGGCCTCTGACTGCACACCAGAGGTCATGATACCAATGGCAAGCGCGGCGCCAGCCTGAATCTCTGGTTCGGTGGCGTAGGTGTACTGATCGATCTTGTCCAAGCCGTTTTCGAGGTCCCAGGCGAGCAAGGTGCCCAACGATGCCACTGTTGACATCTGGCCATCACCCTTGGTCTTCCATACCCAGGGGTCTTCCTCCACCAGCATCATCTTGTCCTCTCCAAAGCCAGCGTTCACGAACCCGTTGACAAACGCAGCCGCAAGGTTGTGCCTCGCAGAGTCCAGGTTCGTCATGCCGGCCACACGACTGCTTTCCAAATGGCTCTTGTAGATGTCTTCTGTGGTCTTGGGCTCCAGAATATTCAGCTCTTCTCCCAGCGACTTGAAGTACTCGGAAAGCTTCATGTTGCCAAGGCACTCATTCTCCGCGTCGTCCTCGATCTCTGCGTCGAGAACAATCTTCTGACGAGCGAGGAGGAATGCCAATTGAGACTTCAGCGCGGGATCTGTGACCTCGTTGTAATCATTGCTGATGAGTTCACTGTCGTGCAACCGGATAGCCAGGACCATAGCCTGCGTGTATTGTTTGTTCTTCATGTAGATCGTATGCGCCGTCCGGAGGAATGTCTCGTTGTCGGGGTACGTCAACAGGTTCACCATGCTGGCCAGGTACAAGCACACCCGGGGATAAGACTCGGTGTCGACATACTCGGGAAGCAGCTCAATAATGTCCAGCTCGCTCATCAGATCGACAGCGTCGGCTTCAGCGTTGGTCTTGATGAACAACGGCACGAGAATCAGTGCAAGATCGACGAGGTCTTTGGTCGGCTCGTCTTCCGCTAGGCGTTTTGCGTGGACTTCGCCGATCTCCAGGGCCAAGTGCCGCACATACTCGTGGCCCCACGACGCAATGTCGGACGATGGCGCGAGCAACCGGTACTTGAGTGTGTCCTGCCTGTCCTCGTCCGAGAATGTCATACCAATCACCGACAGCACATCTGCCAGAGATTTCTTGTCTTCGCCCGCGGGCCACTCGTCGTACAATTTTGTGAGGGTCTCATAGTGTGGTCGGAGGAACTTGAGCGGCTTGGGCACTGCTGTCATGGACGAGGTCGACGTCTTGATCGAGGTCTTCATGGCCTCTAGCGAGGGCTTGTATAGTGACGTGTTGGATTCCTGCCATTGTGTCAGTCTCTGCATACGTATACTTCGGTGCTTCGTATGGACTGACTGTCAAGCGCTCCACGATCATATCGAGCTCATTCTTGAGTTGCTGGTCTTCCTCATTCAGCTCCTCGCCAGTAGCTGCACTGGTCAGTCACACGATGAAGTTCTCGCAGCCGTTTCACCTACCATCCTTCTTATCCTCATCTTCTTTCTTCCCGTTGGGAACTGACTTGTCGTTCTTGGGCTCTTCGACAGCTTTGCCCTTGCCCTTGTCGGCCGACGTGGGCACATCGCTATCTTGAGCCATGTTGACGTCGTTATCAAGAGTGTATAGGCGGCAGAGAGAAGTTGGTAGATGTGGCTGAAGATTCTGTCGCGCAATGCACTGCTTCGTGTGCTCGTGTCGCGAAGTGAGCGCGCAAATGCTTTTTGTGGGAGGGAGAGAGGTGATGTCGACGATGGAAGCTGATGGAGCCGATCTCCAAACACCGACAGCTAGTCTGAGCTCCGGTTACGTGAGGCGCTGCCGCCTGCAGAATCGGACCAGTAGGGAGGGTCACGTGTGATTAGATAATCACTGGGACGCCAGGAGTCCTGGCGTCTGGCCAGAAGTGAGTAAATGAAAACGAACAAGCGGTAAGGAGTACCGAATGTCCTAAATAGATCAAAGTCCAAATACCAGAGAAGCTGAATTTATCGTGTTATGTGCGCAGAGATCTGTGCAGTTGCAACGGATACGTAGGCTGCTTCTTGTCTCGCGCGGCGCAATCGATAAGACTCGTACGCTATCTTATCAGACATTTTTCTTTATCCCCCGCCAACCCTCGCCAGACACGATAGAACCCCACGATCTACGACATTTCTTCGTCTACTGGCATTGCATCCCCCAGAAACTATCACAGAAGACTCGTCACTATGAAGCTCGATACGCGCGCCATGCGCCACTTGGCGTCAGAGGACTGGCGCGTTCTCACGGCTGTATGTTGTCGGCCCAGGCTAATCTTGCCCAATCTATCCCACTAACATGCCTTCTTAGGTTGAGATGGGCAGCAAAAACCACGAGATTGTTCCGACGCCATTGATCGAGAAATTGTCTCGACTACGAGGCGGTGCCAACGGCGTTCACAGGAGTATCTCAGCCCTCGCCAAAGTCGGTCTTATCGCGCGTGTCAAGGAGGCCAAGTACGATGGGTACCGTCTGACCTACGGTGGATTGGATTACCTCGCTCTACATACATATTCCTCGCGCAAGGAGGTTTACAGCGTCGGCGACCGGATAGGTGTCGGCAAGGAGAGTGATATCATGCTCGTTGCCGACCACAACAACGTACAGAGGGTACTCAAGATCCACCGCTTGGGCAGAATATCTTTCCGATCCGTCAAGTCGAACCGAGACTACCTCAAGAACCGCCAGGGAGGATCATGGATGTACCTGTCCCGACTAGCAGCCATGAAGGAGTACGCATTCATGACAGCGCTGTTGGAGGAAGGCTTGCCGGTGCCGACCCCGATTGCCCAGTCGCGGCACACTATCGTCATGTCTTTGATCGACGCCTTCCCTCTGCGCCAGATATCCAGTGTGCCCGACCCAGCATCTCTATACGGGGAGGTGATCAGCCTATTGCTTCGGCTGGCGAAGCACGGCTTGATCCACGGTGACTACAATGAGTTCAACATCCTGATCAAAGAGAACAAATCTTTGGACGAAAGCGGCGAAGAAACGATAACACTGGAGCCCATCGTCATTGACTTTCCGCAAATGGTATCGATGGAGCATCAAAATGCGGAAATGTACTTTGATCGGGACGTGAACTGCATAAAGCGCTTCTTCTCACGGCGGTTTGGCTTCACTAGTGATGAGCCAGGGCCCTTCTTCAAGGACGCAAAGAAGACAGTTGGCAAGGATGGCGCGAAGCGACTCGATGCCACAGTAGAAGCATCTGGTTTCACCAAGAAGATGTTAAAAGACTTGGAGGCAGCCATCAAAGAGAAGGCTGGCAGCAAAGAGGAACAGGCTTCCCCGCATTCCGGAGGGGAGAGTGAAGTAGATGACGAGACTGAGGATGGAGACAGTGATGACAGCGATGAAGGCAATCTAGGGGAGGGCGATAGCCATACGGACGAAGGCGTTGGGGCCGACGGATCTTCAATACCTGGCGAATCCGACCCTGATAGCCTTGGCAAGCCA